AACTCGCCCCTCCCTGCATCCCCCCCCCCCCCCCCCCCCCAGGGAACGCGCTCTGTAAGTGATTCGCACGCCTCGCGTGCTCCGCCCCCCTAAAATAAAATCCTAGCTACGCGCTTGCCTGACCGTAATTAAACGCCTAAAACCCTGAGCTTCCGGGGCTCCGCCCCCTGGACCCCACGCAATTAGTGACCCTGCCAGTGTCACAAATAAGGTATAAAAATATGCTCATTTGACCGTAATTTAATGCCTTAAACCCTGAGCCTCCGGGGCTTAAGGTGTGCCCCTGAATGCTTATCTGACCGTTATAAAAATGACTCAAATCCGTGAGTTTCATGGGGCTCAGCATGTAAGTTTTGAAAAAGAACAAAAACGAGTAATCCATTGTATCGGCAATTGTGGTATTGCGAATGTCATCAAAATGTTTTTCCTTTTAACACAATAATTGTTTTGCAACTCAATTTAGGCCTGACTAAATATATACTTTTTCGTGAGGCCACCACAGACAAGTTATTTTATCATATAACTGATTAACATTTGAAGTTTTCCTACACTAGTGCCTGGCCGCAGTGGCGGATCCACGGGGCCCGGGCGCCCTCCCCTGGGGAAAAAAGAAGGAAAAAAAAGAAGGGAAACAAAAAGAAGGGAAAAAAAGAAGGAAAAAAAAAAGGGGGAAAAAAAAGGAGGACAAAATAAGAAGAGAAAGAGAAAAGGAAAAGAAGGGAAAGAGGAGAGAAAGGGAAAGAAAGAAGAGGAAGAAGAAAAGAAAAGGGGGAAAGAAGTGATCGGGGGGCGAAAGAGCCTCGCCTCCCCCTCCCCCCCCCCCCCCAATCAAAAAAAAAAAATAAAGCGAGAAGGAAGGAAATAGAAAGAAGGGGGTATCAGTTGCAATTTTTTCCGCCAACAAGTTGTGGATCGGGGCGGGGATGGGGCAAAATGCCCTTGCCTCCCCTGCCCCGCTAAAAAAGAGAGAAAGAAGGAAAAAGAAAAAAGGAGAGCTAAAAGGGACCGAAAAAAGCTGAAAAGAAGGGGAAATAGATCATTTGCAGTTAATCCCGCCAACAACATGTGGAGAAGGTGGGGTGCCGAAATGACCTTACCTCCCCCTCGCCCCCCCCCCCCCATCAAATCTTACAGAAAGAGAAGGAAGGGAATGGAAAGGAAAGAAGAGAGAAAGGGAAAGAAAAAAAGAGAAATAAGAAAGGTAAGGGAGATCAGTTGCGATTTTCCGCCAACAAAGAGTAGATCGGTGGGGGGGGGGAACTGGCGTATTGATCGAGGAGGGGGCTCGGGGGAAATAAAATTTAAACGTGGTTTATTTCTAATTCCATACGGTGGTTTACAAATAATGCTGAAATGACATAATTTTCTGAGATTTGTCCTCATTCTTTAGTAAATTATACTTTTGTATGCGTTTGTAAATTAACAGCCAGGCAAGAAATATGCTTCTTGAGATGCCTACATGTCAGGGCCCGCTGAACGGCGGGGATCGGGAGCCTCCAGCTCCCTCCCCCCCCCCCCCCCAATTTTTTTTGGAAAAGCATTTAAAAGAGAAATAGAAAGAAAGAGAGCAAGAAAGAAAAAATAGTTATCTACAGTGTCACAACAAAATAAGGTATCAAAAAATTGCTCATCTGACCGTAATTAGACGCCTAAAACCCCTGAGCTTCCGGGGGCTCTGTCCCCGGGACCCAACCAAGGGCCCTTGGCAGGCCCTTTGATACTCATCTGACCACAATTTAGTGCCTAAAACCCCTGAGCTACCGGGGGCTCTGTCCCCGGGACCCAACCAAGGGCACTTGGGCAGGCCCCTTGCCTACTCATCTGACCAAAATTTAGTGCCTAAAACCCTTGATCTTCTGGGGGCTCCGCCCGCTGGACCTCACGCCAATCAGTGTCCTGCCAGTGTCACAAATAAAGTATAAAAAATATGTTCATCTGACCGTAATCAAATGCCTAAATCCCCGAGCTTCCGGGGGCTCTGCCCCCTAGACCCTACTGGATGCTAATCTGACGGCAATGTAATACCTAAAACCCCTGAGCTTCTTGGGGCTTCCGCTTGGGGCTCAGTTTCACAAATAAGGTATAAAAATTATGTTCATCTGACCGTAATCAAATGCCTGAAACCCCTGAGATTCAGGGGTTTTCCGCACCCTCGACCCCACCAGGGGCCCTGAGGCGGGCCCCTGAATACTTATCTGACCGTAATTTGCCTTCAACCCATGAGTTTCCGGGGCGGACAAGGTATCAAAATCGTCTTGTTTCTCTAATAATTGAATTAAATGTCAAAGCTTCCGCGCTTGGCGCAGGAGGTGTGGATTAAGAGTCGGGAACGGTACAACAAATCGTCTTCTTTCTCTAAAGATTTAATGAAACGTAAAAGCTTCCGCGCTTCGCGCGCGCGGATAGGAGGGGGGGGGGGGGGAACTGAATTCAGACGAGGATTAAGAGTCGAAAACGGTACAACGAATCGTCTTCTTTCTCTAATGATTTAATGAAATGTACAAGCTTCCGCGCTTCGCGCGGGAGGGGGGGGGGGGACTGAAACAAACGAGGATTAAGAGTCGAAAACTGTAATCAGAAGAGCAGGCGTACGGAGGGGGGGGGGGGATTTGGGGTTGAACCTCCCCCTGTTCGGTTTTTTTGTTATGTGTGTATCTTGGAGCAACCCCCCTCTTTTTTTTATTTTTTTTTTTAAATTATGCCAATGGCTGTCCTAAAAAAGGTGACCTCAACACCCCCCCCCCCCCCTACGGAACAAAATGTCAATTTTCAAATTTCGAGACCCCAAAAAAGTGTCCTCTTACCCCCCCCCCCCCCCCCCCCGCTTCCTCTTTTTTGTTCCCTTTTAGCTCTCCTCTTTCCCTTTCCCCTTTTTCCCCTTCTTTTTTTGGCGGTGGGGGAGGGGGGGGGGAAGAGGCAAGGGCCTTTTGCCCCCCCCCCCCCGATCCACAACTTGTTGGCGGAAAAAATAGTAACTGATATTCCCCTTCTTTTCTTATCTTCTTCCTCTTTTTTTTTCCTTTCCGTTATCTCCTCTTTTTTCTTTTTGCTTTCCCTTTCCTTCTTCTCTCTTTTTGTTTTTGCTGGGAGGGGAAGTGGAAGCAACATCATGGGAGGCAAGGCCCATTTCGATTTCGGGCCCCCCTCCCCTGATCTCTTTCTTCCCTCCCCTTTTTCTTTTCTTTTTCCTCTTCTTTCTTTTCCTTCTCTCCTCTTTCCCTTTCACATCTTTTTTTTTCTTCTCTCTCTCTCTCTCTCTCTCTCTCTTTCCTCTCTTTATTTTCTTCTCTTTAGAGACTTTTACACCATTATTAAGAGACATAATGCGCAATCAATCAAAACTGAGTGATGTTATCGAACAACTTCTCAATATCAATCTTCCATTCTCTTAATGATCCTGGAAAGCCTCGGTCCTTTATAGACACACAATGTATAACCAAATTTGGAGCATAGTTTAATGGTTTGGCACAAAGTTTAGTGGCGATGGTTCGTTTGAGACTTGTACAGCGTTTATACTGTTTTATTAATGAAAAGATCTCGAATCAAATCAAACTGAGTGATGTGTATGAAACAACTTAACAATATCAATCTTCTGTTCTCCTAAATAATCCAACCCCGGGTCATTATAGGCACACAAAATGTATTACTAAATTTGGAGCATAGATTAACGGTGTTGGCACCCAAGATTAGTGGCGATCGTTCGTGTGAGACTCATACAGCCTTTATACTGTTTTTATTAATGAGAATAGATCTCGAATCAAATCAAACTGAGTGATGTTATGAAACAACTTAACAATATCAATCTTCCATTCTCCTAAATAATCCAACCCCGGGTCTTATAGGGCACACAACATGTATTACTAAATTTGAGCATAGATTTAACGGTGTTGCACCAAGATTAGTGGCGATCGTTCGTTGTGAGACTCATAGAGCCTTTATACTGTTTTATTAATGAGATATATCTCGAATCAAATCAAACTGAATGATGTTATGAAACAACAATATCAATCTTCCATTCTCCTAAAGAATCCAACCCTGCATGGGGTCTTTAGCATATAGGGCACAAAAAAGGTAGTACTAAATTTGGAGCATAGTTTAACGGTGTTGTTGGCACCAGGATTAGTGGCGATCGTTCTCGGAGACTCATAGAGCCTTTATACTGTTTTATTAATAAAATATATCTCGAATCAAATCAAACTGAGAGATGTTATGAAACAACTTAACAATATCATCTTCTGTTCTCCTAAATAATCCAACCCCGGGTCATTATAGGGCACACAAAATGTATTACTAAATTTGGAGCATAGATTAACGGTGTTGGCACCAAGATTAGTGGCGGATCGTTTTTTGAGACTCATACAGCCTTTATACTGTTTTATTAATGAGATATATCTCGAATCAATCAAACTGAGTGATTTTATTGAACAACTAAACAGTAGGCTACTAAATGTCCATTTTCCTATAAACTGTCATTACAAAACTAGCTAGATTAGGGATTGTATAGCCGCTCCGAGAAACGTTGCTATTTCAATTCCCTGCTTGTACTTGGCTTCACGGAGTAATTCGTCCTTTATAATGATTCTCTTCATTCCGGAGCAATGTATTTACTATGCTTGCGAACATACTCTTGTACTAGTACAGTACATGTACCTGTGTATAAGACAGATCCATAGACAGAGTACGCACGCCGCACGTCTGTGACGTAGGGAATAATGAATATTCATATCGCCGTTAATCTTGGTGCCAATATATGCTACCTCATAGGTTCATAGAAAGGACAGGGCCAGCGTGAGTTGGAACTGTGTGCGGATCGTGGTTTAATTTGAAATAATTTTTTGTTTTTATTTTTTGTAGACTATGACTAATATTATATTAAAATGAGATTGGAAAAAGAAAGAAAGAAATAATAATTTTACCAAGACATTAAAAGAAAGAGATGCGATGAAATTGGCAACAATAGTCAAATTTGACTAATAGCCATTATAATACCAAACGAACAACAACAACATCTTGCTTGATTTGGTTTCTCAACTTTCTGTTTTGTGTTTTTCTTTGCACCTTTGCTCCGCTCATTTCCGGCTATTGAATTGGCTATTGGGGGGAAAATATTTCGACATTTCAGCAAGAGGTCGTTTTGATTTTATCAGGTGAGGTTATTTCTAATTCTGACTCTTTTTCCGAGATCGAAATGTCCTGTGTTGAGCGGGTTCGTTCGTCCCTTGCTGCATGCATGCGCTGCACTGCATAAGAAGCGCTAGCATAGCTAACGCGGCGTCTGTGTCTATCCAGAACTGTAGGCAGCCTTTCGGGCAAACTCAAGCAAGTCAAGGGCCGGTGAGAAAATGGTATACAGGCACAGAGTTTAGGCGATATTGGGCCTTGGCTTTGGGGATATGTCGGTACTGAAACTGGCAATCTTGCACTGCACTGTAGTGTAAAGTGTTGACTTTTATTAGTGTTGCACAGAGTTGACTTGAATTTATTGGAGTCTTTTAGTTTTAGTTTTAAGTTTCACTTTCAATTTCAAGTCTGAGAGAGAGAGAGAGAGAGAGAACTCTGTTTGACTTTGAGTTTGAGTGACATGTTTGGTGATGTCACTGTGACTAGTGACTGAGCTGTGCATGTGCGCAAGTTCAAATAGGACTGCACATGTGGATGTGCAACAGTGCATGTGCATGCATGTTGCTGTGAATCATTGCTGTTTGACTGTTGATTATTTTAACTAGTCTATGTTATCAGTGTTTCATTCATAAAAATACCAAGATCGGAAGGATTTCCTTTTGTGACAGCCACCTAAAATTTACAGTATCCCTGTTTATAGGGTTAGTGATAGGGTTATAATATTTAATAATGAACAAATCTTCAGTAATGAAGTAAAAACGGGTGGTGAGTAGAATGATAACAGATGAATGATGGCGGAGTTATCACAGTTTTACTTACGGTGCGGTGAAGTGTATGAAATGAAGAAGACAAGACAAGACACAGACTAAACAATAAACTAACCTTATATTAGGCGTAAAAGGATACAGACTGGATGCTTGTCTGGATGCTGAACAGGCTTCGACACGTAGCAGAATCCAGAAGTAGAAGTAAAAGCTCAGCTAATTAATGATGCTCAGCTATAGTATAGATAGTAAAACCTCTATCCGTCGGAAGGTGACGTCAAGAGGGTAGATTCTCGTCTCTAGGCTGGAAGTTGGTTTCCCATGTGTACTCATCAGCTATCAAGATCTCGAATGACCCGGTGCTTAGGAAGTTGGATCATTGCCGCGAGTCGCGCGCCCGTAAACGGACGATAAACGAATACGTAAGCGCATCCAAGATGCATACATATGTATATGTATGTGAAATACCTGCGCTCTGGTAAAATGACCTGCGCCTGGTCACACATGTATCTACGCGTTCACGAATATACAATGAGAGAACTGGCATAACAAATGCCATTTTACAACATTCCTCCCGGTTCATTAGATTGTAGCATATCTCAAAGATATTGCAAAATCTCAAAAACTCTCCTATTAGAGTCTAAGAAACAAACCAGGGGAACCAACCCAATATAAACCAGCCCAATATAAAAAGAGTTACAAACTAAATAACCAGTCACAGTCCGTTAATACAATCCATAATTTGGCGAGTACACTAAACTCAAGGTAACCGTCCAGTGACCGAGTCTTAGGCACATTCCAAAACAAAACAGTATATAGAAAATCCTGTATTTATACAACAATGAATAATCCTGTATTGATGTAACAACGAAACAATCCTGAAGTTACCTGTATATCACGAATAATCCTGTTATTTATAACAATGGAAAATCCTGTCAAACTTATTCGAGGACAATTTGTCCTAGGCCACTTCCCTAGAATGCTGAATAAACAAGACTATTACGAAATAAAGCTGTATAGCTTGGTAAACTGAGGTAAAGGAATAACCTTTCCAATATCTGCACTGCTTTATAAATTTTAGTACAATAAAGCAATAATTAAACAGGATTGTTTTAACTGGAATGGACTGGAATTAACGAATCATAGAGACTAACAATAAAGGCTCAGTCCATTAGCAAAAGTAGATGACATTACTTCCGCCAGAGGGACCCCTCTGATGTCCGCCACCAATTTGCCGACATCACCGAGGAAGTAAGGAGTCTGGTACTCACACTCGGGATGGACCTTGAGGTGTGGGGAGTCAGTCTCCAAAAGAAGACGATCCCCGCGGATCTCGCGCACTGCGGCACGTTGCTCTTGGTTGAAGGTCCTTGCGAGACCTGCAATTCCAAAGTAGCAAAGGGGAAAGGCATTGGCCCATTCACGGACCAACCTGATGTCACCAGAAAAACAATGTAAGTGGATCCTCTGGCTCACCATGCACTTTCTCCGCAGTGTCCTCAGAGCTATCCTGTGGACTATATAGCCCAACAGTAATCACTTATTATTCCCGTGTGCTTTAATAATAATAATAATATCAGCCTAATAATCCACTCCAAATTTTATTACCGGTAAACCGAAACGGAAATTCTTTTTGCCCAATTGATCGTGAGCCCGGCAGCCACTGAGCAATATTGAAAATTCATTGCAAGTTTATGTTATAGGTTACTTTTGTTTCTTTCCCAGTTTACTATAGGGCCTAGATCTTGAGCCATGGAAGGTTATTACCCGCCTGGTTTCTACTGCCCTGAAAGAGATCAACAGGGAAAACAGACAACATCAACAACCTTCACAACAGCAGCAACATCAACAACAAGATGTTGCACCGTACCCCATGGACCTACCATACCACACAACCTCACAGCATCAGCCTGAGTTTGTAGTTACTTGTAGAGATAATCCCGATGGCAGCTATCATACAGCTAAACTGGATCAGCCTCTCAGACCATTCCCTGTAGGCCTACATCCTGGTGCTCCGATATTGCGCTCTATTTATCAAGGTATTTGTTGAAGGCTGGGTACATGGTAGATCAGCTGCTTAGAATTTTTCCTGTAGGCCTACCATTTGCTGGAGCTCAAGTGTTTCATGGTAATACTGAAAATTTTCATACACTAAGTTTTCATCAGTACTACTATCTTAATTTTGATGAAGGAGGAATGTTTGTAATTTAAATTAATTGTCTTATTAATTTGCTTCATCTAATGCGACGGTCACAAAATTTCGTACGAATCTCTGTTTTTCCATTGTCTTCCCGAATTTCCATTGTCTAAAAATCGTTTGTACGGCGTTTGTAGCAGTTCGTAATGGTATTTGTTTAAAATGTTATCAAACGGTTCAAACCAATTAAATGCTGTGAGTTGCGATCCTATTACTTCCTTTGGTCTCCTTTTCTGAAATTTGCCTTTGAAAAAAAAAGTGGAAAAGGTAACTTTGCTGGACCTAGTTCATTAAATTAATGCAAAAAAACCTTTTAAATTTAATGTTACAAGGTATAATTTCCCTCACTGACACTAACTTCCGTATTCCGGCACATGACTCAATATTTGCCACAGATTAGGTAAATACATGTAGGTACATACATGGTGAGGCAGAAATTGATTCAAAGTTTGATAGCATTTATATGGACGTTCAATAAAAGTTGTTGTGATATTAGTATTAAGCACTTTGTTTCCTCAGGAAAAAGTTATTTATGAATTCCAATGTTTAAATAGTATCATATCACAATATATATGCCACCACAATGTGAATTTTCAATTTTCTGTGATTGACCATGTATATTTTGTATTCTTTTCTTAAAGATTCTGACCCTCTGATCCCAGCCTCGGATATTATGAACCACCAAGTCCACCAGCAGACACCAGTCACTGTTGGTGTAGGAGGTCACGGGGTCAAATCATCAAATCTACCAGCAAGCCTCGTTCCACCCATCACAACTCATGAACCAGTGGCGGAGAGAAATAACTTTGTTGTTGCAACTTGTGAACCAGTTGTAGAGAACAACATTTCATCGATAGCAACTTGTCAACCAGTTTTAGAGAGAAATAGCCTACCCGTTAGAACTTATGAATCGGTTGTAAATGGCAACACCCAACAGTCACAAGGTTAGTGTTACCCATTTAAAGCCACACTGTCATACTTGTAGCTACTTGCTCCCTCTAAATAGAAAACAATGCCTAATCGGTGACCATTGGTCCCCCATGATCCTCTTTTTCTTATGTTAATTGAGAGCTGAGTTGATGAGAAACCACCTATTCAGTGACCACCCTATGTAGGCTTATCACCTGGCCAAACTAGTACAGATAAGCTCTAAGAGTCGTCTCCACAAACAGAAATTCAAAGATAAAATTGGAATGAGGAAGGAGTATGAACTGTTGTATGCGAAGCATGTTGAGGTTCCTTGTGGCCAGGCTCGAGGGCTAGCTTAGAGGGCTCTAAGGTTCTTAGATGCTCTCTACTGCATTCTTAGCCATATTTTTGCAGCATTTTAAAAACATACTTTATGACAAATATTTCATTAAGAAAGATGGTTGAGAATTAAAAAAGCAACACCTTATTGCAAGCAATACTGTATGATGATTAGTACATCAGGGCCCCGTCTTATAAAGAGTTGAATATTCAAAACAAATTATTTGCGATAGTTATCAATCATAACTACACTGTTTGTACATACAAGATAGAAGACTGCAAACTTGCGTTTGATTGGAGGACTTGCAATTGATTTGGATCAATCATAACTCTTTACAAGACGGGCCCAGTAATGATAACATCAATAATGGAGTGTAAATGTGAATTTTGCATTCTAACTTGAGCTTTCATCCTTACTTTTCTGTTGCAATAATTTATATTCATTTTTTTCTGTCATTATTGACTAGGCCAGACACCTATTGCCCCAACTCCCTCTCAGGAAACTCAAGACGATGAACATAGAGAGCAGCATCCAACCTCCTCACACCACCCAATCGCAAGTCCTCCAATCAGTAATGACTCGAGCAAGGCGGTGGAGCCTCTGGTAACTTGTAACGTAGAAGAGAGTAGTGAAGTTACATCTCGTGCCCCTGAGCTGCCGCAGAGTCTCTTGTTTAAAACTTCATCTAAAGAGGAAACACAGCTGCTTGCCGCCCTCAATCTCAAAAAGACCAAGTCTATTCAAGATCTTCCACAGAATCTCTCGTTTAGAGCGACATCGGAGGGCAAGGTTGATGGCGTGATTGCCAAGGAGAGGATAGAGAAAGAAGTGGATTTTGGACCATACACAGGAACACTGCTCGATGAGGAGCAGGGATGGTCTATAGATACAACATGGGAGGTAAGCTGTTCAATCTGTCTTCACTGAAAAAAGTTTAGTCATCCACACTCTTGTACCCAAAATGAGAATATCCCCACACCTCCAGCTTTTCAATAACCAATTAGATAATTAAGGCCACACACGATCTTTTAGGCCCATTTATTTTGAATGTGGTCTGTCCACACTCCAAACTTCAGGGGTGGTATTCTCGAAAGCGGACTAACTTTAGTCCATGGTTTAATCTACGGACTAAGTATGGAATGCCAAGTGTCCATATGAATATTTTTTCGAATAATTTGATATGTCCCTAAATTACCATGATAACATAATTATATCATAGTTATATTGTTGTTTATCAATCATCTTATTACATTTTATTTTGATTTATTGTCAGATTAAATTATTCAAAAACATATTCATATGGATACTTGGCATTCCATACTTAGTCGGTGGATTAAACCAGGAAGCTGTAATGTATGGAGATACCGTCTCGAAAGAATTTTCCGAGGGAAAAATATTCAAGATTAACCTGGCTTAACAAAAAGAAATGTAACCCTCTCCAGCCATCATTTCCATTAACAGCTGTCCATATCAATACACAGTCCCTCTCTGGCATTCCAAATAGTACGAAATGTTACGCAACGCCATCTGCTTCCCTAAGTTCTCTATTCACTCTTTTGCAAACACATGCAAGCATCGAGCTTTGAAGCCATGCGTGGCACCGAAAAATTAAGTCATGTTCAGTGAAGATGTATTTAGCTATAACAAATAAATACAGAATTCACAACATATGACCAATGCAACTTTCTATTAGTCATCAAATGCTTTTTTCCGTTCTCGGGTAGCTCTACTGAAGACATGGCCATTTCAACCAGCGAAATCGACCAAGGAAATTATGAGTTAGAGCGAATGAAATGTTTTCATCATCATGATTTTATGATCTAATTGTTGACATTTTCCGAAAATTTCCGAAATTTGTACATGGCTAGGAAGGTAGTCAAAAGGTTTATCTTCCTAAAGAACTAAATAAAATGGTGTTATATGTTTGCGCATTTATTGATTTAGGGCTATAAAATGTCAGGTTATCACCACTATTCACCTCAAGTACGGGCCGGCAAAGCAAAAGCCGCCCTGCTCGCTGGGCTGGGCTGTGTGTTGAAAGGAAGGACCTAGTGCTACTAGGGAGCTGTACGGTTTAGGAGGTGGATTGAGGGGATTACGGTAGGGGAAACAAAAGAGGCGCGGTGCTACGGATGGCTTCAAAGGGGCCTCTTGGACGGGATCTCCATTAATTACAGCTTCCTGATTAAACCATGGACTAAAGTTAAGTCTGCTTTCGAGAATACCAACCCATAACATTTACTCCAGCAACATACCTGCCAACCACCCCGATTTAGGCGGAGTTCCTCCGCATTTTTCATACCAACTCCGAATTCCGAATGCATGCCTCAAAAGTCAGATTTTTTTTAAATTTAATTTTTTTTTTTTAATTTTTTTTTTTTTTTTTTTAGAGTGTAATGCACTTGGAGAGTATATAACTATTATGTTTGTATTTCGAAATGTAAAGCGCCTTGAGAATGTTCATGTAAAGGTGCTCAATAAATACCAATATGTATGTATGTATGTATAAGACTAAAGCATAACACAGCACTGATAACCAGATCACGCCAACATCCGCGCTCGCGCTCATAGAAGATATACACAGCGCAGCCCGAACGTGATCGTTAGTTCCCCCCCCCCCCCAATCTACGGGCTACTACCCCAATCCTTCGGTGGTTCGCGACCTCGTAGTCCATCCAGAAAAATTTACTCCTAATTTCTCTTGTCTCAGGTTGGCAGGTATGCATCAATACTATCATTTTAAAGATTTGACACAAAGGCATGGGGTGGGGGGGGGGGAATTAATTAGTCTTGCCCCCATTATATTTCAGTTGTTCAGCATTAAAAAAATGCTTGCAGAAAGAAAACAAATAAAGATTACCCCATATGTGACATCACACCTGTTTTGACCGATTTGCCAATTTCAGATTCTAATAGTCACTAAATTAGTGTCAACCTCAAAGCCGTACTGCACTATTTATAGCTACGTGCGCCCTCTATATAAAGCAAACAGTGCCTAATCGTTGATCTTTGGTCCCACAGTCCCCTCTTTCTTATGTTAATTGAGAGCTGTTTTGATGAGATAACCACCTGTCAGTGACCATGCAGGGAGGTATAATCCCTCCTGGCCAAACTAGTGCAGATAGGCTTTAAGTTACTATGTCTCTTTTGCAGCCAACTTCAAATTCTGTAGAACTTTGCAGGAATTATGAATATGTCATGTATGTCCTATCTGTGAAATTTAAACGTTAGCAGTGTCCTCATATTCAAATTATGCAAGGAAACCTGTTTACTTGCTAGACTTCACTGTCAGACACTATTGAGTGACTGACTGGCTTTTTTTCTTCTTTGGTAATAACATACATGAAAAGAGTTGTAAAGGGCACATGAGCATTTGTCTACATCAATAACCCACTTCTTGTGATGGCCAAGATTAAACTGATTGAATCTTTGCGCAGCATAAAACGTTTGACCATTCGGTACAATTGTCTGAAAATCAAGACTTACTTTTGTGCTCTATAGCCCTAAAGTCGATTTGACAGCTAATAGTCATTATTTTCCCGCTTGAAGACATTTTCAAGCCCCACCCTTTTTAGGGAAGTTCTAAATTAGTATTATCTTTCAAATGCAGTTGGAATTTAACTTTTTCATTTTTTTGGCCTGCAAATGGGACATAGTACCTTTAAAAGGTATCATCCTCTGTCTACATTTTTTTTCATACGTTGATGAATCTGTATTTGTGTTCTTGGACTTGAAGCTCAAGTAACAACTGGTTGGTTCGTTCGTGTCTCCTTAGATCAAGATAGTTAATATGTAAAGTTCCTTAATTAAAAGTAAATTAAATTAAATTAAGTTCTTCCATCGCCCGATTGCTGCAATGGCCGTTTCATTAACAAGGGCCAGGTCTTCATCTGTGCAACCCGTTCCGCCGCACTGCAAGATGTGGTCCATCGTCTGAGTCTCTCCGCAGTCGCAGAGAGTATCTCCTTCATGGGCATAGCCCCATCTTGCCATATTGACCTTACACCGCCCCATTCTCGTCCGCATTCGATTTAGGCATTGCCACTCCGGCCACTTTAGGTTAAGCCCTTTGATGAGTACGGGCTTGGCTGATGGTGGAGGATTCTGTTCAGGTGGTGGGACAGAATCGAGGAAGCTGTGGCGGGATATAAGTCGTATGTGGCGTTGTAAGTATCCGTGTAGCATGTGTCTGTCATCTGTCGCCTGCTTCATTCGTTCCTTTAGGCAGGTGTTAGTGCGCCTTTGGTTAGGAGATCCAATGTCAGCGAAGTGATATATCTCCTCAACTTTTGTTGGTTTCAGGCAGCCTGTTATCTTTCGATATGTGTTATTGAGTGTGGTGTCAAGCTTCTTCACATGGGCTGATCTGCTCCAACTGGTCAGCAAGACAATTAAGAAATTTCTGTCAGAACTTTGTTGTAATCTATTTCAGAATGAAAACTAGTATTTACGTTATATTCCACTTTGTGATTACAGATTTGTATCTCGGATAGAGTGCATTTCTACCTTGATGGACATAATAACTGGATGTCTCATCTAAGATTTGCCCAGACGGACAAGGAAGAGAATATGGAAGCTTTCCAATCCTACGGCAAAATCTATTTCCGAAGCACAAAGGTTGTTGAACCAGGAAGTGAACTAAAAGTGTTCTACAGTGAGGATTATGCCAAGCATGTTGGAATACAGACTAGATTGAAGGATCTGCACTTTAAGCAGGGTAGGTAGAACAAACTTCTTTACTGAGGGTACAGCCATGCTGACCAAATGGCATAGAGAATAATAATGGGTTAAGTATTGAGCCTTGAGGAACTCCACATATATTAAAAGAGTGTTCATTGAAGTATTTGCAGTTTAAACCAGGGTACGTAGAACAAACTTCTCTACTGAGGGTACAGCAATGCTGACCAAATGGCATAGAGAATAATAATGGACTTAGTATTGAACCTTGAGGAACTCCATTTTTGATTTTGTATCACTTTATTATCAATCTTCAATAAAGGAACATACATGTAGTATAAACATAAACGAATTGCACAGTCACAAACATATAATAAGAGTAGTCCAGGTCATGGCTCATTGAAGGGTTTGCATTTTAAACCAGGATAGGTAGAACAAACTTATTTACTGAGGGTTCAGCAATGCTGACCAAATGGCATAGAGAATAATAATGGACTAAGTATTGAGCCTTGAAGAACTCCACATAATTATATTTAAGAGTGTTCATTGCAGGAATCGCAGTTTAAACCAGGGTAGGTAGAACAAACTTCTTTTCTGAGGCTTCAGCATTGCTGCCCAAATTTATGACATCAAAGCTATTGTACATGTATGCATGCCAAAGATTATAATGGACTTGTCTTGAGGAACTTTACATTTATTAGAGAGTGTTCCTTTGAAAGTATCTATTTTCATTTTTGTTTAGATTCACAGAAGTTCCAGTGTAGCCAGTGTGCAGATCTGTTCACATCTGCTAAACTTATCCTGAGGCACATCACCATATGTGAACACACCAGTCGTACAGCAATTAAGGTTCTACCTGTGCCTACAAAGAAGGAGAAAAAGAAAATATCAGCTAGAAATAAGAAAAGTGCTAAACAGCCACCCAGGAAGAGGAAAAAAGTGAGCAACAAGGAAGGATGTGCTTTTAAGTGTGGTACCTGTGAGAAGGTCTTTGATTCTCGCGGGAGACTAAAGGCCCATGAGCAGTTTCACGATTACAACCAGGACCACACTTGTCCTGTGTGTGGGAAGAGACAGAGAAATGCTCAGACGTGGGCAAGACACATGATGCTGCATAAACCAGGGAACGAAGCCAGGCCCCACAAGTGTAATGAATGCAACGGAAGGTACAAATCGAAAGCTGCGCTCCGGAAACATGCGAATGAGATCCATGGGTACCCTTGCCGGTTTTGTAAAGAACGGTTCTTGAAAAAGAAAGACTGTCTGAATCATGAACTGACACACCAATCTTTCTTAACATCCCATTCTGGTGCAACAACCGACCCATCTGCAATGCTTGTTTCATCTGCAATGGTTCTTCCATCTGAAGCAACAAATGCTACAGCAGAACCATCACCTGATAAGCCAAAGGATATGCTTGGTAAAACTGCTACCTTCTACCTCAGAAATCGCCCGTACAAGTGCCGCTTCTGCCCTAAGACCTATCTAACCCGCAACGTTGCCCTTGTTCATGAGAGAGAGATGCACTTTGGAGACCGAGCCTACAACTGCAGTCATTGCTCAAAGTCTTTTGGTAAGGAATCCATGCTGGTGGCACACCTTAAGAATCATGAGCAGCATCGCATGTATCGCTGCACGCACTGTCCAAAAACTTTCAGGTCCGAGAGTGCCTTTAACAATCACCAAGGAGAGCACAATGGACTGAAACCATTCAAGTGTGAGCTTTGTGGTCGAGGATTCAGAGTTAGAAAAGGAGTAACTCATCACAAGCGACGCATGCATCAGGATCGCCCTATGCGTTTCTTCTGCTCCGTCTGCAATAAAGGATTTACTGATAGAGGAAACCTGATAAAACATGAACGTCGTCATGATGGTTTTAGGCCCTTTGAGTGTTTGGAATGCGGAAGCAGATTCACAGCAAAGTGTTCCCTCGAGAATCATGCACGTACACATGTGGCAGAGAAACCATTTTCTTGCGAGATCTGTGGTAAAACCTTCCCGCGGAATGATTATTATACTCATCACATGTTCAAACATAAACTAGAGGATGAAGGGATTTTGGGTAAGGGCGTAGAAGGATAGATGGCAAACATCATTAGTGTTTTGTTACCTTAATGACAGATGAATCAATGATCAAATTCAATTCAGTTTAATACAGCCATAAATGAATACTGTTTCAAAAGCAGACACATTGGTATGAAATGTTTGTGAATTGTTCAGGCTTATACAGCAGGGAATAATTTTCCTGGTATCGCATCGCAATTTGCTATGCATTTTTGCATGACTGCTATACAAAATATCTTTTGTGTAGCAGTTTTCTTCCATAGAAATGTACAGAATTTCATTTGAAATATTTATCCATCGGCTGACATTGCTAATCAAAAAATTTGAGGAAAATTATTCCCTGTACAGTAGGCTTGCGCATGCACCATGTGAGAGAGAGGGAGGATTGAGTAGTCCTGAAAAGGACTCTGTAATCTTTCTTGAGGGTGTGTATAGTCCTGAAAAGGCTTGTTCATGTATGTCGTGGTAAACTGCGGCATTTTCTTTTCTTACGTTAAATACATCTGACAAGCGGGCATGAAAAAAGTAGCTGCACACAACAATGGTCATACGTGTATTCGCTTCTTGTTTCTGTGTAATACAGAAACGTGAAGTGCAGTACGGTTAAGTAAGTTTTAAAACCACTTCAGTTTACTGCATCATACATGTATGTGAGTAAGCCTTTAAAGGGACTTGGTAACATTGTTCAGATGAGAGAAAGTGGTGCTAAGGTAGTGACTTCAATGCTAGATGTAGAAATTATTACCGTTATTAATGATATAAATTGGGAAAAACTGATCTGATCGATTCCTTAATTCTCCCAACTATAATATTAAAATTTAATTACATTTTAGGTGAATGTAAATCATCACAAAGCAATGAATTGGCTCTATACCGGTTTACCATTCCAGACATTTAAGTGTTGACAGATTTTTTAAAGCCTGTATTATGTCTTTTTTTCATGGAAAAACGGTTGGGAAAATTCAAAAATAGTTGGAAGAATTTACTAATCATCACTGTTTGAGGGTGTTGCACAGTGACGCCTTCAACGAAAACCATAGATATCTTTTGAGTTTGTGGTTTGAGAATTTTTTTCAGGATTTGTTATATGTTAGAGGGTTAGTACAATATAAGGAATATAATAAGTAACATTTTGACAAAGATTCCATTTTGTAGATTCCAGGATAGCAGTACACATAGACATAGGAACTTGATATCAGTTATGGATTTGTTACTGCTTTACATTATATACTGCTTTACAGTATATATATATATATATATATATGACCATACTTCTGCTATCTAGACTAGTATAATGTGTATGCTTTGCTTATCATAAAACAGGGATGTGAGAGTTCCGCGTTTCCGCGAATTTCCGCGTTTTTAGATCGCCCCGTCGCGTTTTTATTTTCTCCATTGAAAAAATCCGCGTTTTGCCCCAAGACAACTTATTACTTTAAGGGTCTGCGAATGCGAGACTAATACAAAAGCAAAAGCGCGCGCGCGCGCCTGCTTCAAAGATAGTACAGCGCCTGCATCGAGTATTGCTAGCTCAGCGCGCCGCGTGCGCCGGGCGTACCGTGCATTTCGATCGCTATACTATCTACGGTACGGTGTTTGCATTGATTCACATGTCTTCGTGCAGTGTGCTATTGATTTTTGTTACGATATTTCAATCAGAATCGGCGTTCTCTTTTGGAAATATGTATTACTTTCAAAGAAAATCTGTGAAATATGAGACAACATGGCAACTCGAGATCGGAATTTTATTGAGCGAGGAACGAAATTGGACTCGGAATCATTGGAGGAAGATAAGCGGGATCCACTGGTTAAAAATCCATGGAAATGGTCTTGGATGGACTTCACGCACAAAGATCAAAAACTTTCTCACTCTTTCCGTCTTGTAAAAAAAGCTGGCTACGCCGTGTGCGTAGTGTGTGATAAGGAGTGCAAATATGGTTCTCGTGGACGAGTTTCATTGACTGATCATTTGGACTCTGTTGCACACCAAAAAGTTTTGAAACTGAGAGCAGCAAATACTTTACTTCCAGGTGAGTTTACAATTGTATTTTAGAAATTAGAATCGCGGACCCCTCAAAATCCTTTAACTGATCAAATTGTTTTCTTGTGTGTGTGTGTGTTTTTTGTTGTTGTTTGTTTGTGCTGTAGGCCTATGCATTTTTATAATTATACTGGAAAGTTTTATTAATAAGACTGGTACATTCAAGTTACATGTGTCAAATCATGTCATTTGAATGGCATCAGTGATTTTGCTGGCCAGTGCCTAGGGGGGTGTTATGCTGCCCAAATTTTCATGTGATGGGTGTGTGTGTGTGTGTGTGGGCAGGAATTTGATTTGTTCATTTCTACATATAAATGTTGGCATATATTGTCATGCATTATTTCGTACAGAACATACTTATTTTCAAAGAATTTGGGGTGAGTACAGTGATACTTGGGCAGGTGCATGTATATGAATGTAACCTTGTTCATGAGTTTGCCTTTTTTGTATTTATTCATTTATTTATATATTTTTTTTTTGTTTGTCTTGTAGGTCAAAAACAACCAATGACTACTACATCAACATATGGAATTCACCCCATGTTCAAAAAACAATTGGATAAGCATGAACAACAGTTCAAAGGTGGACTCTCTGAGCCAAATGTGTCATTGCCCGACAGACAGGCATATGCAGAAGCAACCATACTTGCGTTTACAGCTGAACATTCCCTGCCATTTTCAATCGTGAATGATCTTATTCATCTTAACCAAGAACTTGCCAAAGATAAACAAGTGCTCGAAAATTTATCAATGGACAGAACTACAGCTTCGTATAAGATGACCCATGGATTATCAAAAACATTTCATGAAGAACTCATTGAGGATTTGAAATCCTCTCACTTCTCACTGAATATTGATGAATGCACAAGTGAGACAAATCAACGCGTTGTAACTGTCCTAGTCAGTTATTTTTCAGAGAAGGAGAACAAAGTAGTCACAAAACATCTGTCATCTTTTAAAGTAGTGACCGTAAACAGCGAGACTCTGTACAATCATTTAGTAGCTCTATTTGATAAGTATTCCCTTAAATGGGAGAACTTGGTTTCTATTTTGATGGACTCTTGTGCCGTCATGCGCGGTTCAAAAAGTGGACTTGAAACACGCATTAGAAGTAAGAAAGCTCCTCAGTTGCTTGACATAGATGGAGACTCATGCCACCACGCACATAATGCTGCAAAAGCCTTCTGCCATGGATTTGATAACTACATCGAGGGACTTCTCAATGACATCTATACTGATTTCAAGTGGTCCAGTGACCAAAAAGAGGTCTTGCGTTTCATCTGTGATGCACTGGGCATCAAAGCAACAATTCCAGAGCGATATGTGCCCCATAGGTGGCTTTCTGTATACGATGTTTGTGTAGATACATCTCGATTGCTAGATGCTCTGATACTTTTTTACTATCCCTTTTTGTCTGGATCAGACAGTTCAACTTATCTCCCAGTTGTTGATAGCATGTATCAAAAACATTCAATCAGTGAATCAGTAAAGAAGGAAATCTGTAAACATCAGTCTAAAATGTCAAATAAGACAAAAACAATGACCCAGGCTGGAAAAGACCGTAAGAAGAGGATTGTGAAGAAGCTGTTCCATACCCCGAGTAAAACCAAAGTACTTCTCCACATTTACACCTCCATTCTTCCTATGCTCAAGAAGTATGTCCTGTATTTTCAGTCTGTGACACCACTTGTCCACAAACTCAATGACAAACAGCAGGATTTACTGAAGGACTTTCTTGTATGTTTCATTAAACCTGAAATCTTGAACACACAAGCCTTGCATAAAGTAAATGTGAGTGAGGAGAACATACTACCTGACAATGCGGTGTTCCTCGTCAGGTACATCAAGGAGAATTTACAGGGACCTGCTGCAAGTGAACTAGTGAACAAGCTAAAGACTGCATATCTGAAATGTGGTCAAACCTTACAGAGAAAGATGCCAGTGAACAACAAACTGCTGAGGTGTGCTTCAGCTATTGATCCAGCATGTAGAGGCCACACAATCACACTCCAGCGCTTACTCCAGCTACCACAATTAGTGGCATTTGCTCTGAAAGATGTGCAAACTCATGAATATGAGAAGGAAGCAAGGCAGTATAATACAGACAAAGAAATTGTTAATACAGAAGAGAGAATAGACATATTCTGGAGTTCATTACGAGAGAAATATCCAGTTATGACAAGAGTGGCACTGGCACTGGTTAGTTGCTTTCATGGACCACAGGTGGAGTCATCTTTCAGTATAATGGGGAATGTTCTAAACACTGAAAGGCCCAACTTGCACATTGAAACATTTTCATCCATACAAACAGTGAAGTATGAGTTAACAGCAAGTGGAAAATCAGGAATCAGATATTTCAGAAGAAAAAATTACCTGAAAGATCAGGTAAATCCCAAACTCTGCAAGAATATGAGATCAGCATACAAGTCATATGTACAGGAAAAGGAACACAAGTCTGGAATGTCACAAACTGTACCCAGAAAGTCTGCTTGTCCTTCAAAGAAACAAACTAAGGAGAAAGCAATTGAAGATGCTGACAAGGCACGGGTGGAGCACACACATAAACTGATGAAGAAAGTGGAGAAAAGGAAATCTGAAATGCATGAACTACCTTCTAGTAGCAAAAAAGTACTGAAAAAAAAATGACTGGAGTAAAGAACTAGCAAATGAGAAATACTTAGAGCATCAAATACTTAACTTTAGGTACGTTAATCATTTTTTATTGTAGACCATAATAGAAGATGTTTCTGGATTTGGTATCATATGGAATGGTGAAGAAATTTAGTAAATGATGCTCTATGTACTCTATTATGTATATTGTAAATAATATGGAAAATTAAATGTTTAAAACATTGTAAAATTATAATCTTACCCCTATGAAATAGTGTTTTCTCTACATTTTAAAATGCAAAAACCTCTGGTTTCGGGGGGCTTTGCCCCTCGACCCCCATTAGGGGCTTTGTTCCTGGACCCCCAGCCATTGGGTATGAGTCTGCTCGCTACGCTTTGCAAATCTCCTCTTTTTTTAGTTTGCTGCACTCACATCCCTGATAAAAACATTAACTGTAATAAGTAGTCCTAAACAACAATTACCAGAATGTTTGAATTTATGTTTTTTTTTACCCACAATAAGACAATATACTGTAATTCTTGGTGACAGTACATTTTAGATTTGATAAAGATAGAAGGATAGGTTAGTTATTCCAACAGATGAGTAAATGTATTTCAAGATTTAAGAAGAAAAGAAAAAAAAAAAATTTGTCTAAATTGCAAATGGTTGATTATTTGGTCATATCTTATCGAACCATTTGCATGAAAGCTAAAAGTTTTACTTCGTAATTCAGTTCAGAAATGTATGACTTACCGTTGACAAGAACATAGTGTCAAGTACAACAATGCATCATCTAAAGACTAAGGAGTACAGACTATATTCATACAGTATTCATGTAGCATCATTATACATGTACCTCGACTTTACTGTTTGTAAATTGTAGTTTAAAAAATAAAATAATAAATCATGGTTCTATAAATTTATTTTCTATAGCATTGTTTTCTAATACTTGTGCCTATCTCAATTTGTAGAGATTGGATGAGAGAGTGAAACAGAGATAAAAGAGGGAAAGAGAGTGGGGGGGGGGGAGCGAGTAAGTTGGTGGGGAAAGATGGAAATCGTGCCACACAAAATTGATTTTAGAATTTAGATGAAACAAAACATTCATGTTCATGACTTACGAATGAATTAATATCAACATTTTCCCATCTCTTTATATTATATGACGGACTGCAGGCATTGTGTCTTCTCAAAAGACTGAAATTTACACAAAAATACTATGGGAAAATTTTCAGGGACGTAACAATGGGTGACATTTTTGTGAATATACATGTAGTTCCAAGAACTTTCATTTGTACTTTGGAATAAATGTTACATGATTTTTAACTACCGTAAGTTCTAAGTAAAGGGTGTAAGTGTAAGGGCAAGAGAAAGAGAGAGAGAGAAGGGGGGGGGGGGACAATATAGAGATTGAGGGGAGAGAAGGAAGAAGTTCAGTTTCTGCCCTTTCATATGACACCTCAATCAGGAAAAATGAGCTTAACTTCGATTCATTGACGATCAGCCATACACGAAAGACTTCATGCATGGCTGATTTGCAACGAAGCGGAGGTAAGTCTTTTGTCAATTCTGCTTGTTGCTACGGCAGTCAGCCAGTGAAAATGAACTTTTTGAATCAAATAATGGAAATGCAAGCATCACTTTAAACAAACAGAATTTTGTTATTCGTCGCTCATTTTTCCTGATTGAGGTGTCATATGAAAGGGCAGAAACTGAACTTTTAGAAATATGATTTTCTCTTTGAAATTCAGATACAGTGCGCCAAATGACTTTCTGGTTCCCTCTCTTCAAATTGATTATTATCACTCATGCGTGAAATATGTATCATATGAGTTGCGTCAAATAAAAGAGGAGGATCTAAGCTTTACAAATATGTGTCATTTATTAATTCTAATTGTGATTAAGTTATGATAAAACATTGATAATTCTCGGTCTCGCTTTTTTTGGACGCACTGACCTTCACTATGAACATGACTGACAAAGAAAGCGGACAAAATATACAGTTCCTCAGGTACTCAAAGGAACATCCCTTCACTGCTATTATGTAAAATTGTGTAGAACAGGTGTCACATGCATATTCACCTTTTTACATAATAGCAGTGAAGGGATGTTCCTTTGTCTACCCGAGGAACTGTATATTTTGTCCGCTTTCTTTGTCCGTCAGTTCATAGTGCTTAGTTATAGCTCTATGATTATTACATTCAATATTTTCTTTTTTTTGCATCTTCAAAGATACCTTTGTTCACACAGCCTTGAACTTTTTCATTTCCGGTGAAGCGATACAGCGTCGGATCGGTATGATTTACTCATATTTTATTCTAATTGCGAGTAAAACATCAAAGTCGTTATATATTATGTACATTCTAGACTTGATATAGAACTCGTTTTTGTCATAATGAATATGTAGCATATGTTATTTAAGGTTTAATTGACCCGCGGCCGCGACGGCTGCTGCTATAATTTAGTATATTAAACTAGCGACAGCGCATACAGCTTACACTGTTACAGCAGCCTACGCGATGTTTATGTTGCCAGCCCCCTGGCCTGGCCCGGCCCAGCGCCACGAATGGCCACGGAGCACCGCGGCGTGTTGCCGTCTAGACCGAATTTTTCTGTCTCTTTCGTTCGTTAGCCTTTGATTTGGGTAAGGTCGGCTCTCTCTTTAGAGACAGAACAGCCCTATACGCTTTAGTGTACACGCGTTTGTGTAAAGAAACGTTACACAAAACTTGGCCAAACTTGATACCTAATTTTGATATTTTACGGGATGCATATCCGATGTATTTAGACTAGATCTAGACCCTATAGGCTTGTTCAAAAAGAGCTAGGCCTACATGCTTAACTACTTCGGTTCCACTTACCAACTTGACTACTTGAATCCGTTTGATGGTCCCTTTTCAGGAAATTATGGGTCGAGATCGACATCCATGAAGAAAATCTTGCAGCCGGGTTGCGTATGACGTCATCTATCTTCTTCTTCTTGATTTGTTTTTGTTTGGCAATCAGTCACAGTTGACTATTTTTGCCACACACTATTTTATGAATTATTTATATATATACATATATGTACAATTTCATGTCATAAATGACTATTTTTAGGATTCTTTCTCCTTCCATCCTCTTTCCTTCCTCTTTTTTTCTTTTTAGACTCTATAACTTTTTTTAGAGAGAAAATTCAATAAATTAATAATTTTGGAAAGAGACGACGGCCTAGCAAGTTGTGAATAGAAAACGCCTATAAACTAAAACTAAACGTACGTACTTGTGTTTACGCGCACGTGCGCGTTCAAATATCACCTCACGTATGCACATGTGTACTTCGCACTTACCCCCACCCTTTTCAAAATGCCATCTTACCAGTCTTTGAGGTATATTTCGCAGACTTTCGGTTTTAACCTAGGTCACTCCGGCATAGGTGAGGGGTGCCAGCTAGCATGTGATGTTGGAGGTGATCACCGAATTGTTAGAAAAGTAAATGGTCAAATTAGTTACAAGTATTGTGGGCTTTATTGGTGCAAGAAAAAGGAAAAGAGAAGATAAGAAGAAAAAAAAAAAAAAAAAAAAAAACTCAACAATAATTTAATTGTTTTGATACAGCCGCTTTGTTATTAAAACGAAGCGAACTATTGCTTTTTGTTTAACTATTTCTGAAAGTTTAAGTAGTGTCATGATTTCCTGTGGATGTGTTAAATCAGTTTCTACGAGTAACATAGCTCTTTCTATTATGTACTTTGGGCATTCAGTGAGAAAGTGGTTTACAGTTTCAGTACGTCCTATGCAGTTATTGCAATGGCCTGTCGAGTGTATATTCAATCTGAAGAGATCTAAGTTCAAACCTATCACTCCTATTCTTAATCTATGGAGAATACTTTCTTCAAATCTGTTCAACTTACATTCATATGGTTGATTTACTGTAGGCAGTATATGTCTAAGAGATCTATCAGAATTATTCCATCTGTCTTGCCAGAGTTTTATATACTTGCTGGTAATAATACTCTTTATTTCAGAAAAGGATAATTTATTACAAATTTCAATGTTATTTTGTAAAGCAGATTTTGCATAAAAATCTGCCATTTCATTTCCGTGTACACCACAATGGCTAGGAATCCATTCTAAGTGTATGTGTTTTCCTTGATACGATAATTTTGTACTTAATGTAATAATTTCAGTTACAAATGTAATATCTTTTTCATCCTTTATGGCGAGCAGGGCGCTTACGGAATCACAAAAAATAACAATGCCAACATACACATTAATGTTCTCTAGCCAATTAAGCGCAAGGACAATTGCAGCCAATTCGGCTCTGAAAGATGAGGTGTGATCCGCCAATCGTTTGGCTTGTTGAAAGGAGAATGCTGGTACATAAAAAGAAGCAGAACTTATTCCAAAACTTGGAACCTTTGACCCATCTGTATAGATGTGTAGTTGTATTGGCCATTTGGTACTGATCAATTCTAAACTGCGTTGACGTAAATAAGATGGGTTTTCATGTTTGTTCACTATTTCGCTTAATTCTATCGACACTTTTGGAGCATTAATTTTCCAAGGGGGGAAACTAGGTATAGTGTAAGGTTCGATAGTACAATGTTTCATTAGTTCTGTTCTGCATCCAAATGGCTTGTTATTCTTTTGGAGCTTCAAAAGTTCCATTTGCCAGCTGGGCTTAACGTTTAATATGACAGGGTGATCTCGATGCATTTCAATCTTTTGTCTGAATCTGTCCGCCAGCATCTGTCTTCTTAAGTCTAAGGGCATTTCACCTAGTTCAACTTGTAGTGAATCTAATGATGTAAGAGGAAGAGCTCCCGCACAAATTCTCAAGGCTTGATATTGAATGGAGTCAAGTGATTTCTTTATACTTTGAGCCGCACTGTCATAGGCTTCACAACCAAAATCTAATAACGATCTTATCAATGCTCTATATACCATTAGCAGGGATTTCGAGGAGCTTCCCCATGTAGTCCCAGTAAGGCACCTAAGAATGTTCAGTTTCTTTTTACATCTAAGGACTACGGCATCTATGTGCGTCTTCCATGAAAGTCTTTTGTCAAATATAAGTCCTAGGAAATGCTTCTTTGATTGAAATAAAAGTGCGTCGTTGTTTAATTTCAGTTCTGGGTATTTTGCTTTATTGTTTTTAGTAAATAACACTGGAAAGGATTTACTCTGTGAAAGGCGAAAGCCCCATTTAGTAAACCATTCACTCAATGTGTTCAGATAGCACTGTATTCTGTTTGAAATAATTTCTATGTTATTACCTGACATCCAGATGACACAGTCATCAGCATAAATAGATGTGGTGATTAATTCATCTGTTGGAATATCACTCATCATGATATTATACAATATAGGACTTAAGACACTCCCCTGGGGGAGGCTGTTGTACATTTCATATAATTTTGATTCTTCTTTACCAATCTTTACTTGGAAAGTCCGCTCTTTCAGATAGTTATAGAGAAACTCGAGCATATTACCTGTAATACCATGTACTGATAGTTTGTAAATAAGGCCTTTGATACAAAGTCTGTCATATGCCTTTTCAATATCGAGAAAGATTGCTAAAGTATATTCACCAACATTAATGCTTCTTTGGATGGCATTCTCTAAAAGTACAATGTTATCCGTGACCCCACGTTTACTACGAAAGCCAGTCATGAGGGGAGGAAGTATATTGTTCTTTTCTACATACCATTGGAGTCTATTCTTCACAATCCGTTCTAGTATCTTGGCAAAACATGAGGAAAGTGCTATGGGTCGGTACGACGATACCTTTCGGGGGTCTTTATTCTGTTTTAACACAGGTATTAGGATAGAGTGTTTCAGACTGGGAGGTATGCTACCCGTATCCCATATCAAGTTCATGACCTTTAGCATATATTGTTTTGCTTTCTGAGGAAGTTTTTGGTAAACCTGATAAGGGATCTTGTCTTTTCCAGGAGCTGATTGTTTACATGTGTTTAGAGTTTTTTGCAATTCAAAAAGAGTGAATGGTTCATTCAAGATATGCTCCATTCCCCGCTTCAGTGATTTCGTGACTTGTTGCTCAACATTTTTGTTTTCTTTTATTTCTGGACATTCTTTAACATTACTAATTGATTGGAAGAACTTAGAGAAAGCCTCAGTCTTTTCACTGTTACATGTGATTTCTTTTTCATTTTCTATCAGGACTGACATGTTTTTTGTTTTTTTGACAGATACCCCCTTTAACCGTTTAATGGTAGACCATACCGCTGATTCTGGTACAAAGCGGTTGAGTCTTGAGCAAAATTCTTGCCAGTAATTTCGTTCTGCTTGGCGTAGAGTTTTTTGTACCTCTGATTTTTTCTTCAAATATGTATTTAGATTTTCTATTGAAATGTGTCTTTTTAATCTATTATTAGCCCTGTTTCTTTCTTTGATACTTTGTGTACAGTCTTTTGTCCACCAAGGTACAGGGTCATGTTTTTTCTTTCCCCTCTGGGGCATTATTTCTTTAATAGTCTCTGACAAACTTTTCATAAAACATTTATACATTTTCGTAGGGTCGGAATAGTTGCCACTATGTTCAATTTTATGTTCACATTTTTCGGCAAAAGTGTTCCAATCAAAATTTTTAAAAGACCAAGTTGTTTCCTCATGTATCTTCTCGCTGTTGCTGTTTACTTTCCCTGCTCGGTCCAATAATATCTGGGTGGAGATGGGAAAATGGTCACTACCAAGGGTGTGCCGTAAAACTTCCCACGAGCATAGGCAAGATAGTTTGGGGGAGGTGATGCTAAGATCCAAACATGACATTTTCCCAGTGCGTGGATCTATTCTGGTTCCTCTTCCGTCGTTTAAAATTATAAAGTTATTGTCATGTGTGAAATTTTCAATTGTGTGCCCATTTTGGTCTATCTTTGCACTACCCCACACAGGATTATGTGAGTTGAAATCCCCAACTATAAGGAATAGATTGTATTCTAGTTTGTTAATCATCCTGTTCAAAACAATCTCGTTTAATTTTTTGCAAGGGTTATAGAAATTGATTATGGAGATTTTTGATCCAGCAACATGAACTTTAATATGTTGTATTTCGAATTCTTCGTCATTGACAGGATATTCATAGTTGATGGAATCATGTACATAAATGGCACACCCTCCTTTAGATTGATTTTCCCTGTTTCTAATAAAACATGTATATTCAGGGATTTGCAATATTCTATCATCATTGAACCATGTTTCCTGAACACAAATTAAATGGTACTTTGCATCTTTATATGAATCTAAGTATTTTATAAGTTCAGGACCGTGATTAAGAAGTCCCTGCGCGTTCCATTGTAATATGGTTAGCGCTGTCATCATCATTACTATGCTATACCAGTACATCTTTAGCGTCATGTTTTACTCTTTGTTTGAGCAGTCTCTCAGCTGCCACTTTCACTAAGGATGAAATCTCCTTCTCGGATTTTCCATCCGTAAAAGTGAGAACAAGTTGCGTAATGAAAGAGATTATTTGCTCATCACTCATTAATGTTACTAGGTTACCTCGAGGGAGGGCTTCTAGTTTTACTTCAGTTTTTCCATCCTTATCTATTAATTTACTGCTCTGTGCGTTTTTTTGCAGCGGGGTGTTCCAGGGCTGGGGATCAAGTTGCGGGGTGGCGTTTTCAGGGCGGATTGCTGTGGATGACCTCACTGGTCGGGGAGGAAGAGGGAGGTTATCTGAGTTGACATTGAGGGAGGGATGTGATTCAGGGAGGTTGGCTTGTGGTTTCTGCTGTGCTTTTTCTTGCTCCGACTGTATTTTTGCAGCTTGTGCGTATGAAAGATTGTTTTTGACTTTTACTATTTGTATCTTTTTGGCTTTCTTAGCTTCAAGACAGCCGTCAAAGGCTGCTGAATGGTTCCCACCACAATTTATACATATCGGTCTTTCTTTTCGGTTACATTCCTCAAATTTGTGGTCTTCCCCGCATCTGACGCATCTCATCTTTGCTTTGCATTGAGCTATGCCGTGGCCGTAGCGTTGGCATTGAAAGCATGTTATTTAAGGTTTAATTGACCCGCGGCCGCGACGGCTGCTGCTATAATTTAGTATATTAAACTAGCGACAGCGCATACAGCTTACACTGTTACAGCAGCCTACGCGATGTTTATGTTGCCAGCCCCCTGGCCTGGCCCGGCCCAGCGCCACGAATGGCCACGGAGCACCGCGGCGTGTTGCCGTCTAGACCGAATTTTTCTGTCTCTTTCGTTCGTTAGCCTTTGATTTGGGTAAGGTCGGCTCTCTCTTTAGAGACAGAACAGCCCTATACGCTTTAGTGTACACGCGTTTGTGTAAAGAAACGTTACACAAAACTTGGCCAAACTTGATACCTAATTTTGATATTTTACGGGATGCATATCCGATGTATTTAGACTAGATCTAGACCCTATAGGCTTGTTCAAAAAGAGCTAGGCCTACATGCTTAACTACTTCGGTTCCACTTACCAACTTGACTACTTGAATCCGTTTGATGGTCCCTTTTCAGGAAATTATGGGTCGAGATCGACATCCATGAAGAAAATCTTGCAGCCGGGTTGCGTATGACGTCATCTAAATCTCATCCCTTCTAGTCTACGCCGAAGGCAAAATGATTATAACGGAAAAACTGTGCATGTCATTACGAACTAATAGCTTGTGCACAGGTTTTCCTTCCATAAGTAGTGCAGTGGGGCTTTAATGTAGTAGACCAACAAATCGTGCCTTATTTATTCTGTCCTTTTCTTTTCTCTCTCGTCACAGCGTAGATGCCTGAACCATGGAAGGTAATTACCCACCTGGTTTCTACTGCACTGACAGAAATCAGCAAGAAAGACATTCCCAACAACATCAGCAACATGTTGCACCCTACCCCTTGGACCTACCATACCACACAGCCTCACAGCATCAGCCTGAGTTTGTAGTCGATCAGCCTCTCAGAGCATTCCCTGCACCACACACTGGCCCTGGAGTGTCTATATTGAGCTCAATATATCATGGTAATAACTCAAGAACATCAATGTTTTCTTTGAAAGTCTTTTTGCTTTTGATTGAATTTGATGCAAAAAGATATACTGTAGGAGCCATTGCTGATTAGGAAACACCTTTATTTAATTGCTGCTGGTAAATATCATCTGTTTTGAGCCAGAAGAGCATGAAACAATTTAACCATCAAAGCTTTTCTGGCTTTTTTTGTATCACACATTAGTCAAAACATATTCATTCACGTGATTGGTAATAAGAGCTTCCATTTTACTTTTTTAGAGGGGGGTGTTTCCAAAACTGGTCTATACCTTTTAATATTTGTAAATTTCCCAGTAATTGGCCCTTTAGGTTGTGAAAAAGGGACCCTCTCACAAGTTTTCTGCATTTTGTTTATGTTATTTTGTCAAGCCTTTATTAATTTGATACTACTTTCCTTTAAAATCCTAGAGCAGTAGAATTTATACTTGATGTTGGATAGTTTCTGCGCTCTATAAATGTATTATTATTATTATATTATTATTATTAAAAGATTCAACTCCTGTGCTTCCAAACTCAAATACCGTCCACCAAGCTCACCATCAGCTGCCAGCCACTCTGAGAGGTCAGAGGATCAAATTAGCAACTCAGTCAGCAAGCTATACCCCACTTATCACAACTCATAATCCACTTTCCGACAGCACCACACAAGGTAAATATCTTCATGCAAAAGTGTCGTCATTCACCATGTTAAAATTATGTCGTACACTTAAGGGGTTAGAGACAGCTCATGTTTACCTCTCACTATTTCACAATTATTTGTTTACTATGTTGTTTTCTTGTAGTGGTTGACCTTCAGAGAAAATGAAGATAAAAAGAAAATGTAAAAATATAGCACGGTTAATGTTCATGTTGCATCCCCAAGAGTCTTAGCTTAATTGAAACACAGCCAGACAATCATCTTCCTTTGAAAATTTTTGTTTGGAGCCAGAAACTCACATACCTTGACACAGAGTCAACATCGAGGCTCTGATCAAACAATTCTTTGTACAGTCAAACCTGTCTACAGCGACTGCCCAAGGGAAACAAAAAATGTGCTTGTTGTAGACAGGTTATCTTTGTAGACAGGTTCCTTTAGTACATGTTTCAATGAGAAACCATTTTTAAGGGAAACAAAAAATGTGCTTGTTGTAGACAGATGGTCACTAAAGCAGGTTTGACTGTATTTCTTTTGCCATTTTTTTCTTTCACCAGGCCAAACACCCATAGCACCACCAGCTCCTTCCAAGCCATTACATTCCAAAGAACAGAGAAAGCAGGACACGTCCTCTTCATCCCAATCTAATACAAGTCCTCCAGCCTCTGCTGTTGAGCCATCCCTTCTTGCTGCTCTCAATCTGAAAAAAAGCAGAATGCTATCGTCAACTCCAGAACTTCCGCAGGGTCTCTCCTTTAGATGGACATTGGAGGGTAAGGTTGAGGGAGTGGTTGCCAAGGGAACGGTAGAGAAGGGGTCGGAGTTTGGACCCTACCCAGGATCACTGATGAACGAGGAGCAGGGTTTGTCCAAGGATTCTACATGGGAGGTTAGTAATACAACAGAAAGCGTTTTTTTGTACCGGTAATAATAATAATACAGTCAAACCTGCTTTAGTGACCACCTGTCTACAACAAGCACAATTTATGTTTCCCTTGTAAATGGTTACTCATTGAAACATGTACTAAAGGGGCCTGTCTACAAAGACCACCTGTCTCCAAAGACCCCTATTTGTGTTTCCCTTGGGCGGTCGCTGTAGACAGGTTTGACTGTAATAGTAATACATGAGATTTATAAGGTGCCAAATCCTTGTAAAATAAAATGCTCAAGGCGCACTTGTGAAACAAAACAAAAGAAAAAAGGAGATCACATAAAAGCATCTGCATTATAAACAAAGGAACAGAAGTAATATAGAACATACAAAAAATGCAGAACAAATAACTATATGCTGAATTAAACATATACATTTGAATATTATTATTAATCACTTTAACTGATCTGCTATTACAAATTCTTGATACTTGATCCCCATCTAATTCCTCAGCAACAAAAAAAATATGACTTGTCTGTAATATGTATAGTGTATTACACAGAGAGCTACAATATGATTGCCATCATTTCCTTGGCAGAGATTGGATTGGAACCACTACCAGTCCTCAATCTTTGTAATATACTCTCAGCAAAGTCAATGAAGAAAATTAAGATTGTTCAAGTTGAAGTCTTGTTTCCAAATGACATCCTAACACCTGTAACGGCATAACCAGTCTATTTTCTTCAATAGTCCATCATGCATTTTCAAATGCCCCTATTTCTTAAACATCCTAAATTTATTATGCATTGTCTTTTCTTTTACTTTAATGAATCAATTTGATTTGTGTAAATCTTTATTTAAAATTGTTTACTCTAACTCATAGAAGCATATTATTAAGGTTGTCATTTGAAATGTTGTTTTGTAAATAATCTGAAATGACAACATAGCAAGCAGAAATGTTATTATCAATTTGTAAATGTTATCATAACAACAGGTTTGCATCTCTGGTCAAGTATTCTTCTACCTCGATGGACGTAAAACCTGGATGTCTCAAGTAAGATGTGCTCAGGGTGAGGAGGAACAGAACATAGAAGCCTACCAATACTATGGGGAGATCTACTTCAAAAGCATAAAGGTCATTGAACCAGGAAGTGAACTGAAAGTGTTCTACAATGCGGAGTATGCCAAGCGTGTTGGAATCCATACAAAATTGAATGAACTCCGTTTCAACCGCGGTAAGTAGAATACATTCACACTTTCTAAACTCATTTCAAGTGACCTGGGGGTGTTTCACAAAGACTAAGATCAATTTTAATTTGGACTTAACTATGGCAGGCCTTTCATGCCACTACATCTTCTAATTATTCTTGGCAATGGTTTCTTAAGGGACGTGCAAATCGTGGTCACAAATCTACAGAATTTACCTGTTTTGATAGTTCATTATTGAAGCAAAAAATATTATCTAAAGATCATAATAGAGAGACCAGTAGTGAGAGCAACCAGTGGCATGAATGGCCTGCCACAGTTAAGTCCAACTTAAAGTCGATATTAGTCTTTGTGAAACACTCCCCAGGTGACCTGATATATCAACAACAAAAAATTCTCTATGTAACCTCATAATGCATGTACAAGTATATAACTAAATCACTTCAGCATACTTCATTGTCTCTTTATTGAAAGTGAAAAGGATAACCAAATCAGTTGAATTACAAATATGTAAATTAAGACTACCTCTCCCCCCCCCCCCCCCCCCAACAAAATAAATGAAGTGGACCTAAATCATAGCCTTGATGAACCCCACATACATATTTTTTGGAAATTGCAAGGGTTCCTTTGAAATTACTTTAAGAATTTGAGTTTTTCTCTCAATGTTTCAGATGCACAGAAGTTCCAGTGTGGTATGTGTGAGGATCTGTTCACATCGGCTAAACTAATCCTGAGACACATGCGATGTGAACACTCCCAGGACAGAACAGAAGACCTGTATCCCGTGCTGATGTGGAAGAGGAAAAAGAAGAAGAAAGCGTTGGAAACTGAGAATAGCTCCCAGGAAGATTTAACCATTGAGAATAAAGTTAGTGAGCAGGGTGATCTAGTATTCAAGTGTAGAACTTGTGAGAAGGTCTTCTCCTGCCATGGCAGGCTAAAGGAGCATGAGTCATTCCATAAATTCAGCCAGGGTCATGCTTGTCCTGTTTGTGATAAGAAAGAAACAAATTCCAGAACCCTTGCGAAACACATGAAGACGCATGAACCTCTTGTGCTGAAGTGTAAGGAATGTAACCGTATCTACAAAACAAAGTCTGCACTTCGCAAGCACCTGAATGAGTTTCATGGTCATCAGTGTCGAATCTGTTCCGAAAGGTTCCCGTATATGACAGATTGTAAGAAGCATGAGCAGACACATCAAGGTTCAACCAAGAATGGAGCACATACAGGAAAGAGTTTGTTAAGTGCTTCATCACCTGAGGAACCAAAGGATATGCTTGGTAAAACTTCTAATTACTACCAACGGCCCTTCAAGTGTCGCTATTGTCCAAAGAGATACAGTTTACGTAGCAGCGTCAAGACCCATGAGAAAGAGAGACACACTGGAGACCTAGTTTTTAAGTGTCCTCATTGTCCAAAGGTTTTCGGTAGAGAGTATCGCCTGATAGATCACCTTCGAAGCCATGAAGAGAATCGTATGTACCGTTGCAAGCTTTGCCCCAAAACCTTTGGATCGGAGAGCGCTCTCACCAACCATCAAGGAGAACATACCGGACTGAAACCGTTCTCTTGTGACATCTGCAGTAAAGGGTTCAGAATTAAGAAAGCTGTCCAAGATCACAAGCGACGTATCCACCAGAAACGCCAGATGCGCTTCTTTTGCTCCGTCTGCAATAAAGGATTCGCTGATAAAGGGAATTTTACTAAACATGAACGTCGCCACAAGGGTGTTCGGCCGTATGTTTGCTTAGAATGCGGCAAGGGCTTCACGGCAAAGTCGTGTCTCACAACTCATATAAAAGCCATGCATACAGCGGAGAAACCCTTCTCATGTGAGCTTTGTGGAAAAACTTTCTCTCTGAATCAGAACTACACGTATCACATGTTCAGGCACAAAGAACAGGGAGATATAAGCAGCATACAGCAATGAATACAATTCTCTCTCACTCATTCATTGTTTGGTGTTAACAAGTCTATTGGAAGCTTTATGAAGTTCACCATGTTTGAATAGTTGTGAGATTACTCCAAACTCCAAATAAGAAAATTGATCTGAGGCAATTCATTGCTATTCACTCTGGATCACACTTAATTTTCTTTAATGAAGGTATGCAATGCACATTGGATTAAATTGGTTTCTTGTTGGACTACCTAGTATTGTTAAGGCCCTTTTAATTTATAGGGTAAATAAACTCTCCCTAAATAAAATAAATATATATGTTGCTTGGATCGGGTTACTCCTGTCTCGGGACCTATGGCACAAATAAAGACTAACGGATGATCTTGTCTGTGGTAGGGTTGCAGCTAATGTGTAGGCTTACGTTACCCCCCCCCCCCCCCCCCCCCCCCCCCCCCACTCAGTGTTATTTAGGGTACACATATTTTTGAAAACACCCCCTAAGCTTTAATTTAGGTGTGCTTGTAATTTTTCTGTAAATTTGAAAATGAAATTCACAGAAGGTATGGTATTTTGACAACAGAGATGTCTAAATAGCAATATAGCATTAGGCCAAATAACTAAAATAAAGTGTTTTTCATCCTCGCCTGCCTCCTTTTTGGCCGCAGCCTCCTTTTTTAAAAATTACTATTAACTATTCAGAAGAAAAAAAGCCCCCCGTCCCCCCCAAAAAACACAACAACATGTGATATACACTTTGTTTAAAAAGCTTCTTAAGTGATACAAATCATTTGTTTCATCATACATTGCATCAGTATACTCACATAGCACAATATCTGTGAATAAATAAGCTTGGCCAGCTATAATTAGCATGGCAGCCATCTTGGAAGAAAATAGCAAAAATAGTAACGCCCTACCGCTTCCTTTTTTTAAACGTCTAGACGAGAAACATGTTATGTTTGTTATCTGGCCTTACTGTTTGCTGCAGCATGTCATGGAAACATTAAATGCTTAACAGTTAATTTCAAAGATATCTGATTACATTTAAACTTTAAAAGTTAATATTTAAATTCTACAATGCAATCGCATTTTGAGAGAAAATGGTTGTGATGCATCGTAATTGTTGTTTCAAGTGCAGGCAGTAGAAATTGCCTCTTGTATTGAAAGTGCTGAATATGTTTATTCTCTGAATATTCTTTTATTGTTATTATACAAAGTACATGTAAAAGAAAGTCAGCATCATATTTTGTAATCGACTTCAAATATTTTGATATCATTGATGATAGTGAAACCAGACTTGGTCTTACGTTTTTGATGTCTCAGACTTTCTTTCTTGTTCTCAACCTGGAATTATAATGGCAAATGTTGGTTAAAAACACTTCTAGTCCCACTGTTTTTACTTGTCAAATGATGCTAACTTTCTTTTTATTACTGGTAACTATTGAACTATAGCCGCTATTTGTTTCTGTTGATATGAGCTGATGTTATCTTATATTCAAAATCATGTTTCAAACTATCATGAAAGAAATGATATGTAGAATCTGTAAGAAGAAACTTAGAATGATGTTTATGCTTTTGATTTTGTCTTGAATATACTTCATATCTGTATTTTAGACAATTAGACTGTATTTCTCACTATGGTGCATTACCAAAAATCTCACTATTATGTTAATGGTGATTAATAAATGAAATTTAAAAACTAATGTGTTGGTTATTTAGCAGCTATTAGTAAATAGTAATACATCTGCAATGTACATTGTTTAACATTTTATACATGACAACTCCAAAAAGTATTATTTTGAAAATGTCTGCTTGTTTTGTAATTTTCAATGTACAGTATTCATGTGTAAAAGGAAATATGATGGTCAACATTAAATTGAAACAATGCAAGTCTTTAAAAAGAAATTTTGTAAGAGCTTCGAGAAGAGGGGTAGAGAGAGAGAGAGAGAGAGAGGGGGGGGTGAAAGAGGGAGAGAGAGAGAGAGAGAGAGAGGGGGGCAAATGAGGGAGAGAGAGAGAGAGAGAGAGGGGAATGAGGGAGAGGGAGAGAGGGGGGGGGAATGAGGGAGAGAGAGAGAGAGAGAGAGGGGAATGAGGGAGAGAGAGAGAGGGAGAGAGGGGGGGGGATGAGGGAGAGAGATATAGAGTGAAGAGAGATGGAAAAGGTACGTATGAAAGAGAAAAGAGAGAGTGGGTGAAAGAGGGAAGGTGTGAGGTACTAAGAGAATGGAGTGTACATTTAAATATGATTTGAGTTTAAGCACCAAACCAGATTACAAAACGAACAAGAAAAAAACACTTCACTTTTTTTTAATCCTTATTAATTAATTTATTTTTGAATAGGAGTGGTATTCTGTATTATGTTAGGGTAGAAAAACAATGTTAATTTTCATCAATCATAATTAGGCCAAGTCGTTAGTTAATACCTGAAAAAGGGCTTGCTGTGATAAAGCTTAAAAAAAGTTTCGCAATAAGCAAATTATTATTTATCTAATTATGAAAAAATAATTGTTAACCCAGGGCTCATAGAAAGGATTGAGGGGGTTTGTCTATTCATGTTGGATACCATTTGGGCAAGACTTGATAAAAGCAGGGACCTATAGGGCCACCAACAAATTATGTTCGGTAACTAAATAATTATAAAAAGGGTAATGGTTGGGCATCATCCATATATAAATTAATAGATATGATACACTTTTTCCTCATGATTTGTACGACAAAGAATAAATATACATATTCACTGAGGAGCAGAGATGAGAGGTGCTTAGAGCAGCATGGACATGCTTAGAGAGAGAGAGAGAGAGAAAGGTGAGATTGAGAAAGAAAGATAAAGCAATGTTCAATTTAGAAATTTATCGTTGAAAATTTGCAATTACTTTTAACAATTCTTTGGGATTTAAACTAATGAAATAACTTTAGATTTTTCATGCTTGTTTGTGATGTATCCCGGCGAAGTTACTGAGCTGCGTTTTGTTGTCTTTGGATTCGTGTAACGTATTTCCTTTTTTATTTGTATCATTAAAAATGCCGTAAATTCTAAAGCCAAGGTTTCTTTTTCGTGTTTCTGATTTTGTGGGATAATTTTGCAGATTTGCTGTGGAAAAAAACGGCATATGACTCCATATGATTCTCTGAATTTGGTAATGCTAATGACGGTAATTATAATTAGATTGATACCTAGCTATTTTTCATGTTAATTTGTAGATTTTTCATCCGTATGAGAAACAGCTGATGCTGCCGAGGCGAGGCGAGGCCGAGCTCAGCCCCGAGCTCCGAGGCTGAGCTGAGCTGAGCTGAGCTACCCTTCTCTCGGGCTCGGGCGGCCGCGGGTCCAGCCTAATTGTACGCCTTGGCTTGGTCTTGGGCGGGCCGGGTCCGCTATGCATATTGCTAGATAAATTTAAGACGGCCATTGCCATTGGCCCAGGCATTAGAGTTTAGACTGTTACAACATACAATGTTAGTGCCATTTTTACAGATGCTCACAATAGACCTAGGTGACTTAGGTCTACTGAGCGAATTACAGACAGTGACTTTCTCATCCTATCGGGCACCTATTTAAACACCCGGGTGGAGAGTGGCAAATGTGGATTGATTAAAGTTTTCTGTTTGTGCTTCTACATGGTAACCGTCCAAATACTTCTTGTTTCTGTACTTCTGTTCCTTTTATTGCTTTCCAATCATAAAAGTATGAGTGATGGAGCCCAATTACCAGCCTGGTTTCTACCTCCCTGAGAGAGATCAACAAGAACATGTACAACATCTACAACCTTCACAACAGCAGCAACAACCACAACAACATGTTGCACCCTACCCCATGGACCTACCATACCACACAACCTCACAACATCAGCCTGAGTTTGTAGTGGATCAGCCGCTCAGAACATTCCCTGTAGGCCTACATCCTGGTGCTCCGATATTGCGCTCAATTTACCAAGGTATTACACTATCTAAAATAGAAATTTATTGGAACTATATGCTTGGTGTGCAGTAAATTAGCCATTCCTGATTTTCTATCGAATATTAAACCAAATAGACTAAAAATTGCAAGCTTATTTCTAGTTTGTATGCTAGTAGAACTTTTTTATTAATTAGTTTGACATGATTATCGAACTAATTAATTGTTAATTTGTACTTTAGTTTGTAAAGAAAAATAGCCCTGCATATTAAAGAAAATGTCCTTTTAACTCTTCAGTAGTTGCAGACTAGTGCGCGTATATCTTGTGTATAATATATGTTTGAAGAGGTAAGATTTCGTGAAAATGTTATAAAAATAAAATAAACTTATTTTACTGTTTTGAAAATTGTCTTTTTTTTGGAAAGATTCTGCTCCCATACTTGCAAGCTCAAGTATCGTTCCCCAAGCTCGTCATCAGGTACCCTTCACTCTCGGAGGTCATGAGGTCAAGTCTGCAGCCTTGTCTGCAAACTATACCCCGCCCATCACATCTTCAGAACCAATCGTAGAAAGCAACATCCTGCCAATCACAACTTGTGAGCAAGTTCCAGGGAGCAACGCAGCACAATTACAAGGTAAACAAAATAGAAATAGCTACCCTGGAAAAACAGTTGTCCTGTCATCCCTGACTCTAAATTTGAGGGGGGCAAAATTATCAAATATTTTGTACTTGAAACTATACTTCAAATTAAGGATGTTTATAATTATCACATTTCAAGAAATATAGTATTTCATCCATGATATTTTGTATGGAGAAATCTTTTCAGCAGTGTGAGTCTGTGACTGATACTATTTTTGACTTTTGAAAAATAAATCTGAGATCAAAGTTAATCATCAATGATTTTGGAATCAAAGTTAATAATCCTTGATTTTGATCTTAAAGGCCGTCTGTACTAGCTTGGCCAGGGGATTAGACTACACAGGGTGGTCACTGACAGATGGCTATCTCATCAACTCAGCTCTCAATTAACATTAAGAAAAAGAGGATCATAGGGTACCAATGGTCAACGATTAGGCATTGTTTTCTATATTGAGGGAGCAAGTAGCTGCAAGTAGTACAGTGGGGCTTAAGATAGTTACTCATTTTTTCTCTCCATAATTATTGATCAGGCAAGACAGATGTTGTACCAGAGCCTTCCAAGCAAACCCAGAGAGAAGAACAGCCAGAGCATCCATCCACCACACATCACCCTAGGGAGAGTCCTCCAGTCCATAACACCTCTGCTGCTGAGCCTCCGCTTCTGGTAGCACTCAATTTAAAAAAGAATCGGATGCTAACATCAAGTGCAGATCTTCCTCAGGGTCTGTCATTCAAAGGGACATCACTGGACAAGGTGGAGGGAGTGGTTGCCAGGGAAACAATTGAGAAGGGGGTGGAGTTTGGACCTTATACAGGGACACTGCTAAATGAGGAGTATGGATGGTTCAAGGATTCAACTTGGGAGGTAGGTAAAACTATATTTTAAGCTGACGGTTGTTAATGTTATCTTCTAACAAGAATTTAAATTAACTAGGTTGTATCCTGTGCGATGAAATTAACTCTTATCCTGCCTTAATGAATACAGCATTAAGGCTAATCTCCATTGTGCCAAGCCTCAAATCCCCTTGTGCCCAGTTAATTTTGAGATAATCGGATTAACACGATGGTACTATCAATAGTGCGTGTGTAACACTAGGCACAGTGCAATGGGCATGAACAATAACTGCTATTACGAATGCTAGCATGCATGCACAAAGCAGATAAGCGGTAGCTCGCTCGCATGAATGTAGCAACCAATCGATAGCGCGCTTGCGTACATACAAAGCACTTTAACGGTAGCGTGCAAGCAACCTTATGGCAAGATATGAGTTAATGTTATCTTCTAACAAGAATTAAATTAAAACTAGGTTGTATCCTATGGGAAGAAATCACAGGAAGATAAGAGGTATACAGATGGATTTCCTGATTTTACCCCTTGTCTACGGGAATCAGGTTGTCCCGCGTTAAGTCTATGGAAATGAGAAAATTCAGTAATCAACGGGTTAATCTGCTTGGCAGAGACTTGAGGAAGACTTCTTTGGAGAAATTTGGCGTACATAATCTTGTTCAATTTTACACAACAGGGCCCCGTATTTAGTTGATATCTATCGCAACTTATTTTATGTACATAAGAGATAGGAGACTGCAAACTTGCGATTGATTGGAGGACTTGCAATTGATTTGGAACAATTGCAACTCTTTGTAAGACGGGCCCAGATCTAAATATTGAATAGTAGAAACTTGTAAATTAAATAGCTATTAGTCAATAGTAGTATTACTAATATCATTTTCAACAACTTTAATGATGAAATGTCTCTGCTTCTCTGTTTGGTTCATGATAGTTTTTCCAATTTCTGAGGTGTCTTGTTCGAATGCACTTGATTTCTATCTCCAAACAAGTATCATTATAATTTCAGATCTGTGTCTCGGGTAGAGTGTTCTTCTATATCGATGGACGTAAGACCTGGATGTCTCATCTGAGTTGTGCGCAGAGTGAGGAGGAACAAAATACGGAAGCCTATCAGATCTACGGTGAAATCTACTTCCGAAGCACAAAGGTCGTTGAACCAGGAAGTGAACTGAAAGTGTTCTACAGCGAGGACTACAGGACTCGTCTAGGTTTTCAAACCAGATTGAACGATCTCACATTTAACCAAGGTAAATAGAATAAATTTTCTGACTCTCCTAAGGTCACTTGTGCTGACCCAGGCACACAGCAATAGCCATGGAAAAGTTCTATACCTTTTTGTATATTTAGTATTGTTCATTGTTACTGGATGTCTATTCTTGGAACTGCTAAAATGGGTATACACGTGCACTTTGTTATTGTATCATATCATTCATAAATATAGCTCCAAGGAGGTACTTATTTTGACTGTCAGAAAGCAACAGTGATAGACGATCAAGATCAATCATGGTTATTGAAAATTTATCTTTGATTTTCCACAGACTTCATATATTTCAGTTTCATTTGTGCCAGTTTAATTATTCTAGATACATTTATTTACAACAAATTATACAATCTGTATCAATTATAAAGAGAATTTTAGAATAATAGACAAGGTAAATATATGTCATTCATGAGTTTAAAAACCTATGAAATACAAGTGGACCTCTGACTCAGCCTTGTGGTACTCCACATTCAATTGTATAATTTCATCTTTTATTGTCTCAGATGCTCAGAAGTTCCAATGCAGCCAGTGTGAGGGTCTGTTCACATCTGCCAAACTAATCCTGAGACACATCAGATGTGAACACACCAGCCGTAGACCAGATGAGATGATCCCTGTGCTGACTTGGAAAGAGAAAAAGAAATCTACAGAAAATGAGGTCACTTCCAAACTACAGCTACAGACTAAAGCTAGCGACCAGGAAGAGCAGGTTTTTACATGTGGAACATGTGAGAAGATGTTTCCTTCCTGCGGCCGACTGAAAGCCCACGAGCTGTTTCATGAGTACAACCAGGAACATATGTGCCCTTTATGTGGTAAAGGACAAACAAATGCCCAGGCCCTTACAAAACACATGACGACGCATGAATCCAAATTACACAAGTGTAAGAAATGCACTCGAAAGTTCAAATCAGAGACCGCACTCAGTAAGCATGAGAGGGAAGCGCATGGCTATCGATGCCAGTTCTGTTTGGAACGGTTCACTAGAAAGAATGAATGTATGAAGCATGAGCAGACTCACCAAGCTTTCAAATCATTACAATCGGATACAAAGGAGACACCAGCAGAAAAGACTGAAACATCTCAACCAATGACAGACGAGGCTAAGGATATGCTTGGTAAAACTTCCAACTATTACCTGAAGAAGCGCCCCTACAAGTGCCGCTTCTGTCCGAAGAGATATATTTCTCGTTGCAGTGCAAGAGATCATGAAAAAGAGGCTCACACCAACGAGGGATCGTACAAGTGCAGTCACTGTCCTAGGGTTTTTACGAGTGAGCGTCGTCTGATAGAACATCTGATAAGCCACGAACAAAAAGGTTTCTATCAATGCACGCTCTGTCCAAGAAGCTTCGGGTCGGAAAGTGCTCTCAGTAACCATCAAGGAGAACATACCGGACTGAAACCGTTCAAGTGTGAAATATGCGGCCGGGATTCCGAGTTAAAAATCACTTCCACGCGCACAAGCGACGCATGCATCAGGAACGACCGCTCCGTTTCTTTTGCTCTGTCTGCAATAAAGGGTTCGCCGATAAAGGAAACCTCACAAAACACGAGCGACGGCACAAGGGCATCAGGCAATATGTTTGCTTGGAGTGCGGCAAAGGGTTCACTGCAGGGACGTCGCTAGCTACTCACATGCAGACTATGCATAGCAAAGAGAAACGATTTTCTTGTGAAATTTGTGGTAAAAAGTTTTCACTGAACAATCACTATACTCACCATATGATCAAACATAAGATACAGGAAGATGCTAATATTCAAGAGTAATAATAATAATAGTGAACATTTATAATGCCCCATGTCTGTCAAAAATGACACTCCTGGTGCAGTTGTGCGGAAATTGTATAATTGTGGGCATACGACCATCAAGTAATTCAAGAACGAAAGTAAAATACACTTATACACATAAGTTAAAGTTTAACATACTTAAGGACATAATTTGCAATAATAGAATAATACAATACAAAGCATATTACAGTAATAAAAGTTATATAAGGGTTGTACAATGTAAGACATAATTAAACAAACTAATATGTCGAGAACAGAAATGTTTTTAACAGAGTAAATATAAATCCCTAATTCATTGTCTGTCATATTGAAATCAGTATTAGGTCATACATGTATATCCTTTTGTCTGTATTGTACTCAAATTTAAACCCAAAGGCTAAGAGAAGGTTGAGTTCTGGGAAAGGGGAAAAACAATTTGTGAGCTTTTCATTTTGTTCATGTTGGTGTGGAAGAATATCATGGAAAAAAATGTCCTCTAAAATGAATGGCTCAGTCTTCAAATTCTCTCATTCGAAATATGACAAATAACAGGTAAAGGTTTTGGACCACAGCCCTCATGCCACATGTCTGTGTACAGAACAAGTGGCTCTTAGCAAGACTGAGCAATTTCTCATCATTTTGATGATTCAAAATCCTCACAAGTATACACCAATACTTATGTGCTACATGATCAATCTTTCCAATCGCTTCCACCCAGTTTCATTCATTCACTTTGCAATTGCATGACCAGGTAGGTGTTTTACAAAGATCCTAAGTTGAACTGATCTCTAAGTTGGACTTATGGAAAGCTGTTAGCATCTATTAAAATATTTTGTAAAAGTTATTTAAAGAGGCATAAAATGTTGATTCAAATCATTCATAATTTTCTATTATCAAGGAGACTTCATGTTCTTGATGTGGAATTTATAAAAAGTCCAGAATACTTGAATTTTAGGTTTTGAACATATTTTATTTTAAGACTACAAATGGCTCTCCATAATATTTAAGTCCAACTTAGAGTTAAGTTCGACTAAGGATCTTTGTGAAACACCCCCCAGAACTCAACTTTATCTTCAAGTTTTTATTCGAAATGAGGCTTAAAGGGAAAGTCCACCCTGAAATTAAGTTAGTTTTAATAGGAGTAGAAAAATGAGAGAAACAAGTCAGTGAAAGTTTGAGCAAATTCCGATTAAAAATAAGGAAGTTAGGATTTTTGAAGTTGTGGTCAATCAAACACAAATTGGCAACTCTATGACGTATCATGCGAGCTCAACTACCATTTGCTCAGTACTAAAAAAATCTAAAATTTTCATTTTTCCTCAAGAAAAATTTCAACCATACATGCACCCTAAATATAATAATTGCAAATATGTTTCTATACTCCCCCTGCAAGGAACAAATATATATTCCGTCATCAATAACGAAGAAAACATGATTTTATGGAATATTATGCACAAAGCAAATGAAGGAGAGCTCGTATAATAAGTCACAGAGTTGCCAATTTGTATTTGATTGATCACAACTTCAATAGTTCATAACTTTCTTATTTTCATTCAGAATTTGCTCAAACTTTCACTCACCTGATTTTCTTATTATTCTGCCTCTATCGAAACAAACTTATTTTGGGGGTGGACTTTCCCTTTAACAAAGGAAGTTAGTATGAGATCTAAGTTTTCCTTTGAACTAATCGAAGATAAGATCAACAACATAATCAACAATAGAAGGACGGATTAGAAATCAAACGAATTGAAGAAAGATGCATTGGTTGAAATTGCCAACCTATTTCAAATCAGGCGTGGGGAGAAGCGGCAGCTCCATCAAATAAAGGAGCAATGGAAACGCCTATAAGGCTCCTAGCAAAGAAGAATTTCAGGTACGGTAATATGGATCCTAGTCTAGGAAGAAGGGGGGGGGTGGGCCTTCACCAGAAGAGCCAACACACATCAGTTTGCTGGGGGGGGGGGGGGTGTTTCACAAAGATTCTTAGTCAAACTCTAAGTTGGACTTAAAAGTTATGGAGAGCCATTCGTAGCCTTAAAATAAAACGTTTTCAAAAGCAAAAATTCAACTATTTTAGACATTTCATAAATTCTACATCAAGAACATAAAATCTCCCATGATAATAGCAAATATGAATGATGTATAAGAAAAAAAAAAAAAATATCAATGATTTGAATCATCATTTTATGCCTTTTAAAATAACTTTTAAAAAATATTTTCAAAGATGCTAACGGCTTTCCATAATTGTTAAGTTCAACTTAGATCTTTGTGAAACTCCCCCCTGGTGAAGGAGATGTGCCCTTCGGACTTTGTCCAAAATTAACAACCTATTTGACGAGGATGCCTTGGCCCTCGATTTCTTGGCTGGAGTAAGCTCTCACCAGTAACTTAGTTGAATTTTCCCTGTTGTATCATATGACAGCTGGCTGGCTCGATTCCAACATTATATTTGAAGGAATAGCTTATGATAGGGTAGGACTAGAGGCAGTATTTACGCAATCTAGAAATTAATTATGAACGTGCTATTAAATTCTGCGTGATATGCCACAACCAACAAACAGAAGTGGCTTTGTTAAACATTATCATATACCCAGGATTTGGTGAACCCACACATCTTGCCGTTGGCTGAAGAATTAATCATTTGTCATTCTATAACATCATACTTTATCATTCTATTATCTATGAATTTGAGAGCTTGTAATGTATGCAGAGTTATGTTTCCAAAGCCTTATGCAGCTATAAAACTCAGTTCTTAGAAAATATGTGGATTATTTTGCAACAAAACTTGTCCAGTAATAGTACTGTCAATTTCTATTATTATTATTATTATTATTATTGTTATTATTTAATTCATGAAATATACTATTATATGTATTGTGTCATAGAGAGAAATAATCTTGTGAAATTAATCATAGTATAAATATACATGTTCTTGTGTATATGTTTATTGTACAATGAACTATATTGAGAGAAAAATATCGTCTGTATGGAGCCAGAAGGGTGTTATTTAAAGGTAAAGACCAGTTCTGGTCATGCGATTGCATTGTGAAAGAAACGTGGAATCGATCAGAAAAGGTTGATCATCTAGCATCTAGCATCTGCAAGGTTCTGGAATCATCAAAATGATAAGAAATTTGGCCCATTCTTCGTAAAGTTACAAGCACTATACACAGAAAGATGTATATGGGACTACCCTATATCTCTCACAGACCATGAGAGAAACAAATTTACCAAATATATGAATTAGTAGGCGGTTTCCTGGCAAATTTTTATCATCATGTATTAGTCAAAACATATTCTTTTACATGATTGGTAATGAGAGCTTCCATTTCATTTTTAGAAATTGGGGCGTTTCCAATACTGGTCTTTACCTTTAACCGATTTACTTAATTTAACATAGAGATAAGCCCTTCTGACTGTGAACACAAATAGTGTGTTATTTGTATCCTGTTACATATGGCAATATTTTACAGTCAAAGAAATAAAATACCGGTAGTAATGCATCTTTGTCCTATGTTCATATCTAATATTCAAGTTTTTTTCTGTCTACAGTTTCCTTGTGAGAATCAAAAACATTAAAGAGCATGAGAGAGAGAGAGGGAGAGAGAGAGAGAGAGAGAGAGGGGGGGGGGAGGGAGAGAGAGAAAGATACAGATATATGGGCAGAGGGAGAGAGATTTAGGGCAGAAAGAGAGAGAGGGGGGGGGGGGAGATTTAGGGCAGAGGGGGAGATATATATATTTAAGAGAGAGAGAGAGATATTTCGGGCAGATGGAGAGCGATTTAGGGCAGAGGGAGAGAGAGAGAGAGCCTTTAGGGTAGATGAAGAGAGCGATTTAGGACAGAGAGAGAGAGAGAAAGAGAGAGCGAAATTTAGGGCAGAGGGAGACAGATAGAGAGATATATTTAGGGCAGAGGGAGGTATATATATATATATATATATATATATATATATATATATATATATATAAATAATTATATTTAGGGCAGAGGGAGAGAGAGAGAGAGAGAGAGAGACAGAGAGTGATGACAGATAGGGGCTGTAGTAGAAGAGAAGATAGACAGAGGAGAGCAGGTACGGTTCTAGTTTTGTGTTTTTTCTTCTTTTTTTGGGGGGGGGGGGGATCTTGCAGTGATTTTCTACATGTGCCTTGCTTAAATTCATGTATAAGACAATTTTGTATGGGGGGGGGGGGGGGGGCGGGTGAGGGCTTTGAGCCCTGGTCCCCTCTGGATCACTGGAAAAGATCGAGAGACCTACAGAATGGAGATTCCATTTAACATTGTTTTGGCCGAGTGTGCATGCAAATTGATCCCCCATAGGATAATTTAAAAAAAGATATATTCATTCGCGTATCTGAATTTAAAAGTTAGGTATAGGGATGCAGCTGTCTTCTTTCTAAAGACTGAGGATATCGGGAGGATATGTACCAAATTATTATTAGGCCATGTAAAATTGATTACATGTTGATCGTCCGGATTTTTTGAAAAAGAGGAGGAGGGTGTACCATGTTATTTGATATTTGATATTTCAAAATGGCCGCTCAAAATGGCCGCTCGGTACATTTTCCCCGACAGTCGAGGCTATTTTTTTTCAAGATGGCCGCCGACAATTTTTTTTTTTTTTAAATCAGAAATAGAGCCATTTTAGCAGTGTTTTTCATGTTTTTTTTCTTTCAAAAAAAAAAAAATCAAAAAAAAAAAAAATAAAAAAAAAATAAAAAAATAACAAATAACAAAAAATAGGAGGCGGCCCCCAAAAAGGAAGCGGGCGGGGACGATCAACATGAAATCAATTTTACATGGCCTTATTTCTTCTTTTGTGTACCAGGTGCAGGTGTGAAAAACAGACGAAGCCATTTTTCAATCTCTTTTCTCTTATCAAATTGACAATTAAATCATGTTATTGCTGCCAAACATGGTTACTCTAAGCAACCAAGTCTCATGCAGCTTCGGCATAGAACTGAGTTCAAGTTTTGCTTTTCTAAACCATCCAGGTACCTGTATTTTCTGGTATTCTTTTTTTTCGCCGAATTCGAAGACCCCATAGTTTTGTGTCGAGGGCCAGGGGTCACTTCAATTTGCTGAGATTTCAGTATGAAAAAAATATGTTTTTCGCTTGAATCAACGGTTTTCGTCTAGGTATGACTACTATATATGCCTGTAATGTTAGATTGTATGATATGTATTCTTTGATTTTGATTTTGTTTGATATAAAATAGTGAGAATCACAAATATCCTAACATAGATTACCGGCCGGTGATATCCATTCACGTCTGTATGTTTATGTACCGGTATACTGGAGCTGCTGGCCTGAGCTGTGGCGCGTTGGTGGAGCGAGTGGGTCGGCATCGGGCCTGAGCTGGGCCGGGGTGCGTGGCGTGGTTTCATGGGGGTGGCCGTCGCTTGGCCGGGGATTCGTCTGTCTGGAATTTATCTTTGTTTTTTAGTTTTAGTTTTAGCACATATTTGGTGACTAATATTTCTCCTTTGCTTTGGCCATTGGCATTTTACTTTTTCCCCATAATAAAAAGCATTGTATAATACTAGTCTAATTGTTTGTGAAATTGTGGGCTTTCAAAAACAAATGAAGAAGTAGACTCTAGTCTACGTCTAGATCTAGATCTATGTATAATGTAGTATGTCTTTACTCTATGAAGAGAAATGTACTCATTGGAAGAAGAAGAAGAAGAAGTGAATTAATTTCATGTTTGTGTGGATTCTGGGAAGTGGGAGATGTGCGAGATGGATATTTAGCTGCAGCTTTTGTGAGTGCATGTTTTGGACAGTATTGACTATTGATTATATATATTATGCACTCTAATAATAATAATAATAGCAATAGCAATACTATAGCTAGTTCTTATTACTAGTAATAGCGCTTTTCAGGACCGAATTTGAAGGCCCTCTCAAAGCGCTTTACAGATATATAGACTCTAGATCTATATTAACCCCGGTCTTCAGATTCAGGGGCGGGTTCCTAGAAACCGTCATAAGTCTAACTTCTTGACTATCCCATTGAAACGTGTGTTATAGAATTTACACGCGTTTCAATGGGATAGTCAAGAAGTTAGACTTATGACGGTTTCTAGGAACCCGCCCCTGGTTTACTCGCATACAATGTATGCACATTCTCCACTCCCTGGGGAGCATTCCAGCCAGGCCTCATTTTTACAAGCGCACACTTGCTAATCTCAGCACATTAGCTTTCCATCCTACCAGGTACCCATTTAACACCTGGGTGGAGAGTGGCAAATGTAGATCAATGTCTAGTCATGTAATGATGTATTTGAAAGTATTTTTTTCATTTCATACTGTAATGTTAATGTGTTAATAAGATTTTTGAATTTAATTCACATACTAATCATTGTTTTGGTGGTTCAATTTTAGAATTCTTTTTCATTTTCTCTTTGAATCTTGCCAATCGTTTTGCTGTAAGAATTAACAAGGCATGGGTCAATTATTTTATTGTACACATTTCCGTGAAAAAGTCTTCAAAATATAGGTCTAGACCAGTTTGGACCAGTGTGAAATTAACTTATGCATAGTCAAAGCTTTTAAAAAGTAATCTTTCAGAAATATGAAATTGTGATATCTCTTTGGTTTCAATTTTAGATTTCTCTTCCCCATTTTATCCTGTTGCTGTGTAGATCCGTCCTTCTTATTCTGTGAGCAATGGAAGGTAATTACCCCCCTGGTTACTACCTCCCTGAAAGGGATCAACAAGAAAACAGACAACAGCAACAACCGCCACCACAGCAGCAACCACAACCACAACAGCAACCACAGCAGCAGCAACATGTTGCACACTATCCCTTTGATTTGCCAATACCATACCACACGTCCTCTCAGCATCAGTCTGAGTATATGGGGGACGATCAACCGACCAGAGTTTTCCCAGTACCACACCCAGGACCTATGGCACAAATGTTCAGTCCAGTATATCATGGTAATAACTCTGATTTTGATATTCAAAACCTATCATGTTGCAAATATTTCACTTAATTTCCTTAATTACTTTTGTTATTGTTATGTCGTGTTCTTTAATAGTCGTTTGTTATAAACATATTTCGTTACGTGCCTTGATCATTCCTAGATGTGAGCTGGAGCACATAAGAAATGATTTATTATTATCAATTTGAATTTAAAATGTTCCTTTGTTACTCTTTTAGCTATAATTTTGTAACATCCTAAGTATGCTGCACTTCCCGTTGTAGGTCTACAGACTTTTTTCATTCTTTTCATTATGCTGCTGACATAAATTGTTCAGATTTTTGTTTTACTACTTTTTGCAGTTTTCTATACCAGGTAATTTTTTTTTTTAAATGGCAGAAAATGTTGTGAATTCAATATTGAAGAGGAAAAAATGTTATTGTAAATTAATCTTTGAAAATAACTTTTGTTTCTCTTTCTCTTGTAAGAAAAACAAAGTGACAAACATTTACTAAGACCTACAACAATTAGTATAACACATCCAGCAGTGTACAACTACTTTCATTTCAAAATTTTCATGCAAAAAATAAATAAATTAGTATTTAACAATCAATAAAAACAGAAGCCTCCATCTTAAATGAAGAGATACTTGTCAGACATCAAACTTTCAACTCATTTTGGAGGTCATAATTATTCTCATTCTGATTTCTTATCTAAAAGATTCTGGCCCTGTTCATTCATCTGCGAATCATTTGCACCACGCTCATCTTCAGCGACCAGTCGCTTTTGGGGGTCATGGGGTCAAGTTCTCAAGCCTGCCAGCAAGCTATACCCCACCTATTACTGCCCAAGAACCAGCTGTAGAAAGAAATGACGTGCCAGTGTCACTGACAACTTGTGTGCCAGTTGTAGAGAGAACCGACTTGCCCACCACAACGCGAGAATCAGTCATAGACATTCCACCCATCTCAATGCGTGAATCACCTACAGATAGCTGCATTCCGCCCACCACAAAACAGGAATTGGCCGAAGACAGCTACATGTCGCCCTCTACAGCTCATGAATCACCTATAGATAGCAGTATTTCACCCACCACAACACAGGAATCAGTTGAAGATAGCAGCATTCCAGCTACCACAACCAGCGAACAAGTTACTGACAGTATAAACATTGAGCCTGTCGCAACTTCAGAAGTAGCTATGGATGACGACATTCCTCCTGCCAAGAGTTGGGGAACGGTTGAAGAGAGGAGCATCCGGCTTGTGACAACTCATAAACCACAAGCAGAGGGCAACACATTAAGGGCACAAGGTGAGGACTCACTATAGAGAGGACAGTGTTGACTCAACTTTAAAATGTGTACAAATGACTTTCCTTTTTTAAACAGCTCCAGTTAATGTAACAAATATTAGTAAATGCACAATTTAACTGTGTGACAAGATCAGTAATCTCCTAGATTTTGATTTCTCTTTATTTTTAGAAGAATCATTGTCAATAATTATTCTTTTTTGTGTTATTACTGTTTTTAATACCATTATTATTATATTATAATCAGTTGGTAGATAAAACAGGAACTGAACGTCATCCAGAAATCAAGGGTCACCAGTTTTTGTAAAGTCATCTTCTAAACCATTAATCATATAAATTCACTGTTCTCCTTTCCATAGTAATCCACGACCTTCCTCAGAATATGGGCTGTTCCAAGCAGATTTGCTTTCTGAGATGACACATCGATTCCAAGATCAGCCAGGAAGCTCTTATCTCTTGTTGTAACTGTTCCCACTATTAGAATTACCCTTGTCTTCCTCACTAACTTAGGTCACAAAAAAACACTGCTGCCACCATGTTACATTATGCTTAAGGGGTTTATTTAAGTGTTATTCTTGACTCGAACAGAAGAGAGCTTACACAAATGTTTTAACATGTGAGGAAAGTGTTTATTAAAAGGCATGAGTGTGCCCTCTAACTGAATATACATTATAGTCTGTCAGTTAACCAAATCACATAAACAGGATACTGTTACAGATACCATTAATGTGTTCTTGTCACCTCTTACCAGATACTGGACCAGGTCCTTCTAAGCAGGCCCAGACCAAGGAGCAGAGCGAGGAATGTCAGACCTCACCACATCTGTCTGATCCAACACCACCATCTCCAAGCAGCTCGGGGTCGGAACCACAGCTGTTCGCTGCACTAAATCTCAGAAAGACCAGCGCCATTACAGATCTACCGCTATCTCTCTCATTAAGAGTGCCATCGCAGGATAAAGTGGAGGGAGTGATCGCCAAGGAAACAATAGAGAAGGGGGTGGAATTTGGACCCTATATCGGGACGCTGATGAACGAGGAGCAGGGTCTGGTGAAGAATACATCATGGGAGGTAGGCAATTATAGAAAATTATTAGAAAAAAGTTAAAATACCTACTTCAGATTAAAGAATATAAGAATAATAAAAAGGGAGGGTATGTAAGAAGAGAGAGAAGAAGAGGAGGAGGAGGAGGAGGAAGAAGAGGAAGAGGAAGAGGAAGAGGAAGAGGAAGAGGAAGAGGAAGAGGAAGAGGAAGAGGAAGAGGAAGAGGAAGAAGAAGAAGAAGAAGAAGAAGAAGAAGAAGAAGAATCCATGGACATAATAAAGAATTGAAATTAAATGAAAATGAAATGAAAATACACTTGACGCATATAGTTTCTGCGTACATTTGAACTTCTTCCCCCACCCCCACCCCCCCCCCCCCCCCCCTGCTCCCAGTTTTAAAACTTTTTCCAGTATCAGTTGCGGTAGAATTGAAGTACATCTCGTACACTCAGTGCAGGATTATCAGTAACAGTAGAGGATTGATTTATATAAGAAGTATTACATTCACACGTAACACAAACCCCCTGGAAAAAAAATCAGCAAAAAATTTAAATGACGATATGAGCATAGAGTGCTTCATATTGCCATACACTTTTACGAACAGATACATGTGTAAGTCAATTACTGGTATGCCTAAGGACCTTTGCTGCTTGCTTGCTGTTACTTTTTTCATCACTCCACTTGCTTTGGGGGGGGGGGGGGGGGGGGGGGGTTAACACCATGTTTTATTGGAGCTCTAGATTATTTTGTTAAACCCTTTAGATTGTAATACATGTAATATGATTTAAAGGGTGTTGTACATGTTTGGGTATGATTCAAAAGCCTCCTTCACACGTAATACTGTAAACCACCTAAGGCTAAAAGCAGTGTAATGTGTGAACAAGGCTGAAGATAACCACATTCCTTTTTCTCCATTTAAACTATAGTACTACGATTTAATGGGTGTATCTGTTCAGAGCCAGAAGGGCATTACCCATGTGCTAAAGTATATGAGTCATCGCCCTTCTGACTCCAAACAGACATTATTGTCTTGATCTAATGATGAATCTTTTAATTACAGCTTTGTATCACAGGGAAAGTGTTCTTCTATATTGATGGACGTAAGACGTGGATGTCTCATCTAAGATGTGCGCAGAGGGAGGAGGAACAGAACATGGAAGCATATCAGTACTGCGGCAATATCTACTTCCGAAGCACAAAGGTCATTGAACCAGGAAGTGAACTAAGAGTGTTCTATAGCGAGGATTATGGAAAGTGCGTTGGTATTCAGACCACACTAAATGATCTTCAATTTGATGAAGGTATGTTCTGCCCCATTTTAAGCTATTGTTACGGTATCGTTCAGTAATGAATATCATCTCTTGATGTGATATTTGATAAAAATAAATGAGGACCTAGAACTGAGCCTAGTGGGACACCACGAATATGTATCGTGCATAATAATTTCAAGAAATCCTAGAGAATTGAAAGGTACATGTGTTCTCTTAATTTTTCAGATGCACAGAAGTTCCAGTGTAGCCTGTGTGATGGTCTGTTCACATCTGCCAAACTAATCCTGAGACACATCAGATGTGAACACAACAGTGGAGATGAGATGATCCCCGTGCTGACTTGGAAGAAAAAAAGGAAGAAGAAATATGTGGCAATTGAGGTCAGCTCCAAACAGCAGTTGGCAACACAGATAAAAGTAAGCGACCAGGAAGAATCCGCCTTCAAGTGTGGAACCTGTAAGAAGGTCTTCCCCTCCTTTGGCAGACTGATGGCGCATGAGTTATTCCATGAGAAGGAACAAGCATCTCCAGTAAATGTTAAAGATTCCCTAACCGTTACAAAACAGATGAAACCGCAAGGTTCCAAACAGTACGTGTGTAGTGAATGCACCAAAGAGTACAAGTCATGGCGTTCGCTCAATCGGCACGAGAGGGAAGCTCACGGGTATCGATGTGATTTCTGCTTAGAAAGATTCCCTAAAAAGAAAGACTGTTTGACACATGAGCAGACGCACCAAGCTTTCAAGTCATCCCAACCTGCTGGAAAGTCTAAGGCGTCCCCCACAAAGAGTCGGGCGGCATCTACAGGCATTCAGCCCTCCGAACCAGCACCTGATGAGCCTAAGGATATGCTTGGTAGACCTACCGATTACTACAAACGCCCTTATAAGTGTCGCTTTTGTACAAAGAGATACAGCTCACGGGGCACTGCCGAGCGCCATGAGAAAGAGGTTCATAAGGGAGAGGGGGATTTCAAGTGCAGTTATTGTACAAAGGTTTTCGCCACTGTCAGCCGTTTGAAAGACCACCTTGTGCTGCACAAGTATGTGAATATGTATCGCTGCGCAGAATGCCCAAGAAGCTTCGCATCGGAGAGCGCCCTGAACAACCATCAAGGAGAACATACCGGACTGAAACCATTCAAATGCGAAGTCTGTGGTAGAGGATTCAGAACTAGAAAGTTAGCCCTTAAACATAAGCGGCGCATCCACCAAGAACGCCCTAAACGTTTCCTTTGTACCTTCTGTGATAAAGGGTTCGCTGATAAAAGCGATTGGAAAGTACACGAAAGACGCCACAAGGGCATTAGGCAATATGTTTGCTTAGAATGTGGTAAAGGGTTTACGTCAAGCACTTCCCTCGCTGCCCACAAACAAGCCATGCATATCAAGGTCAAACCATTTTCTTGTGCAGTTTGCAGTAAAAGCTTTGCCTTGAATCATCAATACAATCATCACATGGCCAAGCATAGGCTAGAGGGAGAAGGTAATGCACTTGCCAGCATGCAACAGTCATGAATCAATTCCATGTTTAAGAAATAGCTGTATCATAGGCTGCATAAGTAGCATCAATTTTAAGAACGATGTGGACAAAATTTATTTCAGAAACATTCGCATGTGTTTGTTATGAAGGATTTTAAGACAACATGTTGTGAATTGTAAGTAAACTGTATACGTATTGTTAAACTGAGTATTCAATAGCTTTCAGAATTTAAAGAAAAGAGGAAACTTCTACTTCAGAATAAGACAGTGATGGATGTTAGCTATTCAAAAATAAGCAACAACAACAACAACAAATGGGTTCCATTTTGTGAGGTCTAGGTAATTTCAGCATGTCTCGCTACTTTTCAGGGAAGGGGGGGGGGGGTAGAGACAATCATGAATATTGTAAGTGGCAGAAATCTGAATAGAGTCTAATTCTAACTCATTACTTCAAAACAGTTTGGAAAGGTACAACAGTATTCATGGATATTGTCAAGACTGCTATTATGTAATAATTTAAAAATCTCTAAAACAAAATGTGTAGCATTCTTCAAATAAGGTTCTGTTTGACTGAAATTTCTTGTCTAAAAAATGAAGAGATTATGGTGTGCCACAGGGTCCACTGTTTGGACCTTCTGTTTTTCTGGGTAGATGATTTTAAATTTAAATTTCCTATTTATAATTTGATATTTCTTGCAAATTTACAAGCTTTTTTTCTTCATATATAACCTTGGTAAATCCTTTTATTGCTGCATTTTACCAATCTTATTAATTAGTCAATAACTGAAAATATGTATTTTGACAAAAATCCATGTAAAAATATACAAATTCCCAAATTGTATAGAAAACTATGGTTTTGACAATTCCAACAAGTTGCCCATGAGGCAAGCAATCAGTTTTATGCATATTTCCCTCTGTAATAATTCCCTAGCATCAAAATCCATATAGAAATGCAATAATGTTCGACACAAAGTATGCAGAATTTGTCCTACTTAGCATTTAATATAGATGTATATTTGTTAGGATTCTGAAAAGTTTTTGAGCCAAACTACAACAAAGTTGGGTAGATGTCCTGAAAGGATTGAAGATAAATGTATGTATTATAGAAGAAATCATGTTATTATGAATATTCAATGAATTTTAAATGTACATGATCTGTATTCTTATTGTTTTAGTGCATTTAGTCAATCTTGTGAAGCGTGAAAATTAGATCTTTCTTCACAATAAGTCATTAAAAATTTCTTCTACTGATCGTGAAGAAAGAACTTAAACATACAAGACTTATCTCCTCTTCAGTGGATCTTGTGAATTTTGAAGCAGCAATAGTGCTACCTTATTGCCCAGATCTTTTTGATCTGTTTCTCTCTCTGTAATCTCTGTATTATTCATTCATTATTGTGTACATGTTTTACATTCATATATTTATATTCTTGTTCTTGTTCTTGAATTCAAGCAACTGATTATAAAATGTTCTGTATTTCTGTAACAATACAAAGTTTTGCGACATGATACTTTCAGTAATTATTGACAACAGCCAATTTTCATGAATTTGCAATTTTTTTGTTTTATGACATGTCAAATTAATGTAGTTTATGATGTTAAACTTTATGAATCAACACCAATTACAAATTTGGAAATGTTTCTTACACCTGAAACGGATAGTTTCTGTTTTGACAGCAACAGTACTGTGGTTTAAATGAGACTTTTTAACATCTCCTCAAAGTAACATTATATGGACTATGTTGCAATTTCTGGTTTCTTTTAGATGTACTTAATCTGAAATTTTGTCTACATTTAAGTTACTGTTCTTAAACTGTTTCAGAACTTCAGACTCACAACACAAATTCAATCACACTTGATACAGCACTGAGTTTGTTAAAGTGTGTTGCTCTGAAGATGATGTCATTTACAATTTGCAAGTATTACATGTATTCTGTTGTAGGAAAATATATATTGAAGCAATCATATAGTGGAAATAGCTTTTCAGCTCTTAGGAGTCTTAGGCTTATGTTATGGTCAGTAGTTATTTACTTGCTTGGATTTACTTAAATGTAGGGAAGTAAAGCTTATAGCTTATTTGCCCCTCGTCACATTGGGTAGTCTGTCTCTAAAGGGTGAAAACTTAATTGGATCGGTTTTCCAGTGCGTCTCAACAACAGATTTGAACATTATTTAAACATATTTGTGGCTTACACCCAGTAAATAAGATCGATTGATCGATCTGTATTGAAAAACAAGTCAGAAAAAATCTCAGAACCAGCGGGACTTGAACCTGCATCTACTGCTTGCCAGGCAGCGACTCTACCACCAGGCCATCACTGGTCCATCAATCGATCTTATTTACTGGGTGTAAGCCACAAATATGTTTAAAAAATTGAAATTTCTCCCAGGAAGCATTACATTTATAAAAGATTTGAACATGTTAACACTATTTTTATGCCTCCGTTACGAAGTAGCCGGAGGCATTATGTTTTCGGGTTGTCCGTCCGTCCGTCCGTCCGTACGTCCGTACGTCCGTACGTCCGTCCGTCCGTCCGTACGTCCCGTTCTCGTGATCGCGTTATCTGAAGAACCGATTGATGGATTCCTGCCAAACTTTGGTCATGTATGTTACTTGCAGAGCCGATGAACTGATTAGATTTTGGGGTCACGAGGTCAAAGGTCAAAGGTCACAGGGCTCATTATGTATGCAAAAACAGCTCGTGATCGCGTTATCTGAAGAACCGATTGATGGATTCCTGCCAAACTTTGGTCTTGTATGTATCTTGCAGAGCCAATGAACTGATTAGATTTTGGGGTCACAAGGTCAAAGGTCACAGGTCACAGGGCTCATTAGGTATGCAAAAAGAGCTCGTGATCGCATTATCTCAAGAACCGATCGATGGATTCCTGCCAAACTTTGGTCATGTATGTATCTTGCAGAGCCGATGAACTGAGTAGATTCATGGGTCATGAGGTCAAAGGTCATGGGCTCATTATGTATCCAAAAATAACTTGTGAACGCATTCTCATTAGAACTGACAGATGGATTACTATTTAACTCAGAACATCTTGCAGAGCCAATGAACTGAGTAGATTTTAGGGTCATCAGGTCAAAGATCAAAGGGTCATATATGTATATGAGAAATTGCTTGTAATCACGATATTCTGAGAACCTCTTAATGGATTACAATTGAACTTGAATTTGAAAAATTTCTTCTGTTTTGGTTTGTAAAATTGCTCTATGACGGAGGCATCATTTTCGACTGCGCGCAGTCGAAGTTCCATCTAGTTTTTTTATGCCTCCGTTACGAAGTAGCCGGAGGCATTATGTTTTCGGGTTGTCCGTCCGTCCGTACGTCCGTACGTCCCGTTCTCGTGATCGCGTTATCTGAAGAACCGATGGATGGATTCCTGCCAAACTTGGGTCATGTATGTATCTTGCAAAGCCGATGAACTGATTAGATTTTGGGGTCACGAGGTCAAAGGTCAAAGGTCACAGGGCTCATTATGTATGCAAAAACAGCTCATGATCGCGTTATCTGAAGAACCGATAGATGGATTCCTGCCAAACTTAGGTCATGTATGTATCTTGCAGAGACGATGAACTGATTAGATTTTGGAGTCACGAGGTCAAAGGTCAAAGGTCACAGGGCTCATTATGTATGCTGAAACAGCTCGTGATCGCGTTATCTCAAGAACCGATGGATGGATTCCTGCCAAACTTAGGTCATATATGTTGCTTGCAGAGCCGATGAACTGATTAAATTTTGGGGTCATGAGGTCAAGGTCAAAGGTCATGCGGCTCATTATGCATGCAAAAATAGCTTGTGATCGCATTATCATTAGAACAGATTGATGGATTCCTCCCAAACTTAGATCATGTATGTATCTTGCAGAGCCAATGAACTGAGTAGATTCTTGGGTCATGAGGTCAAAGGTCAAAGGTTATGGGCTCATTATGTATGCAAAAATAGCTTGTGAACGCATTCTCATTAGAACTGACAGATGGATTACTATTTAACTCGGGACATCTTGCAGAGCCAATGAACTGAGTAGATGTTAGGGTCATGTGGTCAAAGATCAAAGGGTCATATATGTATATGAGAAATTGCTTGTAATCATGATATTCTGAGAACCTGTTAATGGATTACAATTGAACTTGAATTTGAACAATTTCTTCTGTTTTGGTTTGTAAAATTGCTCTATGACGGAGGCATCATTTCGACTGCGCGCAGTCGAAGTTCCATCTAGTTTATAAATATAATGCTTCCTGGGAGAAATTTCAATTTTTTAAACATACTTGTGGCTTACACCCAGTAAATAAGATCGATTGATGTTAACACTAGTGGCAGAAACTAAATCCTCTGGTAAAGCATTCCAATTATTTATTTTTCTAACCGAAAAGGAATTCTGCCTTAACTGTAATCTGCACCTTTGCTATTTTAGTCTCATGCTATGACCTCTGGTCCTGCCACTGTCGTCAATCTGAAATAACTTGTTTAGCTCAATTCGATCAAGTCCTCTTGAAATCTTATAGATTTGAATTAATTCAGCTTGTTGTCTTCTGTATGAGAGAATATAGGTAGTCTCGGAATCTTTAATCGTTCAGGATAGTCTACAATTATCTTTATCTGCTTCTTTCTTGAACAGTGCAATTACAAAAAAATTACCACTGTTCCTTTTTAAAATTCACTGTTTGAATCAATTTAAGAAAATAGTTTTTGAGGCATTTCAATAATGATGATAATTAAATTAGATAATTAGCACAGCCACTATATAAATTATGAATGTACTCTACAGCACTGTAATTGGAAAAAAAGAATTGTCTGTACTATATAAAAATGAATATTTTGTTATGATGCATTATATCATTTAGCACATACATGTACAATGATTGGAAAACTGTTTAATACTAGTATGTTCATTTTTAATTTAATTAGATGTGAACATTTTGTAGATTGTGTATGTGTTGTCATGTTGAAATCATGTTTTTACTAATGATTTAGTAATGTATCTGTTTGATATGGTGCGTAGTTACATTTGTGCATATGATGGCTTGTACGAAGATGTAATAAAGTCATTGGAAAGATGTCATTGAGGAAGTGCTTTTGAATTTATCACTTTGGTTATCAACATTTAATTAAACAATTAAGAAAATAACAATAAAGAGAAAAAAAGAGAGAGAAGATATATGAGAGATAGAGAGAGAGAGAGATATATATATATATATATATATATATATATATATATATATATATATATAGAGAGAGAGAGAGAGAGAGAGAGAGAGAGAGAGAGAGAGAGAGAGAGAGAGAGAGAGAGAGGTGGGGGGGGGGTGGGTGAAAAAGATAGATGAGACATTGAGAGAAGAGAGGAAGAAGGGGTTTGGGAAGGAGTAGATGCAATGAACATAGACATGTAGTCCTGTGGAAATGATTCATTTTCAAAGATTTGCAATGATTATCTATGAAAAGAGGGAGATAGCTAACAGGACAAATTAATGGAGATAGGGAGAGAGAGAGAGAGGGGGGGGGGGGAAGAAGCATGAAGTGAGAGAATAAAATAAAAGAAAGAGAAGGAAAGGGGTGCATGACCGACAGGAATCCAGTGAAAGAATAATGCAAAGGTAGGATGTTCATTAAGCACATATTTGCAAATGTGAATATATGAGTAGAAATATTTAATGTATCATACATTAAATGACAAATAGATCATTGATTTAAACAAGAAAATCAATGTTGTTTTCTCTTTCCCATAAGGTCAATCTATTTTTGTCACCTCGTACTATATTCCACACCAATTGTGTAAATACCATAAAAATATACTCAAATATGTATCTGTATGGTAAATACTGTCATAATAATTCATTTTCACTTTATACATCGCAGACACCTTACTTGAAGGCGAAAGAAGAAAGAAGAAAGAAATTGGCCTTCAAATTACCTATTGTTTGCAGAGAATTTTGGATCAGATTTGTCAGTAGATATCTTCGCATAAGAACGACGACGTTCTTTTCGGTATGAATTTGTTAAATATGAATTTTGTATTACGTTTTCGGTGTTTTTTAGCTCTTAATTTCATTGTATTGGCTCAGGCGTCAATCACACATACACATGATACAGTGCAGTGCTGAGCTGAGTGCATGTCGCGTCCCGATCCCGTGTGATCGCCCATCTACCCCATCACACGCAAACACTACGATAGCGATTTGCATGCAATCTGAATGTGAAATAAAATTGCTTGCACATAATAAAACACGTCTGTCGCTGCTATAAATGGCTAATGCTACCTGACTCTCCCTACTCTGCACTAGCTGAGGGAGACTTTTACTAGTTTATTGTATTGTAATTGTATTCAGTCACAGCTGTGATTGTCGTGATACTGAGTGATGAATGATGAATAAATGGTGAGGTTACTTGCCTTGAATCTTGATACGAAATTAGAAATAAATTGTGAAATCATGAATTTACGATGAATCATGAATATTGTAATATCTTAACAATGTTAAATGTTGTATTTTGTAACTTTATGTCATACGTATTCTGTTTCTCTTTTTCAGTAGGGGCGCTGGTCCGAAAATGAGGATCATCTGTGTAAACGCGAATAAATAGCGTCCTAAAAGATATTGATGTTTTTTTTCTTACGCGCTCTGCAGGTTTTGGGTTCCCGATCCTCGCCCTAGCAATGCAAAAAACGGATTCTGCATATTAAAATACCCCTTAAATGCATCAAGGAAATCGTCGCGGAATCCGTTTCTGGCGTCGCCAATGCTGCGGATGGGAAATAAGAATCGTCTTCGAAAATGCAGACGATCCTTATTCTCAGACCAGGGCCCCTACTGTTTTTGTATGTTTTTTTTTATAGGGTTCAAAGTTCCAATGAAGAAATAAAAATTGTTTTAAAGCTTATCAACCCTAGTGTGGCTAGGAGGGATTAGACCACACAGCGAGGTCACTGACAGGTGGCTATCTCATCAACTCTGCTCTCAAATAATTAACATAAAAAATAGAGGATCATGGGGGACCAACAGGCACTGATTGGGGAAGTTTTCTATATAGAGGGAGCAAGTAGCTACAAGTAGGACAGTGGGGCTTTAAATGATTTTTTTCTTCTCCCAATTTATCACAGATCTGCATGAACCATGGAAGGCAATTACCCGCCTGGTTTTTACTGTACTGACAGAGATCAACAAGAAAACAGACAACATCAGCCTCCACAACAACCACCACAACAGCAACATGTTGCACACTTTCCCATGGACATACCTATACCGTACCACACAACCTCACAACACCAGTCTGAGTTTGTTGTGGATCAACCTCTTCGAGCGTTTCCTATACCACATCCTGGGGCTCCGATGTTGAGCTCAATATATCATGGTGAGTAGCTTCAAGTATGGTACGTCACAGAGTTGCCAATGTGTTTGATTGATCGCAAATTAAAACATTTATAACTTTCCTATTTTTAATCGGCTCTCACATACATGTAATTGAAGTTGAATGGCATATGGTTTTTACTTGCACTGTACATAACATATTTTACTGTAATTTTTTTTTTTTTTAAATTTATTTTTTACTATTCATTAATAAGTGCTTTGTCTACACTCATGCACTTCATGGCACTCCTAGCTCCTTGCAGCTACTTGCCTCACTTACCATCACAGTATATATTCCTGAGAGAGATGCTAAAGGGATTGCTCAATCAAGTATCAAGTATTAAGTACTTGAGTTCATCTCATGAACAACAAGATCAAAAATAACAAATGTTGGACATTTGATCGTACCATTAACCATCACAGCACATTCCAAATTTGTCTACAGTTTCACCTGTATCTAGTATCATATCAACATTATCTGTCATTTTCTTTTGAAAATTAATTCCCTTTAGATTCTGCCCATGGAGTTTCTAATGCAGGCATTATTCACCAAGCTCGTCAGCAGCTTCCTGTCCACCTCAGGGGTCATGGGGTCAAATCGTCGACCCTGTCGGCAAACTATGCCCCGCCCATCACAACTCATGAACCAATCCGAGAGAGAAATGACCTGCCAATAACAACTCATGAATCTGTATCAAGCATCATTCAGCCCCTAACAACTCCCGAATCAGGTGCAAAGAGCAATGTGCCACGACCACAAGGTACTGTATGCAACTTTTGTCTTGTCAGGTTCTGCCAACTGGGGCTTTGTCTTATAAAGAGTTGATATTAATCGCAATTATGTACCTAAGAGATCATAGGGGACTGCAAACTGGCGATTGATTGGACGACTTGGATCAATCGCAACTCTTTATAAGACAGGGCTCCAGATTTTGAAAGATTTGTGATGGTGGTGATGATAATGATACTATTTAGCATCACCTGTGCCGGGAAGGAAAGAATTTAACATGATTAAATTACCAATAAAGTAAGCCTTAATTGGTGATGGTATTTGGGGCTCTAATTTAAAATAACTGTAAACAAATCTATGCAAATGTAAGGCAAGGTACTGAAAAATGCATGCAAACTTATGACTAAACAACTGGATCAATTTTAACATGTAATGACAAAATCCCCTTAATTTGACAAAGGATTAATATTTTGCTTGATATGTTCCAGTCACTTCTTATATTTACATTGCTACACAGTTATATTCTCATAATTGTGTAACTTCATCTCTTTAATGTATTTTGATTGTATCTTAGTGGGAAATTTGTCTTACAAAGCCACCACAGGCTTTTTTAAAGTTCTCTTTTTTGATTTCATATAAATTGTAGAGTGAAAAATTCTTTATACATTACCAATGATATGATTACTCTGTATTTTTATTATCTTTTGTATGAAAGTTTATTCGCTTTGATCATATTTTTAAGAAAATGACTCTTCATAAACGATTGATTGATTGCTTGATTTGACATTAGGCCAGACATCTACTGTCACCGCTTCAGTGAAGGAAATACAAACCATCAAACAAAGAGAGCAGTGTTCATCCTCTTCACATCAAGCAAGTGCTAGTTCATCATCTTCAGACACCTCTAATCCAACTCCAAACACCTCTAAAGACGAATCACAGCTGCTTGCCGCCCTCAATCTCAAAAAGACCAAGTCGATTCAAGATCTTCCACAGAATCTCTTGTTTAGAGCGACACCGGAGGGCAAGGTTGACGGTGTGGTTGCTAAGGAGAGGATAGAGAAGGGGGTGGAGTTTGGACCATACGCAGGAACGTTGCTGGATGAAGAGCAGGGATGGACTAGAGATACAACATGGGAGGTAAGAAGGGCAGTGTTTCACAAAACTGTCTTTAGGCACAAGTTCACTTACATCCCATTGAAGTACGAGCTTTGAAAATGACAAGTGTTTCAATGGGATATCAGATAACTTATACTTGACAGTTTATTTATTAATATTGTGATTTCTTTCGATTTTCCAATATTTTTTTTCTTTTCTTAAAGTCTGTGTAAATGGAACCATCTAATTGAAAAAGGATAGTGCCATGGACGGGGTTTGACCACAGCACTGCTTTAAGGAATTAATTCCTACCAGTTACCCATTTGCCGTGACAGGGACCCGAGCCCTGTACCTTATGGTGCACCGTATAGAGACTTCTTGTCCCCTTATGAACATTCTATTCTGTTATGATTTCAGGTTTGTCTGTCAGATCTCAATGCATTCCTCTACATCGATGGTCAGAAGACGTGGATGCCTCGGGTGAGATCCGCACGCAACGAGGAAGAACAAAACATGGAAGCCTACCAATACTACGGGAAAATCTTCTACAGAAGCACAATGGTCATCGAACCAGAGAGCGAACTAAGGGTCTCCTACAGCCTGGAGTATGCTAAGCATGTTGGAATGGAGACGAGATTGAAGGATCTGAAATATAATAAAGGTATGAAAGTGCTATTCTAAAGGGTTTTCACATTGTCAGAGACATTTAGATCACAACTCGAGGGGTCAGTGACACAAAGACGTAACTCCATTTTGGCCATTTTGAGAAAAAGTGGTTTATGTGTCACTGAGCACTTGGGCCCTAAGGAGTTAAGTCTATGTTTCACTTGCCATTGACTTTTATGGGGTGTTGGGTGGAGTTAAGTCTTGTTTCCTAGAAAGCCCACATTTTTCTGGACATTTTGATATCAAATACTCATTTTAGCAAAATATAGAGTTACATCTTTGTGTCCCTGATTCCTCGAACTGATCTTTCCTAAGAGCCTTAGGTCCTAATACTCTTTCAAACTATTTTAGATCATCAAAGATGGCTCACGTTAAGCTTCAGCTTTAGGTAAAACACGGCCTCTACTTGCATGAAGCAAGTACAATACAAAGCAACACTCATCAATCAATTAACAAAGGGTGCAAATTATATTTAGTGATGGTCACCAAAAAAAGAGCGTTCCAGCCAGGCGCCAATTCACGACTCTCACAATGCTAAGCAAACTACATTAACATTCCCATCCAACAGTACCCATTAAACACCAGGGTGGGGAGTGGCAAATGTAGATCTTACCAAATCTTGTCAAAGGATGTTAGTGCCAGGCTTGGATTTGAACCCATACGTTGTGATTTACAGTAGGGTGACTTATCTACTAGACCACAATACCTCTATAATCAATATTATTGGTTATCTCCTGTTATTTCAGATGCTCAGAAGTTCCAATGCAGCCATTGTGAGGGTCTGTTCTCATCTGCCAAACTTATCCTGAGACACATCCGATGTGAACACAGCGATGGGGAACCATGCGAGATGATGCCTGCGCTGGCATGGAAACGGAAAGGAAAGAAGAAAGGGAGAGAGAAATCAGTGGCAATCAAGTTCAAGTTCAACCAACCCATCAACCACCCCATCGTGAGGAAGAGAAAGAATAGCGAGGAGGAGGAGGAGTGTGATTTCAGGTGTGGCACCTGTGTTAAGTCCTTCCCTTCCTTGGGCAGACTGAAGGAGCATGAGTTGTTCCACGAGATGATGCACGGCGACAAACCGTACGAATGCAGCGAGTGCAACCAAAGGTACACGGCACAGAGTTCCCTCAATAGGCACGAGAGGGAGGTCCACGGGTTCCTCGACGATTACAAACCCAGGAGCCGACCCAAACGGTTGAAGGCGCATGTACCGAAAAAGCCACTTCACTGTCGTTACTGTGGCCAAGGGTACAAATCACGCGGTGCACTCGCGAACCACGAGAGGAGAATCCATGGCTCTCGGCACCCGATTCGGGAACCGGACCTACCGAACGATGAGCCCAAGGATATGCTTGGTAGACCCTCTGATTACTACCAGCGACCCTTCAAGTGCCGATTTTGTCCAAAGAGATACGTTTCCTGGACAACGGTTGAACAACACGAGAAGGAGGTCCACACGAGAGAAGGCACTTTCAAGTGCAGTCATTGTCCCAAGGTTTGCGCCAGTGAGAGCCGTCTGAAAGAGCACCTTGTCGTCCACAAGTACATGCATATGCATCGTTGCACGCTCTGTCCGAGAAGCTTTGCTTCAGAAAGCGCTTTGAATAACCATCAAGGAGAACATACCGGACTGAAGCCGTTTAAGTGTGAAATCTGCAGCCGGGGATTCAGAACTCGAAAATTAACTCTTAAGCATAAGCAGCGCATGCACCAGGAACGCCCAAAGCGCTATATTTGCTCTATCTGTAACAAAGGATTCGCTGAGAAATGCAATCTGAAAGTTCATGAGCGACGCCACAAAGGCATCAGGCAGTTTGTGTGCTTGGAGTGTGGTAAAGGGTTTACTGCAAGATTTTCTCTCACAGCTCACATGCAAGCCATGCACATTAAGGAGAGACCATTCGCTTGCGAGATCTGCGGGAAATCGTTTGCCCTCAATCATCACTATAATCATCACATGGCTAAACATAGGCTAGATGGAGATGATAGCATACCGCAATAAAAATACACAAATTTCAAATCCATCTCAATTAATTGTAAAAGCACTGTGTATTCTAGGCCTGCGCAGTAGGTAAGGCTCGTTCAGTCACGATGCGACAAATTGTGGCGAGTTTATTTCATGACGTTAAGTGTACATGTAATAACCTTCACATCTCTAAATCTTGTTCGTTCATTCGTTCGTGTCTCCTTAGATCAAGATTAATGTATCTTGATGTTCGGATCTACAAACGGCAGTGTCAGACACGTTGCCCAGGGGTACGAGATAGGACTCTTGTTGTAACACAGAGATCAGTGAATAAGCTCTTTGTTGCACGCAATTGTCATTCATTTACTCTCAAAAAACTGCGGCAGTTTATTTTGTGGCAGTTTACCGCACCATATCTGAACAAGCCTTTACTCTCTCTCTCTCTCTCTCTCTCTCTCTCTCTCCTTCTCTCTATGCCACAAGTTTAAATCTAGAAAATGAACTTTCGTCTGCGAGCACAGACTCTAATTTGACACTTTACCACTAATCCTGCAGCCTTGAGTAGAACCTAGCTCTGTCAGTCTGTGGCTGTGTCCCGAGCAGCTGAGGTACAGCGCCTATGCAGTAAACTGTCAGCCTAGTCTCACGCTGCAGACACTGCTAGGCACAGCTACTGACAAGGAAACGTGCCTACAAACAAAATACACTTTGGGCAAAAGGGTTTTCAATTATTTTGTCTTTTTTCAATTTGATACAGACATTTTTCCATAATATCTGTCTGAATGATTATTATTTTCAATTTCAAGATGAAATTTTAATCAAAATGAAAATCTGGGCAGTTCAAACAGTCAATGAAAATTGAAGTATCAAATTTTGAGATGAAAAATGTTTTCAAATTGGACATCAAGAATGTATGAAGATTATGTGGATGGTCAATGTCAAATGTTGTTATATTAACACTTGTGATAGGGAGGGAGACTGTAAATTCATAATTTCTTGTATTATAAGAAAGAGTAAGCCTTGTAAATGGAGAACCAATCATGTCATTTCAGAATTTATAGTGGAAATGTACTTCTTTATAAATTTGGTGCGGTGCAGGTTTTGAAAGCTTTAGGTACTTCTGAAAACTAAAATTTTGGGTTTTAGATGGAAACTGTACAGAGTTAGTAGATTCATTCATCTTTTGCTAGAACTTGACATCATGAAACAAAGTCAACTCACAAAGATGTGTTTGTAGAGTAGGCATTCTCTTTCTATGTAGAAAGGTTAAAGATGTGCATATCAATTTTTTTTCTCCAGTTAGGTTGTAAATTGTTGTACATTTATGTAAATAATGTAACAAGTTTGAAGGATCAATATCTCTGTTTTTCCTCACAAATTGATAATCGTTGAACTTTGTGTCCATGTACATTCTGTTAAGGTACATGTACATGAAATTTCATTTGGAGAAACATATCACCAAAAGAAATATACAAGTGTCACCATTTCAGAGAAAAAGCTAATGAATTAAGCTTTAGGTAACTCATGCGTGATAGACTAGTGCTGCCTTTTACCAACTCAATTTTGTAAAGTTATCTGTAGTCACATCACTTATATATTTGATAACTGTATACCGTACTTGTATTATTTGTGTGCTCATACAATATTTCAGCATCTTGATGTCATTGTCAACTTTCATATCCGCTTTAAAACTATATAATTTGTTTATCAATGTAAAAAGAATAATTTTGCAATTTTATGATAACATGCATGATATTTGTTTGCTACTACATTTACATCAGATTTTTCTTATTTCAACTTAGAAAAATTGAAAAATTTCTTTTCATTTTGCCGATTAAAAAAAAACAACCTTTGCAAATATCTACTCATATTTTCCTACTCAAGCTAATGTCGTGTTCAAATCATGATAGTAATTGTAAGCGTGTCGCATGATGTAGTCTGTTTGTATAAAGATGTAATAAATTTCCTAGAAAAATGTACACGATTCATTGATATCTGTTGAATTGTCTTTGTCAAGCGATGGACGGAGATCTCAAGAGGGAGAGGGAGGGAGAGAGAAAGAGAGAGAGAGAGAGAGAGAGAAAGAGAGAGAGAGAGAGAGAAAGAGAGAGAGAGAGAGAGAGAGAGATAGAGATGGAGAGAAGGGAGAAGAGAGAAAGGGGCAGATGGGGGGTGGTTTGGGAAGGGGAAAGAGGGAGAGATCAACAGTTCAGAGAGTAGTGGCAAGAGGGTGGGGGGGGGGGGGGGGGGGGAGATGTAAATCAAAGTCATAGTTACTTTGATGGAAGGAGATCGAGAGAGAGAGGGGGAGAAGACGGAGGGGACGGGATGGTTTGCGCAGGGAGAAAAATTCATCTCCCTGGTTTGGGGAGGGGAAGGGGAGAAGAAAGAGGGAGATCGATCGAGATCAACATTTCAGAGAAAAGTCGAAAGGGGGAGGGGGAGAGGTGTAATCAATGTCATAGTTACTTTGATGGAAGGAGATCGAGAGATTGAGAGAGGGGAGAAGAGAGAGAGAGAAGGTGGAGGGGACGGGTGGTTTGGGGAAGGGAAAAGGGGGAGAGATCGACAGTTCAGAGAGAAGTGGCAAGATCGAGGGAGGGGGGGGGGGGGCAGGGGAATGTAAATCAAAGTCAGATATTTGATGGAAGGAGATGGAGAGAAGGGAGAAGAGAGAGATAGAGAGGGGAGAAGGGGAGGGGAAAGGGAGAAAGAAAGAGGGAGAGATCAACAGTTCAGAGAGAAGCGAAAGAGAGAGAGAGGCGGGGGCAGTTACTTAATTGACCCTGTGGAAAGTAATTTTTAAAATATGCCTCAGTGCGGCGTCGTAATTGCTTCACTAATAGGGACTTTTAGATTTGCGTGGACTGATACATGTGACGTCTATTCAAGGCGGTGCAGGACGTCGATCGTAGCAATCCACGTTTTCTTCGTGCAAATCTAAAAGTCCCTAATATTCTGAATCATGAGCGGTGCACGATATGTGCCATCCACATAATTCATTTTTATTTTGCATCATCGAAGATAGCATAATTGTCTTAAGGAGGCTTCAGACCCAAAGACAAACCATATTTTGCGTTTGTATTGCAGGGAAATTTTAACTTTTGGATTCCCGTACCGGAGCATCGGTGTCGTACTGAGGTCTTCATACGCTCATATTTTCCTACATTCGTGATATTTGTAAGCTCTTTATTTATTTAACAGTAACCGAGGCCGAGACGATTTTCCCTGGCTTGGGCCCTTGCGTTAACGATGTCCACGCCAATGCCAGTCGGGCCCACAGCCATCAATCCCCGCAAAAAAGGCTAGGCGCGGCCTCGGGCTCTGTATCATGGAAGCGCGCGGTGTAACTTACTGTAATACTTGGTCTTGTTGTTGGGAAGAGCTAGCCAGGGAGGGTGATAAGATGAAATGTGATATTGATATCATCAATTCTATATTAATTTAAATTAAACCCTCAAAATCAAATGTCATGAGCATGGATTAACAAAATAACGATTAGGCTAGTCTACATCACCCCTATTTACGGCTTTAAACTTAAAGCACACTGAAATGTGATTTACAATATAAAGCATTGATTTCTATGTCAGTCAAGCTTGTTTGACTTTTATGACATCAAATAATCAGAAGGGCGCTGGTCCGAGAATAAGGATCGTCCGCATAAACGAGGATCATCTTCATAAACGCGGTAGACGCGTCCGCAAAAATAAGGATTGTCGGCATTTTCGTAGACGTTTCATACTTCTGATCCGCGCGTTGGCGATGCAAAAAATGGATTCCGCAATGATTTTTGTTCATGCATTTCACATTGACTTTGTGCAGAGACTTTCACGTTATGAGCGATAAATCCTAGGGAAGATGGACAACCCATAAAAGTGCCAGTAGGCCCTAGACGGTGAACTGGGGTTATACAAAGAATATCTGTTTTTTTAGCATCGCCAGCGCACTGTTCGGGAACCCGAAACCTGAAGAGTGCCGATGAAAAAAACGATCCATATTTTTTAGGAAGCAATTTGTCCGCGGTAACAAGGATATCCTCGTTAATGTGGAGGATCATCATTCTCTGACCAGTGCCCCTACTGATAATGGGACGAAAACTTCAAGAAAAGAGTAATGCCAAGGAGAAAATCAGAGAAAAAGTAAAATTGGGAGGGAATAATGGCTGCAAAAGAGTCATGATGAGAATAGGATGGGTCACTTGAAGTAGGAGAAAAGCAGAGAAATACTTTGGGATAGAGAGGTCAGAAAAGAGAAAAACCAAGATTCAATTTAATTCAATTCTGGTTTGTTGTAAATGTAAATAAAAACATACTGAATAAAAAGTCCAGAGACTCATACTATTCAGTTTACAAATTATAAATACATACAAGAATAAAGAATTCAATACTTTTAGCAATCTTTATGATTCTAATGAACTAAACAACTAAGATCAATTAATCGTGAAAAAATACATGTTCTAATTATGCAGTTATAACATTAAAGTAGTAAAATATGTTGTCACCATTTTCTAAATGTCATATGCAATTTTGTCATACACTTTCAAATTAATAAGTGATCTTTTTTTAACCTCACATGAAATTAATTTTGAGATATTTAAGTAAAATCTAACATGTCTTCTTGCTCATGTTATGATTATTTTGCCATCTTCCTAATTGAACCCATCACTTACATTGTATCATAATGTAAAAGAGGATGCCATTTAAGACACACTTCTGTAAAGATTTCCCCCCAAAGACAAATTTGTTGATAAAAGAATACATAGTTTGGGTTTTCTGTTGTATGCAGAAAAACAAAATGTTGTATTCTTTCATCAATATTAACTTCAAATGCATTTGTTTTGGGAATCCCAATTCTTTAGAGGGGCTTTTATCTGTTAGTTTTAAGTCTAACAGATAAATTTCCAGCTAAATGATGCTTTTTAATGCTTTTCTTTCTTTTACAGGATACTCCAGTAGATGCCTGAGCCATTCTGTGAACCATGGAAGGTACTTTCCAGCCTGGTTTCTACTGCCCTGAAAGAGATCAACAAGGAAACAGACAACATCAACAACCTTCACAACATCAGCAACACCAGCAACATGTTGCACCCTACCCCATGGACCTACCATACCACACCACCTCACAACACCAACCTGAACTCACACTAGATCAGTCATTCAGAGCATTCCCTGCACCACACCCTATACCTCCCATGTCGAGCTCTGTGTATCATGGTAAGTATGCGGCTGTGAATTAGAATATTGTCTTTTCAGAGCCAGACAGGTATTAAAGGTAATACAAAGTTTTGGGAAATTTTGAAAAATGGGTGGATAGTGATTCTTGATAATTTTAATATATTTGGATGCCATTGTGGATGTATTAAAAACACCAGAAGTTGTAGCCCCTAAAACACTTCTGCTTTCGAGAAAAATTTAATATAAAGATTTACCGGTGCTCCCGGTAAATTATGATAAATTTCAAATAGCTCCTACGGCCGTACAATGGTAGCTGCGACCATGACAATTTCAGAGTATGTAGTTGTGGTATATAATTTCCGAACGAGAATAGCTAATCGGTCGATTTCAATAAACATTGTTTTGTAGCTTAATTAATATCTTGACCTTGAGAGGGAGCTATTCAACATAAAGTGTTCATTATTTACAATTTCATAACTTCAGAGTCTATTTCGACCGCGACAACAATCACTGAATATTGTAGGATCGTATCTGCTTCCAATATGTTCATTTGAACCAAATTCATGACCCCATACCAAAACTTTGTATTACCTTTAATTCCATGTCGCAGTATACAAGTTAACGCCCTTCTGGCTACAAACAGACTCTGTTTTGGATTATTGGAACCCTTCAATTGTTGAACCGAGTGGAAGAGAAGTCAGAGGGAAGGAGATGATTGAAAATGGTTTTAAATCTGAGGTGACATGACTTAAAGATACATGATGCATTGTTTGTTTACAAAAAGAAAATGCTTCTTTATTTCTAATAATCTTTACCAATTTTATTGAATTTGTTTGATCTGGACAGGGTTTGAAAAATGGATTAGAAACTTCAGCACAAAGTTTTGTGGTCAGTTGCTTGACTTTAAGAACATTTCAGGCATACCCAGTCCAGTTTGACAAGACTTTTGGGGGCCCCTTTCAGTAGGAAACATTCAACCTAATTAAATGGTTCAGTCAGAGTAAATTATGATGTTTGCTTTCTGAGTAAAGAACTGTTACATAATCATAGGAGTACACTGTACATGTCACAATCTGTTACCTGTGATATATCAGGAGAGATATATTTACTCTGTCATATAAATTTGAGATTTAGTATTTTTATTTATTGTTAGTATGGTTTTATCATGTGATATTGTTTCAGGCTTAATCCCCTGTCACTATTCTCCATTCAGTATGTTAATTTCTTTTACACCTTCTTTCCTTAAAGGTTCAGGCCCTGGGCTTTCAAACGCAAATATCATTCACCAAACTCCTCCGCAGCCCCCAGTAACTCTCCCAGTCCACATCAGAGGTCATGGGGTCAAATCGTCAACCCTGTCTGCAAACTATGCCCCGCCCATAAACACAACTCATGGAGCAGTCGAAGAAGAGAGGAATGACCTGCAGATTGCAACTCATGGATCTGTTGAAGCAAGCAAAATGTTGCCACTTGCATTCCATAAATCAGTTGTAGAGAGAAATTTTCAGCCCACCACAAGCTACGAATCAGGCCTCCATGTAGAGAGCAATGCCCTCCCCATCATAACTTGTAAATCTGCTGTAAAGAATGCCACACCACAGCAAGGTAAGACTATAATTGAGGCATGAATATATTTAGAAAGATGTTTTGAATGAAGAGGTGTTGCATCGAGCTCAAGAAAAGCGGGTGCTGATTCAAACGATTAGATAGAGATAGAAGAAATGGCTTGGACACATAATGCGGCATGATGAGGGCTTGATGCTCAGAGTCATAGAAGGTTGTATTCATGGAAAGAAGAAGAGGGGAAGACCTCGTAAACGATTTCTAGACGATGTAATCACAGAATGTGGAGCAACGGGTATGAAACGCTGAAACGGATGGCTCAAGACTGAGGAACTTGGAGAGACACTTGATATAAAATTTTGATTGGGTCACTGAACCTGTCATAAACTGACAGATCACTATTGATGAGAAAGATGTCCTGACAGGTTTTCTCAAACCTCAGTCATAATGTGGAAATATTTTCACTCTGTTGATGAATAATTTTTAATAATCTTCAATGATTTCTGTCCGTCATTAGAAAAGGATTACTCTCTATTCCCAGCGTCTAGATTTTTATAGTTTTTTCTTTATACACTCCAACTTACATCCACAATTCTGTTCTCATGATTTTGTACTTGATTAGGTCAGTCATCTATTAAATCAGCTCCTTCATTACAAAGCACCGACCATAGAAAGCAGTGTCTACCTTCGTCAAAGCCGTTTCATCAAGCTAATGCAAGTCCTCCGGCCCCAGACGTCTCTGCTGCCGAACCTCCTCTTTTTGCAGCGCTCAATCTCACAAAGACAATCTCCGTCATGGATCTTCCATTGTCTCTCTCATTACGAGTTGCATCGCAGGACAAGGTCGAAGGAGTGGTTGCCAAGGATACAGTTGAGAAGGGGGTGGAGTTTGGACCCTACACAGGAACACTGCTGGATGAGGAGCAGGGATCGTCTAAGGAGACAACCTGGGAGGTATGTGTTGTAATATTTGATGGAGAATTTATGCTTTAAAGGGGCTGTAGCATGGCAAATACTGGTTAACGCCATCTACGACTTCTTTCGGACAACGTGCACGTAAATGAATGAACTTGATTAACTGGGTCAGCGCGCACTAGCATTCACAAGACAGACCAAAGTTATCTTCACGCTCCGGTTTAGCGTATGTTGCACGCACATGAATATGTAGGCCTACTGCTGCCGTTTTGTATGTAGTCGTATTATTCTCGATTAGCCCCGAGTCAGGCCACGGGAAAGACACGTAGTCTCGTCATGCTACAGCCCCTTTAATTGGCACCTACCCACTCTCCATCTTTTTCTGTAGCACTGTGCATGGCAGAAGTAAAACATTTTCTGTAGGAAGGTGAATTATTGTCAGTTGGTTTTAAAGTGTACTGTAACTGTAACAATTACTTACACATGCATATATGCACCTGTACAACAAGAACAAAAAGTTAAAATGTTAAAATGTGGAATAACAGGATATGTGAAAGTCTCCACATATACACACACAATCAGTGCGTTTATCTTCATCACCTTGAAGCAGCACTTACATTGGAAAAAGAAGAAGAAGAACTCTCGTCCTAACGTGGATAATATATATGTCAGAAAGTACCCCGTAAAAATTGATTAAAAAAAACCTACTGTGTTTGAACTGTCCCATTTTGTGTGCTTTCAGATCTGTGTCTCTGGTAGAGTGTATCACTACATTGATGGACGTAAGACATGGATGTCTCATGTAAGATGTGCTCAGAGGGAGGACGAACAGAACATAGAAGCATATCAGTACTACGGTGAAGTCTACTTCCGAAGCACAAAGGTCATAGAACCAGGAAGTGAACTGAGAGTGTTCTACAGCGAGGACTACATGAAGCATGTTGGAGGCAAGACTGGATTAACTGAACTTGGGTTTAACCAGGGTATGTAGTGCCACAATCTACCACATATATGTTATTAGATATAATTTCAGTTAGGTTAAAAACAATTATTCATGTTCTTCTTAGCAGAAAACTAGTCAAGTTATTTATATATTTGAATATTAGTTTCAGGCAAACTTGAGGGGAGAGAAAAGGAGAGATTTCTGGCCAAGTGTATTTATCAGATAAAATCTATAGTGGGTACCTCTTATGTTTCATACACCGAGAAATAACCAGTATACAAGTAAGTTTTTTAAAAACAAAATAGGACCTATGACCTAGCCTTGAGGGACTACACCTACATATTAATGAGGATTGAAAAGAAGTCATTGAAAATGAATTTTAATTTTCTTTCAATGTTTCAGACGCACAAAAGTTTCAGTGTAGCCTGTGCGAGGACCTGTTCTCTTCCTCCAAACTGATCTTGAGACACATCCGATTGGAACACACCGATGGTAAACCTCATGACAAGCTTCCCTTGGTGACACCAAAGAAAAGAGAGAAAAAACATGTCAGGCTTAAGATCAGCTCCAAACATCTGTTTAAGACCAAGAAAAAAGCTAGAGAGAAGGAAGAGTCTGATTTAAAGTGTGCAACTTGTGGGAAAGTCTTCCTTTCCTCCGGCAGACTGAAGGCTCATGAGATATTCCATGATTACAACCAGGACCACACATGTCCCATATGTGGGAAGAGACAGAAGAATGCTCAGACATGGGCTAAACACATGAACCTGCATAAACCAGCGAGCGAAGCCAGGCCCCACAAGTGCAACGAATGCAACGGACGGTACAAATCCAAAGCCGCACTCCGTAAGCATCAACATCAGGTCCATGGATACCCTTGCCGGCTTTGTTCGGAACGGTTTTCTAGAATGAAGGACTGTAAGACGCATGAACAGACGCACCAAGCTTTCATACCACCGCATGCCGCTGTAGAGTATCTTGTAGCAGAACTCTCTCCTGATGAGCCGAAAGACATGCTTGGTAAACGTGCCAATTACTACCAACGAAGGTTCAAGTGCCGTTATTGTCCAAAGAGATATAGTGACCATTACACTGTCAGGAACCATGAGAAAGAGAACCATACCGGTGAAGGAACCTTCAAATGCAGTCATTGCCCAAAAGCTTATACCAGCGAAAGCCGTCTTAAAACTCACCTCTTGTTCCATGAGCAGACGCACATATACCGCTGCATGCTTTGTCCAAGCAGCTTTGCATCGGAAAGCGCCCTCAACAGTCACCAAGGAGAACATACCGGACTGAAGCCAGTCAAATGTGATGTCTGTGGCAAAGGATTTAGAACTAGGAAGCATTCCCTTGCGCATAGGCGTCGTGTTCATCAGGAACGTCCAAAGCGTTTCTTCTGCTCCTACTGCAATTTTGGGTTTGCAGAAAAGGGCGATTTTAACAAACATGAGCAGCGGCACAAGGGCATTAGACGATACATGTGTAGGGAGTGTGGAATGCCCTTCACCTCAAATACATCTCTCACAGCTCACATTCGAGCATTGCATACCAAGGAAAGACCATTTTCATGTGAAATATGCGGGAAAACTTTTGCCTTGAATTTCAAATATACATTACATATGGTCAGACATAATGTACAGGTAAATGGTAGCAGCCTACAGCAGCAATAAATGTACAATGATCACTCACCTGAACATATAAAATTATCTATGAATTCTCATCCCTGTCCCAGATTCTTTTTGTATCAAGGTATCTTCTCCCAGCTTGGAGGTTGATAGCAACATTTTTCCACGCGTCTCCGTTTTCTGCTACCAGAGTGCACTCTTGCAGTGTCATTCCACTCCATGTCTTAATGTTCCGCTCCCAGTTCGTTGTTGAGTTCTCTCTCAGTCTGGTACCTTTTCCTTCCAATAGAGAATTAATTGCATACCCTGTAATAATATTTTGTTATCATTATGAATCTTTTGTCTCAGAGACATGTACATGTAGACCATTGCAACAACTCTCAATGGTACAAATGATCTCTCTATTTATTTTCTAAATATATCATTTCAATTATTTGTCATACAATGAAATAATTTGAAGAAAAATATTAAAAATGAACAAAAATGTATCATGCTGTCACTATGATTATTTTTTCTCTTTCTCTCCCTCTCTCCCTCTAATGCCTGGCTTTAGAGTCTTGTAATGTCTGATGTGTTTGATGCATGTTGTATCACATGTATGAATGGGTCATGTGGGTGTAGATGTTTGTTTTACCTTCTATCATAAAAAAGTAAATTACTTTGAAACTCTCTCTTCTGCAACATTTACTGAAAAACACAATTCACTCACATTTTCACACCATGAGACAACCTAGCTATTATCCACATATCTGGAGTGACAAAATCAATTTAAAAATGTTTCTTTGCTTGACCTTTGGAGAGAGAGTAACAGTGAGAATGAGAGGGGGCGGAGAGAGAAAGAGATAGAGAGAGAATAGAGAGAGAGAGAGAGAGAGAGAGAGAGAGAATGGAACTTAAAGGTAATACCAAGTTTGGTATGGGGTCAAGAATTTGGTTCAAATGAACATATTAGAAGCATATATGCAATTTTACAATGTGCAATAATCGTTGTCGCGGTTAAAATCGAGTCTAAAGTGATGAAAATGTAGCGCCCTCTCAAGACTGATATTACTTTAGCTTTAAAACAATGTTTCTTGACTACAATTGACCGATTTGCTATTCTGTTTGGAAATTATATATCAGAACTGTATATTCTGAGATTTCCATGGAATGGCCTTATAGGAGCTATATTTACAATATTTGAAATTTACCGGGAAAGATGTTAATAAATAAGCGAATGCTGAATACAAAATATGAAAGGAAACCAAGTAAATAAATTGTAAGAGATGGGGAAACCAGTAATTTCCCTAAAGAAACCGTTCGGGGCTCGATCTTCTCCCTTGCTCATATCTGTCATCAAACTAACTAACCAATTTCCCTTTTGTTTTGTATCATGCAAGATACTCTAGTTTTAGAGATTTATTGTTAAGAGAATGCAGAATTGTCCATTTTTAACTTCAAATCACGACAAAACGATAGGAAAACTGATGATAAATTTGACTTGGTATGTTGTACCTAATCTCCCTATATTATTTCAATTTCATGTTTTGCTTAATTTGCTCTTTATCTCGAAAACTGCGTCGCAGACTAGTGCCAGTTGGTTAGTAAATTATGACTGAGCGAGTGCAGTGCAGTGGGACCTTTGTCGCCGACGCGCTGGGCGGGGGGCCGCGAGGCTGTTGCTGTACTGGGCGCTGCGCTGAGCGACCGAGTGTGCAGTGTGAGAGAGCTGGAGCTCGGCGACTGCCTCGAGATCGAGAGAGCTGACGTGACCTGAGCGGAGTCTAGTCCGAGTCCCTGATATGTCCTATGTCCTAGCCTGAGGGCTAGGTGATAATTAGACCAAAAGCTTCAGTCTCTCATAGATCTATCGTCGGTTGTTCCACCGAGACAACGTCTGGCTCCACTAGACCTCCGACTATGTCAACAAATGTCAGTTTTATAAAAGAAATGACCCTTCACTTCAGACGCCACGGTAAAATGGTTATTTTTGTCTAGGTGATAATATGAAATATGATATTGAAATCACTGCACCTAGTCCTAGCCTTGGCACTGCACCGTACCCCCATATCATAATGCCATAGACTATGACCTGTGTGTGAAGATAGACCAAATTTTCTGTCTCTTTCGTTGTAGGCTCGGCAAAGAGAGAGCCGACCCTACCCAAATAAGAGGCTTAACAAACGAAAGAGACAGAAAATTCGGTCTAGTGTGAAGAGTGATGTAATTGTGAACAAAAAGTAAAATGCGTTTTTTTGCAATCGCCCGTTATCTCAACCAACCAACCTTACAAACTACCTCCTCCTTGCTTTGGAGTTCACAAAAAATAAATGCTGACCTCTCCCAAGAGTTTGCGTATTTGTTTCTGCTGGATTTCTAGAAATGCAAGCGCACAAGGTATAGGGTCTATACTAAAATCAGGGATATGTGAGTTACATATCCCTGCTAAAATATAGCTTCCACATTGCAGCCATCTTGGCAAAAAATTGTAAAATAGTAAATAGTAAATACCCTACCTCCTTTTTTAAAAGTCTGGATGAAAAACGTGTTATTTTTGTTATTTGGCCTAGTCTAATACAAGTTTGTTGATGTAGAGGCAATGCGTGACATTTGCATGATCCGGCGCGCGGGCGAGGGTATAACACTTGTATAAAGTATAGCGTTTTTTCGAAATCTAGAGCGCACGTTGTGCGTGAGAGCTTTTCCAGACCCTTGAAATGTGTGACGTCACGCCTAATGCGTGATACTTGGTAGCTCTGTCAATATCACCACCAGCAATTTTTGCCAGGCTAATGGTTTTTCTGTTTTATTGTTGTTTTTTTAATTCTCTTTAATTCCTTCATAGTATATGAGCAATGGAAGGTAATTATCCACCTGGTTTCTACTGCACTGAAAGAGATCAACAGGAAAACCGACAACATCAACAACCTTCGCAACAACCACCGCCACCACACCAGCAACATGTTGCACCCTACCCCATGGACCTACCATACCACACAACCTCACAGCATCAGCCTGAGTTCTTAGTGGATCAGCCTCTGAGACCATTCCCTGCACAGCACCCTGGGGCATCCATACTGCGATCTGTATTTCATGGTACAATGGCTTTAAAATTGGAAATCTGCATTGCCTGTCATTGTCTTGATGCAAGATTGTTGCTCTAATGTTGACATAGATTTAGATGCTGCTTGTACATGTACAATGTATGTTATTTATTTATTTATTTCTAATCTTTTGTCAGGGTAGCCCATTCACCAATAAGTAGTGGACTTCCATGGGTCCCTGAATAAACATGAACATATTTACATTAAAAAGCATAACGTTTATACAGAACATTTAAAATAAAATTCCATAGTACATTTAGAAATTTAGTACATTCAGTTATTGCAACGTTATGAATTAATATTTCAGTCAGGGTTTTTATCAATTTTAAGGAAGTTGTTATTTTGATTTGCTAATGGGATTCAATGTTCTCTTGTTCATGCTTTATCAAAATATTGATTGCTTTTAAAAGGATGATTTATCAGTTTGTATTCACTTACAAATTGGTGAACCCTCCTCCCTCCCACCAAGAATAAGGGAACATTGAAAGGGAATTCCACCTGCTTATGTATACCGGTAATACATAAGAATGGAAAGATAATAGAAATTAAAAGCGAGCAAGCAGAGAAGAGAAAACAAATCTTGTTTTACTTAGCAGTATTCAAATTTGTCTTCACTCATATCTTTTGCGATTTATTCTTGATATAGAATCTACAGCAATGCTTCCAAGCCCAAGTCTTGGGCAGCAAACTCGTCAGCAATCACCCTTCACTGCCAGAGGTCACGGGGTCAAATCTACAGCTCCGAGTCTCTCTGCAGATTTTGCCCCACCCATCACAACTCCTGAACCAGTCACAGAGAGCAATGCATCCCAGCCTCAAGGTCAGAATCAGCTGCTCTAGAGATTGTGAAAAACTGCAATTTCCTTCTGTAGTTCTTACTTGTGGCATAGAATTAATAACACTAAATAACGGATTGTACTTGGTACTCACAAGGGATATCACTGAGTTGCCAATTATACAACCGTGAACATTTATAACCGTCTTATACTTTGTTGGATTTTCCTCAAACATCCATTGATCTTCATTTTATGATGTATGCATACATGTGCATTGACTAGTCTATCCACAGACCACATCTTATCTTTATAAGGACAGAACTTATATTCAGGCTGGTAGTTTAGATATATTGTCTGTTTGAAGCCATTAATGCATTAAATCTTATATCCTGGCATAGAGTTACAGATATTATGATACAAGCATAGACCTCAATCATACAGTTAAGTGCCAATAAATTTTGATTATAACTAATCATGGTATATACAGTAGGCTTGCGGGTGCACTATGTGAGAGAAAGGGAGGATTGAGGAGTCCTGAAAAGGACTCTCTGTAATCTTTCTTGAGGGTGTGTAGTCCTGAAAAAGGACTGTTGGTGTAGTCTTGAAAAAGAGTGTTGGTTATCATTCTAAGCTTATAGTTCTAAGGAGAACTATAGTCCTTGGTATATAACGCGAGGTATATCACCATGTACATGTATATCACCATGCAGCCGATACTTACAAGCAGCATCTAATCATGATATATTCCTCACTTTCAATCAGGCGAGACATCTGCACCACCTCCTCGTAAGAAATCACAATGTAAAGAACAAAGTCCTCCAGCCACAAACTCCTCAACCGTGGATACGGCCCAGCTTCTTGTTGCTCTCAATCTCAAAAAGAATGCAATCATATCCTCGAGTCAAGAACTTCCAAAGGGCCTCATCTTCAAGGTGGCTTCGGAGGGCAAGGTGGAGGGAGTGGTTGCCAAGGATACACAGGAGAAAGGGGTGGAGTTTGGACCATACACAGGAACACTACTTGATGAGGAGCAAGGATGGTCCAAGGACACATCATGGGAGGTAGGTCGTAATAGTGATAATAATAATATCAATCGAATGTTTCTATAGCACTCACATCCACCACCATCCAGAGTTTTATTTAATAAACAACAAAACCTCTACATCATCTTCCCTACAATGTCTTATATTTTAAAGAGATAACCAGATTAGTAATTGTTATGTTTTGTTATGATCACAGATCTGTAATCCAGGCGGAGTTTTCTTCTACATCGACGGACGTAAAAACTGGATGTCTCATCTGAGATGCGCAAGAAGTGAAGAGGAACAGAACATGGAAGCATATCAGTATTACGGCAATATCTACTTCCGAAGCACAAAAGTCATTGAACCAGGAAGTGAACTAAAAGTGTTCTACAGCGAGGTATACGGGAAGTATGTTAGAACTCGTACAAGACTCGAGGATCTCAAATTTGACCAAGGTATGTACTGCCACATTTCAGACTCACCTTGGTTGTCTTAAAATTCCTGATTTCTGATTTCTTGATACCTGTCTGATTAGGTACTCAAATTAACGACTTCAACCATACACCCAACACTACACCTAACCCTAAATATGTTCTAAATATCCAATAAAAACCCTAACTCATTATTGATAAATTAAAACCTAGAGAAATTGTCACTGACTCAAATTTTAGATCACCATCATAGGATACATTTATAGCAATTATTGTACCATTTGACATGTTTTTGTGTTCAATATGTTCTTTGACCTGAAATAAGGTGCAGCAGCTTTTGTGATATTTGATAGAAATAGAAGTGTACCTAGAACCCAGCCTTGGGGAACACTCCATGCATGGGCCTGTTTAGATTTGTAGGAGTATTTCAAAGAATTCCTAAAAATTGAATGGAAAATATTTTCTCTCAATATATTTCAGGTACTCAGAAGTTCCAATGCAGCCAGTGTGAGGGTCTGTTCACATCTGCCAAACTAATCCTGAGACACATCAGATGTGAACACACCAGCCGTATACCAGATGAGATGATCCCTGTCCTGACATACAAGAAGAAAAAGAAGAAACCGGCAGAAACTGAGTTGACCATTAAACAGCATGTCAGGAAAGAGAAACTAGACAGTGACATGAATGACAGTGACGACAAGAAAGAGTTGGTTTTCAAGTGTGGAACCTGTGGGAAGATCTTTCCTTCCTGCGGTAGGCTGAAGGCACACGAGTTGTTCCATGAAAACAGCCAAGAACATGCTTGTCCTGTGTGTGCTGAAGGACAGGCGAATGCAAAGACCCTTGCCATTCACATGAAAAAACATGAACCCAAGTTCTACAGGTGTAAGAAATGCAACCAAAAGTGCAAAACAAAGACTGCCCTCAATAAACATGAGAGGGAAGTCCATGGGCATCAATGCAGGTTCTGTTCGGAACGGTTTTTTAAGAAGAGTGAATGTATGAAGCATGAGCAGACACACCAAGCTTTCAAGTCTTTAAAGCCTGCTGCGAAGAAGCATGAATCACTGTCAAAGACTCAGGCGTCACCTCCAACGTTGATCCACCAGCCTTCTGAACCATCGCCCTCTGAGCCCAAAGACATGCTTGGTAAGAGCACCAATTACTACTTACAGCAACGACCCTTCAAGTGCCGCTTCTGCCCCAAGAGGTATGTCTTACGTAAAAAGGTAAATGAACATGAGAAGGAGTGTCATACAGGAGAAGCAGCTTTCAAGTGCACCCATTGTCCTAAGATCTTCACCAGTGAGGCAAGGATGATGGACCATGTGAAATGCCATGAGCAGCACCGCATGTATCGCTGCACACTCTGTCCCAGAAGCTTTGCATCGGAGAGCGCCCTGAACAACCATCAAGGAGAACATACCGGACTGAAACCATTCAAATGTGAAGTCTGTGGCAAAGGATTCAGAGTTAAGAAAGCAGTTTATGCTCATCGGAGACGCATGCATCAGGAACGACCAAAACGTTTCTTTTGCTCTGTCTGCGATAAAGGGTTCGCAGATAAAGGAAATCTTATCAAACACGAGAGACGCCACAAGGGCATCAGGCCTTACGTTTGCCTAGAATGCGGGAAAGCGTTTACAGGAAATTGCGCCCTCACAGCTCACAAGCAAGCATTGCATACTGCCGAGAAGGCCTTTTCTTGTGAGGTCTGTGGTAAAACCTTCTCTTTGAACCAGCATTACACTTATCACATGTTCAAGCATAGAGTACAAGGAGATGCTAGTCTATGTGAGAGTACAAAGCAATGAATGTAACCAACTCAATACAGGTTCAGGATTGTTTTATAACACCTGTGATACTAATACCAACATTTGTATCGCTCCAACCTTCGGGTCTGCATTATAAATGCATCGGTTTGTGTTTAGAGAATATTGATACAAGCATATCATAAAATAGCTCAGGGGTTTTATGGAAGCTTGACTCACTACTTCATTCAATGTTTCATCTTTGTATTCAGAGTATAACTCAAAAGTTAAACATGATTCAATTGCATATCTTGCCAGTTTGTATTAAAAAAAATTATATCCAAAGTATTTTTACTGCCTTTCTAAAAATGTGGACATCCATAGTATTATAAAGCTGTACATATTCCTTTTCTCCTAATACAAGAATTATGGAATTTCATGTACATATTGAAAGCTTTATTTATGTACACATCATGACATTGAAAATTGGCTCATCAAGTTTGAAGGTAGATAGATATAGCAGTATTTGTATCTACTATCTATAGTGTAGATAGCAATGAAAAAATAGAAAACGTGACTCATGAAATATTAATACAGTTGTACAAGAGCAATTAAGAGAATTAATCTATACCCTGTAATAATATCATGGAGAATTCATTTAATAATATTTTGTCTCAGAGACATGTAGATCATTTTATATTGTGTGTGATGTCACTATACTCTCAATGGTATAAATGATATCTCTGTATATTTTCTAAATATACGATTTTGAATTAATGTGAAGAAAAATATTGAAACATACGAAAATGTCATTACCTCATACTGTCATTACCTCATACTGTCATTGTGATCATTTTTCCTCTTTCTCTCTAATGCCTGAATTATGATTATGTCTGATGTGTTTTATGCATGTTGCGTGATTGGGTTTAGATGCTTGTTTTAAATCATCTATCACAAAGAAGGAGAGTACATGTATAGGAAATATGTTTTGTGCAACATTTACTGAAAAGCGCAACTCGTATTTTTAAATCAAGAGCAATTTTTAGAATACCAGTGTTTTTTTATGTTCTGTAAAATATATATTGTCAGCCACTATAACATCTCAAGATGACTTTTCAAGAGGAACAGTGAAAATGAGCGAGAGAGAGAAAGAGTGAGATAAAAAGAGGGAGAGGGAGAGAGGGGAGAGGGAGAGAGGGGAGATGGAGAGAGGGGAGATAGAGAGGGGGAGATAGAGAGAACTACACAATACACAAAAGAAAAACATGATTTTCTAGTCTGCATTTGTTTATTGACAATGCTAAGACAATCAACATCAATATTGAGAAGGAAAAAAAGATTTGAGCACACAAAATTGTATTTGTTAAATGTCTGTACCATGATTACCAACATAAATGTACAGAGTTTGGCCGACTTCGTTTCAGTTGGTGTATATTCTTTTATTTTGTGCTTGCTTAAAAAATAGACCTCGCCATATTGTGCCCAACTCGCTCCGGGTTGGCCAAACTCTCTAATTACATTTAGTTTGTGATTGAAAATGGGCTAAACTGATGATACTACAAATACTGGCCAATAATCTAGAGCATTCACCATGCATACATCTATCAAGACCCAGATTTTTTAAATTTATAGGCACCTTTCATGATCGCTGTCTCTCTCATAAATATATTGTACTCGCAGCTTCTAAAATGAAGTCAACATTATGCCTCAGTCACACTTTTGGGTATTTGGCTTGCGTATTTATGGCAAGCCGTTATCACATTATTCCTATTTCTTGATATCGAGAATTCATTTCTTGATATCAATAAATAGGAATAAATGTTAAAACGGCTTGCCATAAATACGCAGCAATACGCAAGACAAATATGTAAAGGTGTGACTGAGACATTATAAGGTTACATGTATGGTATAGCAGACCTTGTATTTTCTGATTTTTTACTTCACATGATTATCAACAGTATGGTGACTTCATAAAAACATGTGTGTCTTGTTGGACTTGAAAGCAGCACCAGGATAAGATGTAATCAAAATAATAAGATTATTTTCAGGTTTAAGAGTTCTCAACTAAATACATGGATAATGTTCAAACAAATTATGATATACCTACTTCCGGCGGTGGGTCAGGTAACTTATGCTCTGGTAAACTTTTGCACTGGTATCATCTTATCAAAGACATACAGTAGTACAATCATGATGGGATATGTTGTGATTGGGTCTTAGGTTTGGTTTGGGCTTAAAGGGATCCGGTAACTTTGTCTCAGATTCTGAAAAAAAATCCTGGATTTAGCTCATGCTGCAATCATAATTATAAACCTTTAGGTCAGTCAGGAACCCCGTGACTTTTACAAGCCTGTCTGATTATCAAGATATTTATGATTACAAACCGAGACCAAATTTTGCATTTTCCTAACGATTTAACATTGCTAATTGATGCCTTTAAAATGCTACTGTTTGATTGATCCAGGGCTGAAGTGGGGATTTTTTACTAGTGTTTTGTAAATGAGAGTGGAACAAAATTGTCACCAGAGCAAATGTTTTACAATGAATTGTGTAGCCTACTCTCTGCCGGCATAAACATAATGCCCTAAGGTACATACAAAACAGCCGACACAAAATATGGAAATGGTGTCACTGGTCTACTAAAACAAAACGGCGAAGCATGATATACATGGAGGTAATCCAATGTTCATAAATACAATATTGTAATTGTAATAATTGCAATAATATCATTCATACTAAATACCAATGTTGCTATATACCCATTATTCACAGAAAAACTGGATTCAAATGCTATTCAGCACATACAGTACAGTGCACTCTGGCGTCTGTACTCTATATACAGTGTACATGCAACCTACACACATGTATTTTAATAGCACTACGTTGTACATATCTTTACCTACAACCTACTACCATACTATACACATTTCACAAACAGCATTGTATGACTTCATACACAATTCAGACATCCACCTATTTCTATGTACAACATTAAAAATATGTACAATGATATCTATAATTTCACATGGCATAATGCTGTCTCTAACACTTAAATGGCTAGTTATTCTTAGTTTTCATTGATTGCAAGAACCAAATCAATTATAATAAATTAATTCCATTACTGAAGACTTTTGTCTATAAAATTGATGTCTATTCACTAAGGGCAGTGGTAAACAGAAAGATTATCCTACACATACATTATCACAATATCACATAGACCCCACAAAATTGAATGACCTTTAATGGAATACAAGTGTATAACCCACGAGCTGAGGAGTATATTCCACGAGTTGGCTGGACGAGTGAAATATGCTCAAAGTGAACGTGATATATCCTTGTGTTACAACGAAGAAAAGCCATTCAATATTATTATTAAATGTATGAAGCCTAGTGCATCCATCTGAATTTTGACCATTACACGTTTATGTAGTATGTATCAAGTTGTACATTAAACACGCAGAGAAAAACCTATTTTGTCCTTACCCAAGTATTTTGCAAGGGCTTGGCGCAAACATCCATTGTCTCTGCCCATGTTTATTTCAACATGCATTCACCTTTTAACATGCTTTACATGTTACACTATCACTACTAGAAGCCTACATGTATCGCAAATCAAGATGATCTTATTAGGGGCAAGATAGGTGGCTGTACTACAGTTGTTTTTGATTGTTTGGTGGTCAATAAGACCCTGTATTTCATTGTACCTGTGGCATCTGATAGTGTTGAGTTGAGGAGGGTAGAGTTGGATGCTGGTTTGGTTGAGGAGGAATGGGATTCCGTTGACCAATGGTCAAGGAGTGAATACTCTGCGGCTGTTCTTTCTGACTCACAGTGTGTACCTTATAGATGTGGTTTGTCAAATGCTCATTGAGGGTGAAGCGTTTATCACACTGTGGACAACCAAATTTCTTCTCTTTGGTGTGCGTGTATGAATGTTGCGTTAAGCTGTAGTTGGTGGCAAAGCCCCTGCCACAGGTCAAACAGACGTACGGTCGGATCCCTTTGTGGCGGCGCTCGTGTTTGACGAGATTGCCCTTGTCGGCGAAGGGTTTGTTGCAGAAGGAGCAGGTGAAACGCATCTGCCTGACCTTATGCATGCGTCGTTTGTGAGCGTTCATGATGTGGCGAGTTCTGAAGCCCTTCCCGCAGACCTCACACTTGACTGGTTTCAGACCGGTGTGCTCACCCATGTGATTCTTCAGAGCGTTCTCTGAGGCGAAGGAGTTCGGGCAGAACTGGCATTGGAACGGCCGATTCTGCACGTGGCGCTTGGAGTGTTCCACGTACCTGAACTCTGTTGCGAATACAGCGGAGCAGTGCTTACATTTAAACTGACATTCTTTTGTATGTGCTTCAGCTTCATGAGCAAGTTTCTTGTTCCTCGAGAGATATCTCTTCTGGCAAAAGCGACATTTGTAAGGTCGTGGCTTGTCATAGTAATTGATTCTTTTTCCAAGCATGTCCTTTGGCAAATTTGGATTATTCTCCTCGATCTCTTCCTCAGGTTCTGGCTCCTCCTCCTCTTCTTCTTGCACTTCTTCTTCTTCTTTGTCCTCATTTTGAACTTTTTTAGTCCTTCTCCTTGTCTTCCTCGCTTTCTTGCGAAGTGGTTTAAATGCCGTCCACTCTGGATGAGTCTTTTCGTGTTTGTTGCACTCGCGCTTCTTGATGAACTGTATGCCACACACCCTGCAGCTATGGTTAAAGGTGTGCGAGAGTTTCTTGTGGCGGGTCAGATGGTTTTGCGACGCAAACGAGCTTCCACAAGACTGGCATTCAAAGGGCTTTGGCTTATGCGTCCTCATGTGCTTTGCAAGACTTCTTGAGCTTGTATGTGTCTCACCACACATTGGACATGTCTGGTCAGCACTGGCGGAGTGGGTGGATTCGTGGGCAGCAAGCCTTCTGCTTGTCGGGAAATTCTTCCCGCAGATTGTACAGATGAAACGTTCATCTACTGTATTGGCAGTTGAGGTGACCTCAGGGTCTTCGTTCTCTGCATTCTCTGTTGAAGCGCAGGGCTCCCAGGTAATGATTGGTCGCATCGCACCAATCCTGTCAGGGTCGTGATTGATTCTCATGTGACGCAACATTCGCTTGGCCGAGGCGTTGGAACGATAGCATGAACTGCAGGGAAAGTTCTTCGAATCTGAAACATAAATGAGGAATGATAAAGCATGAACAATATGCTTGTGTATTTATGCTCTTTGTATTAATGGCAAGAGATATCCTCTGTTAAGATGGCCAGGCTACCTATGGGGACGACACCCGGTGTTACATTTGAAAGATCTGTGAGGGGAAAACCCCCACCTAAGCTTCACGGGTAACTGACTATGGTCCATGGCAATAATTGCCTAGCTTTTATCAGCTGCCAAATTCATCCATTTTCTTACAAGTTTTCTCTGAAATGCTTTTAAACTTTGATATTTCCATCTGAAAACTTCAGAAGCCTCCATTGATTTTTCTGTCATCAGCTTCACACAATTTCAAAGTTCCCTAGTAAGTAAGATCATACAGTGTGTTATATGACACTCTTATAATACTCATTATGTATGCTTCCTATTTTTTAAGTTGATATATCAAATGAATTTTCAATATTTAGCTCCTCTTATTTCATCTATAGCTAGGAATATCCATAACTCCTCAGTCCTCACTATGTTGTAAACTTAGTTTTGTTTTGTTGTTGTTGTTATATAATATTATATGTACTTTTAATGCCCTGCGTTTTCCAGTAAAATGGAATTTTTCTGAGTTTATATGGTATGATATGGTATGAGTGTCTGGTACCTTTATTATAGACCAGGTCGCCTAGTTTCTTCTTGAAGCCGACATGATTAGCATACTCATCGCTGTAGAACACCTTGAGCTCACTTCCTGGTTCAACGACCTTTGTGGTTCTGAAGTAGATGTCTCCATAGGATTGGAACGCCTCCAGATTCTGTTCCTCTTCGCTGTTAGCGCTCTCTACGAACGCCATCCAGTTGTTGAAGGTCTTGTTCTGGCCATCCACGTACACAAAGACTTTGCCTCGCAGACACAGCTGTAATGATATCAATAAACAATATCTTTACCACTGAATTGTTTTGCCCACTCTCACTACTCTTCTACATTACAATGTTACAATTTCTGTTTGACAGGAGTTTGAAACTAACACTCTAAAAGTTTCAAATATTTTTCCCCCAAGCTAGGACGAAGGAACTGACTGAGAATATTTAGGATTATCCTTTATAGCTCATAGAAATCTATTACATGAATTCTATTTGGTAAAACACAGGGAAATATGTACATAAAGACCGCTCAAGGGAAACAAGAAAAGTGTTCTTTATAAGCAACTGAGGTGGTCTTTATGTACAACTCTCAATAGGAAATTATCTTAAAGGGAAACATAACAGCCGGTCATTATAGAAAGGTGGGCTTTCTAGACAGACAGTCAATAAATCAGGGGAGTGATTTCACAAAGACTAAGATCGACTTTCATTTGGACTTAAATATTGCAGACCGTTCTTGCCACTGTTTTTTCTCACCATTTTCTGGCATTGGTCTTTCAAGGGACGTACAAATCATGGTCACAAATCTACAGAATTCACATTTTTTGATAATTCATTATTGAAGGAAAATAAATATTATCTAAAGAACATAATAGTGAGGGCAACTGGTGGCATGAACAGCTTGTCATAGTTAAGTCCAACTTATAGTTGATCTTAGTTTTTGTGCAACACTCCCCAGGTTTCACTGTACCTACCTCCCAGGCAGAATCTTTGAGACTTCCCACAGGCTCAGCTATGAGCTTTCCATTGTACGGACCAAAGGTGGCACCCTTCTCCAACGACTTCTCAGACCTCACACCTGCAATCTTCTTGCCCCCCTGCATGTATTTGAGAGACAGACCGAGGGGCAGGTCTGGCTTCCAGATCTTGCTAGCCCGTGTGGATACTGTGACCGTTGGTTCAGGTTTCTTTGGCGCTTCCTCAGTGGCGCTGGTACTTGGTGCATTGGTGGAAGTATCTTCCTGAGTTTGAGTTTGAGTTTGAGTTTGAGACTCAGATTCAGCTTCTGGCTGAGCTTGTGATGCAGCTTCCGAAGCATCTGCAGCATTGTCCACATCAGCAGATGGTGGTTGCGCCATCGCAGGTGCAACAGGCAGTGCAACCCGTGATTCGGTCACACCGTCGGTCTCCATGGGTGGTGCCGGTGGCGGTTCGGGCATGGGTGGTTCTGCGAGGGATTGATCGACCATCGGTGCCTCGACAGCCATGGGTTCATCCCTGGTCTCCTGGGGCTGTGGAGGGGATGGTGAGTCCGGTGAGAGGAACGGTTGGTTGTTGGGCGTGGTGTCCACCATGGACTGGGTGTTGGTGGTGGTCTGTGGAGGGTACCCTGATTGACAGGTCAAACCAAGCTGGGCAAGCAGAGGGTGGGTGTGATCAGAGTACTGAGGCTGGTGGTTGTGAGTCCCATGACCTGCAAGATTACAAAAAAAACCAAAAAAAAAAAATTATAGTTTGTTTTAATTTATTTATTTTGTTTGATTTCAACAGGGTAGCCCCATCAGTAGTTAAGGTTAAGATATTGTTATACTTCGGGGCCCTGCATAAAATAGAAAAAATATAAAGACATACATAGTGAGTCATGAAAACATCATTACATGGTCAATAGCAAACATGACAAAATAAGGAAGTGTGTTTTCCTCAATTCCTAAAATATTAGCAAAGATTAAAGGGGTCAGTTTTGTAAAGCTCTTTTTAAAACAAAAGAATCCTCTTTTTACCTTTTCAGACTTGCTTTTGAATTTGAATTTGAATTTATTAACAACAACACATCACAATTATGAACAATCATATAATGCAAAGAATAATACTGATACATATATACATAACACAAGAGTAATGTCGATTGAACAGTAATGGTTTTAAAACGATATTTTTTAGACATACATCTGCATACTATTAAATGTACAAAAGATATATACGTAAATATGTATATTACTATGTTTAGGTGAAGTTGTTATGGGAACTAGAAGTTAGCACAAGTGCTAGTCGAGCCTAGTTCCATTCTTTGGCAAAAAAAAATTCTGTTAATTTGTTTTTACATATGAATGTAAAACTTGTTTGTTTTGTATTTACATATATACAACAAAATAATACAATATCATGTAACTTTTTTTCTTTACTAAAATGAAAAAATAAAAATAAAAAAGCTTAAGCGTTAAAGCATTATAATGAAAGAAGACAAATCTTTGAAGAAATAAAATCATCAATGTGTTCATAAAAATGAAAAGGATGTATTAATAAAAATAATCATACACATGTTCGTACATGCACAAATCCTGTAAAAGCTTAAGGCCGCTCTAATCGTTAACAAGGAAGTGTATACATATATAAAAGGAAGACAAGTAATATAAAAGGAAAAAACGAAGGGGGTGGGATTGAGCTCACGTCATTTACATAGAATTACTATTCATAGGCAACATATTGTTGTTTGTAACTAATTATTTTCATGTATCAGGCATAAATGTTAATTTCTATTCCGCCCTATCTCTATTTCCTTCTTTTCTAACCACATAGGGACTTTCTTTATGTTAGTGATATAAGCTATACAAATAACGTTCATTATTATTATTATTATATAGGAAACAACAATTTACAATACCACTCCATCTAGATTACAAAATTAATCCCTCATTAAATAGGGTACACACTATAACCTGTATACACATAAGTATCACTAAGCAGCAGACAGCAAGAAATAGAGTAAAGAGTTCCTAGACTTGAAGAAAGTCTGATGGAGCTTGCTTGCTAAATTTCATGGTTGGATTAAACTTGAGATTATTAATTTCCATTTTCATTGTTATTCCAAGTATCAAGAGTTTACATCGATGGATTTGCGATTAAATTAAGCACTTGCAGACTCAATTCAATTCAATCAACCTTTTCTGATCGATTCCACACCGTTTCTTTCACGATGCAATCGCATGACCAGAACTCAACTTTATCTTTAACTGAAGACCTGAACTGACCTGGTATTAGCTGCTGCATACCAGGGGGCCCGGTCAGTCTACTAGCGCACTCCTCTCTGGCCCTGCGTTGGTCCGGCTGGTCCAGCACAAAGGCTGGCTGAGAGTGGTGGAGCTGATGCTGCGAGAGGTGCGGCTGCAACAGGGACTGGTGGTGTGAGAGTTGCTGAGCATAGTGGGGTAGGAGTTGTGGCTGCTGTGGCTGCAACTGGTGTTGAGGCTGGTGATGGTGGTGGCGTATGTTTTGCTGTGGGTCCTGTTCGGTGTAGTAGCCCTGACGATCTCGGTAGCTCAGATCCATTGTGGAGGAACAAGGGGGCACTAAATAGACAAACAAAATGATAGAAAAACACATATCAAGATGTAAAATTACCACTGCATTTTAACATTTTAAATCATCCATCCAACTGAAGCAAGAGGAAAAAGTGGAAAGGCCTGTAAGTCAAAGCCTCACTCATCTGAAATGAAAGAAGAGAGCTCTAGATTTAAAAAAATCAAATCATTCAAGGAGTTTTATGCAACTTACAACAAAAAACATTCTCTGACTTTTTTCCAGGTTTATTTTCACTTCTCATTGAAATTATGATGTACATTTTGTTACTGTTTCAAAATATGAAAATATGAAAATCCAGGAAAGAACGAGAGTCTCTACAGTAGACCTACCTAGAATTGCTTTGGCAAAATCAAGTTTTATTTTGGAAGTCTCGTTGGTGGGTTTTTTTCGGCCGCATGCACTTCATTAATGGGGAATGCGCACGCTGATAAAAGAAACCAGCGGCTTGAGGCAGCATTGGATGCCAGAGGAGAGCTCCAGCATGCAATCTGGCTGAAAAGCCTGAATTTCATCTCCGCAATTAAAAAAAGTAGACGATGAACTGGGTCTGGGGGTATTTTATTTACGTAGAATCTGTTTTTTTGCATCTTTGAAAATGTGGACGATCCATATTTTTTAGGACGCGTCTCTCTGCGTTTACCGAGATGATCCTCGGTCAGCTCAGTCTTCCCCTTTTAAAATTAATTTTGCTATTCTAGAGTGACTTAGAACTCATGCATGTATCGTCGGAGTGACATAATCAGTGACAGTGCAGTGCCGTTGGCCACATATTGGTGGCAGTGCAGTGCGGTGTATCATTTCATAAAAATAACAACAAACACGAAAATACATTTGTGGGACCACAATAATGCGAACAAAAGCATTAATGTACACGTCGAACGGGTAACTTACTTCAATAATTTCGGGATTTTACGAGACTTTCATTAAATATTTAGATATTAAATTTTATTTCCATTATTCAATTATATGGATCAATCATTATTACACCTCAAAATAAATAGGAAAGGGTTACAATTTACCAACAAATCTTCTGGCCGATCCCTTCCTAGCTTTTCCAAGATGGATGCGTGATCCCTAGCCCTCCCAACAACGTAACCTACTTTTCGTCAAAGGAGACTTTTTTCTCTCTCTAGAAAATACTTTATGCAAACAGAAACTATCATACGAATTCTTCACTAAAACAATTGTAGAATGAATTCATCCTAATACATATGAAACTGGTCAGGAATTGCATCTCAAGTGAAATTTAAATTCAAAGGAAATAAAATTAAGTAGAAAACGCCTTGAATTAAGCTAGCGGCTATCATAATATCGAAAAGATTTTTGGAGGAGAATATTGCAGGAAAAATTAGTAATACTCATCTATGAGATTATCAAATTCATATTAATTCGTGAAAAATCCTGTTAGGAAATAGTAGAGCACGTGTTAGTAAGGAACTAAGCAGAATACTATGATAGATTAATTTTTAGGTTGAGCGCAATGCATGCATTGGATCCAGGCACCTTAATTGTTTTTAAGGGACCCCTTCTCAATCTCTCTTTCATTAGCCCCCCCCCCCTCCTCCTATCACAATCTAACTCTCCTCCCTCTAGCCGTCTCAGTTTTCTTTTTGTTTGTCTCCCACTCCCCCTCCTCTATTTGTCTATATTTCGATCAGGATCTCTCTCTTCCATTCCCCCTCTCAGTCTCCCACCTATCACGAGCCGCTTCCAATGTGTTTTTTTCTCAGTCTGTATGCATGTACAATGTCTCCGTCTTTCCTTTTATCTTCACCCTTTCCCCCGTCTGCCTCTCTCTTCCTCTTAGTCTCCCTGCTTTCTCGAGCCGCTTCCCATGTTTTCTCTAGTTCCATCTCCCCGTCACTCTTTCCCCTGTCTCCATCTATCTGTCTCTCTCTCTCCCATTCACTCGATCTCCCGCCCATCTCGAGCCACTTCCAATGTTTTTTTTAACTCTCCTTCCATCTATCTCTGTCTCTCTCTCCCCAACTCATCCCGAGCCCCTTAATTTGTTTTCTCCTAATTCCATCTGTCTCTCATTTTCTCTTCTCCCTTCACCTTTTCTCTGTCCCTCTGTCTCCATATCCGATCTGCTTCCCATTTTATTCTCTCCATCCATCTCCATCTTTCCTTTTCTCCCCTCTCTCTCTCTCTCTCTCCCTCTTTCATCTTTTCTCACTTCCCTCTTTACTCTTTCCTTATTTTCCATGAGAAACTGACATGATTAGACATGGAACCAAGTTCATTTTTTGAAAATGTGTGACTTGTATATTTCTGTTTCTACACATGCTACTCTTCATCTTTTACACACATGTACATAATACAGAACACATTTCAACAATAATGAGTTAAAAAGAGGTGACCATTTCAGCTTCAAACTCACCAACCAAAAAAAAAAATCATATATATTGTTCAAAACTTGGGAATAACATTTTGTATTGAATTTCAAGAAACTGATCCTGTGTTCAGTCATGAGTTGATCTGATTTTATTGGCAAAGGTATCAAACTGAAGAGAAGATGATAGCTATATGAGATGATTTGATATTTTTCATCATACTAGTGATATATTGATGAATTTGGTAAATAATAAGAGTTGGATCAGGATCTGTATACAATTGCTATGAACATTAGGCCCCCCCCCCCAAAAAAAAAGATGTTGTACTGCCCTTTGCGACCCACCCAAAAATCTTGAAATCTATGGTTGGCTTTTAAAAAAAGCTTCTTTTTTTAAAACCGTTTTTAGAGAGAAAAAAATATTTAACATTGAAAACTGAAAAATATCAGCCCAAAGAGGGAGAGAAAAAAAAGGAGGGAAAAAAAATTTAAAAAAGAAAGATTTTCGACCGACCGATCCAAGTTTTAGCACCTAAAGGACAACATTTTTTTTTAGGCATTATTGCTACACACATCTTTGTTCCCTACATACTTCACATTTATTTCCTAAAGAAATTGATTACTGTCCTGCACTAACTGGATGCACATCTGAAAGGCATGTTGTGGTCCAGTGGATAAGTCTCTGGACTGTGAACCACTAGGTACTGGGTTCTAATCCCTGCCACAACACTAACATCCTTTGGTAAGATGTTAAGCTTGCCACACTCCACCCAGGTGAGGTAAACGCAAGGTACATGGTAGGATTATTCCTTGAAAATTGAAATGCACTGTGCGCTGATAACTGCTGCCGAATAATTTCCAAAGCTCTTTGGAAACACGTAGGGATATTACATCATAATGTGTTATGTGCTATAAAGGAACATATTATTTATTATTATTTAATACTCCTTACAATTAAACAAAATTCACTAAATATTTATTAACAAAACAGAACCAGATTATAAAGAATCCTATTATAACAACTATGGTTAAACATGTTTTGCTGGTCCAACATTTCTGTATTAAATTGTTTTTTCAGCCCTGATATAACAACCCACAAGAACATTTTCTTGGAAGTCCCAAGGAATTTGTTCTTTAAATACATACAACTGTATTCATATTTCATGAGTCAATTTTTTCAAATAAAAAGCTGTTTTTCATTGCTACCTAGATACAAATACTGCTATATCTATCTTCAAACTTGATAACCAATTTTGAATTTCAAGATGTGTTTACATACATTTTGATATTTATATGGCACATTTACAATTTACATAAACATGCTCAAAGCGCTTAAATGAAGTTTTCAATATTGCACATGAACAATACATTATTCTTGAATTAGGAGAATTGGAATATGTACAGGTTCATAATGCTATGGTAATGGATGCCTATTGTCCATATTCTTAGAAAGGCAGTAAAAATATTTTGGATATAATTTTTTCAGGAAAAACTGGCAAGATATGCAATTTAATCATGTTCATCTTTTGAGTTATACTCTGAATATATGCTGGCATCAAGCCCAAAGAGCCTCGCATGTGGAGTACCTCAGGGTACACAGTTGGGACCAATCCTATTCCTTGCCCTATATGCTGCCCTATATGCTGCCCTAATGCTGAATTCTTCTATGTAATTTTTGCTTTTTAATCTCACCCCATGATTATTATAATCATCATTGTAAATGTTTATTTGGCCATAAAAATCAGAATTTCACAGTATTATATATACAAAGGCAACATAATAAATACAATTATCTTGGAAATAATAGAGAAAGAGGAAGGAAATGAGAAGCACGGAGAAGAGGAAAGAAATGGTTACCAATAAGCCAAGGTTCGCAAAAGTTAAATGCTTCACTGTTGCCCAGAGGCATGCACAATATAGCCTACAAACGTCTTGTATTTTTACCTTGTTAATAAATTCTTTGATACTCATGTTCCTATATTTATTAATGAAACTTTATTACGTTTAAATGGTTTATGCACCCATTTCAACCCTTTACTTTATAGCATCTATATTACAATAATGCCAGAATGAGACACTGTGTTTGTTATTTTTTACACATTTGTACACATTATTTACACACGCTTGTTTCTTAAGATCTTTTTCAGCTTCCCATTTCATTTCTTACTTTCCAACTTTCTTCATATTTGCAAGTAGATCTGTTCATTTGTAATACATGTATATCCGGTATTATCATCATCATCACTTGTGTTTTATATACCCATTTCTGTTAATTGTGTTTAAAATGTAAACCCAAAATCTAAATGTTAGAAAAGGGAATGAAACGCGGCGGCTTTGTCCATTATCTTTTTCCTTTTTTCCCACTCATCTAATTCGATTAATCTTATGTATGATGTGCATTGTGCAATATATTGAAGTTTCCATTATTATTATTGTTCTTCTTTCCTTGAATAAATTTTTGTTTCTTTTCCATAATGATGTATTTGTTTTTTACATTTATATTTTTGAACATTTCAACTTGTTTGTATCAGTCTCCCGACTGTTTTAACAAGGAATTTATAATTCAATAAACCTTAGAATGAATGAATGAAGGAATAAATGAAATACAAAGATGTAATATAGAATCAAGCGGTGAGTCAAACATCCATGAAACCCTGAGCAGTTGTATGACATGCTTGTATCAATATTCTCTTCTTGAACGTGCCTAATAAGGCCCCCAAAAAAGATTTGGTATTGCCCTTTTAAATAGATGCCAGCACCTTGGTCGGTCATTCGATTTGAAGAAAAAAAATAAAAACAAAAAACATCATTTAACATTTTTTCTTCTAAAAAAAAGTTTAAAAAAATGTTAAATAAAAAGCCAACCATAGACTTTAAACATTTTCAGTCGGTCACAAAGGGCAATACAACAATTTGTTTTAAAAGGCTTAGTAATCTTTAGATACTAACTGAAGCATTCACCTTTCATCCCTACCCTTGGATAAGGCGTGGTAAACAAAAATAAGACATACTCATTTACAAAATGCTTACTTTCTCAAAATAATAGAGAAAGCGATAAAAATGCTGGTATTAGTAACAAAGGTGTTTATATAGAACAACCCTGCTCCTGTATTGAGTTGGTTAAATTCATTGCTTTGAACTCTCACATAGACTAGCATCTCCTTGTACTCTATGCTTGAACATGTGATAAGTGTAATGCTGGTTCAAAGAGAAGGTTTTATTACAGATCTCACAAGAAAAGGCCTTCTCGGCAGTATGCAATGCGATCTTGTGAGCTGTGAGAGCGCAATTTCCTGTGAACGCTTTCCCGCATTCTAGGCAAACGTAAGGCCTGATGCCCTTGTGGCGTCTCTCGTGTTTGACAAGATTCGCTTTATCGGCAAACCCTTTGTCGCAGACTGAGCAAAAGAATCGTTTTGGTCGTTCCTGATGCATGCGTCTCCGATGAGCATAGACAGCTTTCTTAACTCTGAATCCTTTGCCACAGACTTCGCATTTGAATGGCTTCAGTCCGGTATGTTCTCCTTGATGGTTGTTTAGGGCGCTCTCCGATGCAAAGCTTCTTGGGCAGAGTGTGCAGCGATACATGCGGTGCTGCTCATGGCATTTCATATGGATCATCATTGCAGCCTTGCTGGTGAAGATCTTAGGACAATGGGTGCACTTGAATGCCGCTTCTCCTGTATGACACTCCTTCTCATGTTCATTTACCTTTTTACGTAAGACATACCTCTTGGGACAGAAGCGGCACTTGAAGGGTCGTTGCTGTAAGTAGTAATTGGTGCTCTTACCAAGCATGTCTCTGGGCTCCGAGGGCGATGGTTCAGAAGGCTGGTGGATCGTTGGAGGTGACGCCTGAGTCTTTGACAGTGATTCATGCTTCTTCGCAGCAGGCTTTAAAGACTTGAAAGCTTGGTGTGTCTGCTCATGCTTCATACATTCACTCTTCTTAAAGAACCGTTCCGAACAGAACCTGCATTGATGCCCATGGACTTCTCTCTCATGTTTATTGAGGGCAGTCTTTGTTTTGCACTTTTGGTTGCATTTCTTACACCTGTAGAACTTGGGTTCATGTTTTTTCATGTGAATGGCAAGGGTCTTTGCATTCGCCTGTCCTTCAGCACACACAGGACAAGCATGTTCTTGGCTGTTTTCATGGAACAACTCGTGTGCCTTCAGTCTACCGCAGGAAGGAAAGATCTTCCCACAGGTTCCACACTTGAAAACCAACTCTTTCGTGTCATCACTGTCATTCATGTCACTGTCTAGTTTCTCTTTCCTGACATGCTGTTTAATCGTCAACTCAGTTTCTGCCGGTTTCTTCTTCTTCTTCTTGTATGTCAGGACAGGGATCATCTCATCTGGTATACGGCTGGTGTGTTCACATCTGATGTGTCTCAGGATTAGTTTGGCAGATGTGAACAGACCCTCACACTGGCTGCATTGGAACTTCTGAGTACCTGAAATATATCGACAGAAAATATTTTCCATTCAATTTTTAGGAATTCTTTGAAATACTCCAAATCTAAACCGGCCCATGCATGGAGTGTTCCCCAAGGCTAGGTTCTAGGTACACTTCTATTTCTATCAAATATCACAAAAGCTGCTGCACCTTATTTCAGGTCAAAGAACGTATTGAACAAAAAAACATGTAAAATGGTACAATTATTGCTATAAATGTATCCTATGATGGTGATCTAAAATTTGAGTCGGTGACAATTTCTCTAGGTTTTAGTTTATCAATAATGAGTTACGGTTTTTATTGGATATTTAGGACATGTTTAGGGTTAGGTGTAGTGTTGGGGTGTATGGTTGAAGTCATGAATTAGAGTACCTAATCAGACAGGTATCAATAAATCAGAAATCAGGAATTTTAAGTCAACCAATGTGAGTCTGAAATGTGGCAGTACATACCTTGGTCAAATTTGAGATCCTCAAGTCTTGTATGAATTCTGACATACTTCCCATACACCTCGCTGTAGAACACTTTTAGTTCACTTCCTGGTTCAATGACCTTTGTGCTTCTGAAGTAGATATTGCCGTAATACTGATATGCTTCCATGTTCTGTTCCTCTTCACTCCTTGCACATCTCAGATGAGACATCCAGTTTTTACGTCCGTCAATGTAGAAGAAAATTCCGCCTGGATTACATATCTGTGATCAAAACAAAACAACAATTACTAATCTGGTTATCTTTTTAAAATATAAAACATTGCAGGGAAGATGATGTATAGGTGTTGTGGTCTTTTTAATTTAATTGAATTTGAAGCCTGGTGGATATGAGCGCTATAGGTTTTGTGGCCCAGAGGATAAAAATCTGGAAGGGTGGTGGATGTAGGTGCTATAGAAACATCCGATCGATATTATTATTACCACTATTACGACCTACCTCCCATGATGTGTCCTTGGACCATCCCTGCTCCTCATCAAGTAGTGTTCCTGTGTATGGTCCAAACTCCACCCCTTTCTCCATTGTATCCTTGGCAACCACTCCCTCCACCTTGTCCTCCGAAGCCACCTTGAAGATGAGGCCCTTTGGAAGTTCTTGACTCGAGGATATGATTGCATTCTTTTTGAGATTGAGAGCCACGAGAAGCTGGGCCGTATCCGAGGATGAGGAGTTTGTGGCTGGAGCACTTTGTTCTTTACATTGTGATTTCTTACGAGGAGGTGGTGCAGTTGTCTCGCCTGATTGAAAGTGAGGAATATATCATGATTAATAAAAATCAAAATTAACTGGCACTTTACTGTATGTTTGAGGTCTATGCTTGTATCATAATATCTGTAACTCTGGGCTAGGGTATAAGATTTAATGCATTAATGGCTTCAAACAGACAATATATCAAAACTACCAGTTCTGAACATAAGTTTTATCCTGATTAGACCAATCAAATAAATCTACTCTCAATAAAGATAAAATGTTATTCGTGTGTAGAGTAGACTAGTTTAAAATGCACATGCATACATCATAAAATGAAGATCAATGGATTAGGAAATCCAACAAAGTATAAGACAGTTATAAATGTTCAGTTGTATAATTGGCAACTCAGTGATATCCCTTGTGAGCACCAAGTACAATCCGTTATGTAAAGCCCCTCTGCACTAGTTTGGCATGGATTAGACCTCCCTTCAAGGTCACTGGCAGGTGGTTATCAAATCAGCTCTCAATTAACATAAGAAAAAGGGCATGGGGGTTCAACGGGTACCGCTTAGGCAATGTTGGCTGTATAGAGGGCGCAAGTAGCTAAGTAGTGCAGTGGGACTTTAACAGATAAGAACTACAGAAGGACATTACAGTTTTTCACAATCTCTAGAGCAGCAAATTCTGACCTTGAGGCTGGAGTGCGGTAAAATCTGCGGACAGACTCGGAGCTGTAGATTTGACCCCATGACCTCTAGCAGTGAAGGGTGATTGCTGACGAGTTTGCTGCACAAGACTTGGGCTTGGAAGCATTGGTGTAGATTCTATTTCAAGAATAAATCAGAAGAAAGATATGGGTGAAGACAAATTTAAATACTGCTAAGTAAAACAAGTGTTGTTTTCTCTCCCGTGCTTGCTTGCTTTTGTATTTTGATATTAATCATATTTCCATGCTTAAAGAAAATGTATATGTAGCTGGCATTCCCTTTCTACTTCCCTCTGTTTCTTTGTGGGAGGGAGGACGGTTCATGTAAACTTATAAATCACCGTTTTAAAGCAATTAATATTTTGATAAAGCATGAAAAACAGAACTTCATACCCCACAACAAATCAAAATAACATCTTCCTTTTGATAATACATGTAATAAAAATCCAGTCTGCAATATTCATAAGGATTAAGGTTGCAATAACATGCATGTACTAGCAGCATCTAAATCTCTATAAAAATTCAAGCAATAATTTAGCATCAAGACAATGACAGGCAATGTGGATTTCAAATTCAAAGCCATTACCGTGAAATACAGATCTCAGTATGGCGGCCCCAGGGTGCTGTGCAGGGAATACTCTCAGAGGCTGATCTACTAGGAACTCAGGCTGGTGTTGTGAGGTTGTGTGGTATGGTAGGTCCATGGGGTAGGGTGCAACATGTTGCTGGTGTGGTGGCGGTTGCTGTGAAGGTTGTTGTTCCCTTTCAGGGCAGTAGAAACCAGGCGGATAGTTATCGTCCATGGCTCGTACTATGAAGGAATGAAAAGAGAATTAAAAACAAAAATACAAAAACAAAAAAAACATTAGCCTGGAAAAAATGATGTTGGTAATAACTAGCAATAGCCTATATTCTCCTATGAAGCTCTCAATGATATGTATATCTCTGTATCAGCAGCAGAAGTACGGAAGTGCCGCCAACACAAGTAAGACTAAAGACTAAAAAAAGAGGTCAATATCTTTGTAATTAATGCAGAGCGGAAAGTCGCACGACAGTAGTGAAAAAGCTGTATCGCCCTGGTAATATTATTAGCTAATAATAAAATATTTCATTATTTGTAGACCTCCGATTTTGAACTGCCAAGCGTCATAGCAAACGTTAAGGCCACTGCACTGTCCAATATTTGTTGGGTGCGGGATCGGGAAGAGGTGATTTCGGACGGATATGTTTAATTGTTCACCTGCCTCTCTGCGCACGTTTATGGGAGCCAATTAAGGCTTGCGCTTGGTGATATAAATATCATAAACACATTATCACCAAGCCCTATAGGCCCTAGCCGAGTCGGCTCTCTCTCTCACACACTCCCAGTTTACAGTCTAGTCTCTCGCCCCCCGTGCATGGCCGTGCATGCGCAGGAGACAAAGGGTCCACTACACTGCATTGCACTCTCTCATAGTCATAATTAACTAAAGTAACTGGCACTACATCTACGACGCGACGCAGTTTTCGAGATAAGAACAAATTAAGTAAAACATGAAATTGAAAGCAAATAGGAAGATTAGGTACAACATACCAAGTCAAACTTATCACTAGTGTTTCTGTCGTTTTGTCTTAACTTGAAGTTAAAAATTGACTAAAATTAGGCACCGCGCACCGTACGTAAACGTAGCATAATTGGTCCAGAATTTAGTAAGACGTAGAGGGCGTTATAGTTAATTGTGAACGGAGGACATACGTGATATGATCGAATCTCTTTGATTGTGAAACAAAATATATAAGATCAACACGAAGCTTTTCCTCCGTGTGTGAGAAATTGTACGAGATCTATGAAAGAAATCATAGAAACTGGTTTACTTTAACAAAGTCTGATTTTTTTCTTCTTATTTTGTCTGTCCGTCTCTTGTCCCCCCCCCCCCCTCTCTCTCTCTCTCTCTCTTTCTCTCTCTTCATGTTTCTCTCTCTCTCTCTCTCTCTCTCCCTCGCTATATCTCTAGCTCTGTCTTAAATGTCTTTGTTTGACTTTTAGATGTTTTTAAAAGTAATATAAAAGCAATAATAGCCTTGGGAGTACATGTACTCTTATTATTAATCTGTTTTTCCTTCTATTTGTTCTTCATCTCCTTTTATTTTGCTTGTTATAAACTTATGAAACATCATGCTTTAACAACAAATGTGAGAGCTTTGTTCATTTGTGGGGAAGGTCATCAGAGATTTAAGTGCCATTAACAAATAAAAGTTCTGCCACCATGCATCCCAACTTTATAAACATGTTAAGCGATGGATAAGAAGAGGGTATATCTGACAAAAGCATGATAAATGGTGAGATAATTATGTTTACATTATTTTGGTCGGAATGACCGCATGCGTGTTACCAAAATGTCCGGTAAAGGGGTACTTTTTACACACCAAAGTCCGGCTAGTACAAACACAAAATTGACATTACACACCGGACTTGTTTTCAAAAGGAGGGAACACGCATATGCGTACCCTAAATAACACTGAGTTGGGGGGGGGGGGCGGGGTGCATCCGGACGGTGCCCTTCAATTTTCCTGCCATGGATATTGTATACTTACCCCAAGGATGAACCTCTAGACAGCAAAGTAGGAAGTAGCATGTGGTGGAGTCTGGAGTGTAATTGCTCTTCAAAACAATAAATCTTTCTATCTTTCTCATCAATTATCTCTTTTTCAAATCACGCTGCACTATAATGAGGCCTGCACTATATCTTTTCGTTTCCCATCCATGTCGTCAATGCTCTCTCTTTTCACAACTTTAAAAAAAAATCTTTATACTCATCTATACGACTCCTTCTTCCTCACATCCCACCTCTTTATCAAACACTCAATTAATCTCTCTTTCTCTCTCTCTCACTCCCAATCTCTTTCTCCTCACTTCTCTTACTCTGTGTCTTTTTCTCCCCATCTCCCCTTCTTTCATCTCCTTTTCTCATCTCATCTCTGCCTATCTCCCTTCATCTTTCACTCACATCTCCCTATCTCTTCATCTCATTTTCTCTCTATATATCTCCCTTTCTTTCTCCAGTTGCCTTTCTCTCAAATCTTTCTTTCTTTCCCCATCTCCCTTTTCTCTCCCAAACTCTCTTGCTCTGCTTCATTTGTTCACTCTCAATTAGCAAATCATATAAAACCACACAAAAATCCATCTCAATTTAAGAGGAAGCTTTATGTCACATGCCACGGTGCCAATGAGTTAACTGACATCATCCACTTGTGACAATTTATACATGATTCGCCGAACATACATGACTACCGTACATGTGCATTGAACTACAGGTAGGTCTATGGATGAAGATTACAGGTTCGGTTGTACCTCATTATAAAGAACACTGCTATAAGGGGCTATCCTTAGGTAATTTTCCCTGTCCACCTTTTCCCCTTTGTTCTATTGTTCTTGAATACCGATATAACGAAATGTTATTACAAAAAAAGGTTCCAATAAAATCCAATCTATACATTTTTTTTTAAAGTCCAACATTTCCTAGTTTTAGAGTCATGTACACCAGTACCCCCCCCCCCTAATTGGTTTGTTTATTTGAGAATTTAATTTCAATTTTCAACACCATAGCTTGTCCTAAAATAATTTAAAAAAATACATATATTTTGTAAATACAAAATGAAGGGGCTACTTAAAATTTGAATATGCTTGTATCTCTGAGGGCTCAACAGACAGTGTTTGTCGAAACTCGCAAGGCTCATTTTGAAGGACGGCATAATTTCATTTAAAAAAAATTCTGAGGCCATTAGCTTTTGACCACTGCTAATGTTGACTGATGCGTGGACAAAGCAAAGGTCTCAGAACTTAATAGTACACATTTTGTAATATGCATCCCAACCAGAATAATGCCAAGGTTTATATGATTGATAGGTGTTGTGGCACCATGAAAATGAATTTCCCCCTTCTTCTTCTTCTTCTTCTTCTTCTGATTATAGCACAAACAGTTACAGCAATAACATAAATACACACAAGTCCATGTATACAAGTGGTTGTATACATAGCGACAGTAGCTACTATTTACACTATATACTCACATGGTACATTCATCATTCATGAGAGTAAAATCAAAGAATTTCTGAACATTCTCTAGTTCAAAAACAACATTTAGAAGTTGATTGTTGATTAAAATCATACCATGAAAGGTACACATAATTAAAATAGAAAAAACAAACATTTTGGACAAATATTCTTCACAATTTTTATGGTACCGTAAATGGTCAGTTGAAGTTGTAGCCCCCCAAATGCCAAATTTGTCCATCACGTTCATTTCTTCAAAACTTTGCTCGAAAGTTATTTTAAGGCTTATATTGCATACCAAAACAATTCTCATGAGCTGTTAATGATGACAAATTAGGATTTAATATACTAGACTAATACCACTCGCGGTCTGTGACTCTGTGGCAAAATCCGTGTATATCCTTTCCCTCTTAAACCGTTACGTGCATTTCATTTTTACACAATTCATGATTATAGCAACAACTAAATGCAAGAATACCTGGATAATTGATTGATTGACACACTTCACTTTAATATCGATAAGCGATACCAGTATTTTATTTTTCATCAGTGCGACAATGAAGCACAAAATACAGGAAAATACTATCGTCAGAATGGCATTCATTGCAATACTATAACATAGAGTACTTTAATTAAAACGTTTCCAAGAACCTTTTCAAAAGAATTCTAGAACACTGGCAAGCACTCGCATAGATCAAGAAAATGTCGGGACCGGCCTAGGAGTTACATTTGTAGCTGTGGCTGCATGGGTATATCCATGGGTTGTGTGGCAGGAATACTGGCTGCGCTCTGGTCTTGAGCAGGGGGGGCATTCTGTACTTTCTCACCGGACGTATGGTCTTTGTAGATATGATTGGTCAGATGCTGGTTGAGAGTGAATTTCTGATCGCAGTGCCGGCATTGGAAGTGCTTCTCTTTGGTGTGGGTGTAGGAATGGGAAGTCAAGCAGTAGTTGCTGGTGAAGCCTTGACCGCAGACCAGACAGACGTAGGGTCGTATGCCCTTGTGGCGGCGCTCGTGTTTGATCAGGTTTCCTTTATCGGAGAAAGGCTTGTTGCAGAAGGAGCAGGTGAAACGCATCTGTTGGACCTTGTGCATCCTGCGTTTGTGGGCGGTCATGAAGTGGCGCGTGCGGAAGCCCTTCCCGCAGACGTCGCACTTGACCGGTTTGAGACCGGTGTGCTCGCCCTGATGGTTCTGGAGAGCGCTCTCTGAGGCGAAGGCCCCAGGACAGTGAGGGCACTGGAACGGACGGTTCTCAACGTGTCTCTTCACATGCTCCACGTAGCGAATCGACGTGGCGAATACAGACGGGCAGTGAGTGCACTTGAAGCGGCACCTCTTGGTGTGTCTTTCAGCCTCGTGATCAAGCTGAGCCTTCCTTCCGAGATATCTCTTTGGACAGAACCGGCACTTATACGGCCTTGGTCGGTCATAATAGTTAATCCTCTTGCCAAGCATGTCCTTTGGCAGATTAGAATTACTCTCTCCTTCTTCTTCTTCTTGATTCTCAACCGGTCCCTCTTCCTCTTGAGCGTTCAGGAAAAGAAACTCCCCATCTTCACCATCATGATCGCTATGAACCACTTTATTCCATCTCTCCTGCCTCTTCGGTCTACCTGGCAAGGCTTTGAAATTCTTCCAATCAGGGTGCATCTTCTCATGTCTATTCAACTCGCGCTTCTTCACAAACTGAATCCCGCACACCCGGCACTTGTGGTTGAAGGTGTGTGAGAGCCTCTCGTGGCGGCTCAGCATGTTCCTGGTAGTAAAGGTGTTCCCGCAGGATTGGCACTTGAAAGGTTTAGCCTTGTGGGACACCATATGCTTGGCAAGGTTGTTGGAGTTGCTATGGCATTCCCCGCAGATGGGGCAAATGTGTTCTTCACTGTATTCATGGAAGGTTTCGTGGGCAGCGAGCCTTCCACGGGTCGGGAAGTTCTTGCCGCAAGTTGTGCAGATGAATCTCTCTTCCACCAAACTTGACCTGTTCGTAGACACCACCTTGGTCTTCTTGCTGGGGGGAGGAGAAGGTAACTTGGCTGCCTTTGCCATAACAGGTTTCTCATTCTCTGCATTCTCTGACACAGTTGTTCGCGACTCCCAAGTCAACACTGGACGCAGATCATTGGCCCTGTCAGGGTCATGACTCATCCTCATGTGCCTCAGGAGACATTTGACCGAGGTGTAGGATTCTTTGCAAGAACTGCATGGAAAAATCCGGGATTCTGCAACAAAGTTGAAAGCAAAATAGAATTCAAATAAACCTTTCAGTAATACCCTTCCCTCATAAAAACTTAAAGACAATGTAACATTTACTGGACAATTTTTCCTCTTCCTGAGATTTCAGGGCTGTATAATACCTTTAAAGGTAACCCCCTGATACACCGAAATTCATATACATGTTGCCCCACTCATAGTATTCTGTGTCTACACAAAGCGCTATCATGCGGTCATTACTACAATCTACCTATTACTTCATGCTATATGGGGTATCAGTAATGGAAATTTTGTGGGAATCGATATCTAGGACAAATTAAAAAAATGAAAACTCCACCCTAAAATAAGCGTAAAGCCCTAACCCCAAATCTTTTCACAAAATAAGACTGAACACAGACGTTGCATAACCAAAAGAGATCCCCCCCCCCTCCCGAAATCCACCCATCAGCTGATGAAAACACAACATACCGTTTTTGAACGACAGCTCACTCAGCTTTGTCTTGAAGCCCACATGATTAGCATACTCATCGCTGTAGAACACCTTGAGCTCACTTCCTGGTTCAACGACCTTTGTGGTTCTGAAGTAGATGTCCCCATAGGATTGGAACGCTTCTAGATTCTGTTCCTCTTCGCAGTTAGCGCTCTCTACGAATGCCATCCAGTTGTTATGACTTCTGTTCTGACCATCGACGTAAAAGAATACCTTCCCTCGCATACAAAGCTGAAATTACAATCGACATTACAGTATGAATAGCACTGAAGATGCCTGGACACTGGACATATATTGTTTGTTTGATTTTTAGTACATTTGGCTATATAACAGGATAACAATATTTAGCTTTTATATAGGGCTTATCACAAATGTCTCTAAGCGCTTTACAAATATATTATTACCCCGGTCATTGGATTCAGTGCTTGCCAGCACACACTGTGTGACTGTGTGCACAATCTCCAATCCCTGGGGAGCATTCCAGCCAGGCATTACTTGACGCTCAAAAAGTGTTACAGGATGGGGACGGGGGGGGGGGGGGGGGGGGATTAAATTTTAACCCTGTACTCTGTTAAAATAAATGCAGCTGCCTCTCACAAGCCACCATACATCATGACACGTGAAACAAAAATTGAGAAAAGAGAACCATCCACTGTAATTCATAGCTACATGTCGGGCCTAAAATGAACTAAAGGGCAATTCCACGGTAACGGAAGGACACTCAGACAAGATTTTTGAACTTCAGGTTCATACTAAAAGAACTGTTTTATTAGTATAAGATGTGAAACAGTACAGATATAATACCTATATAAGTGCCTTTAATTCTCCCCCCAAAAATTGTCATTATAGTTAAGTAGTTTAAGAATGTGCATATTAATTATCTCGGTAACGGAAGGACATAAAAATGGACATGGTTTTTCCAGTTAATTAGTGTTTATCCAAACTTTGTGAAGTTGATGAAGCTTTCTACTTGACTGAAACACATTTTGTTCCCCATAGTTTAATACATACTAATAAAACATTTCTTTTAGTATGAACCTGAAGTTCAAAAATCTTGTTTGAGTGTCCTTCCGTTACCGTGGAATTGCCCTAAAATAAAAACACAGGTACATACATGTACTGAATTTGGTGATACGGTGATACAACATGAATTAATTACGATTCACTTGCAGCCTAACTTTAAATAGAATAATCCACTGAATACAGAGAGATTCAATAAAGATTCAAACAGAATTTATAAAGCACAACATTACTGTAGAGGTGTTGTGGTCTAGAGGATAAGTCACCCGACTGTAGATCACAAGGTACGGGGTTCAAGTCCCGCCGCGGCACCAATGTCCTTTGGCAAGACGTTAATCTACATTTGCCACTCTCCACCCAGGTGTAAATGGGTACCTGGTATGCTTGAGCGCTAGTTAGTTTGGCAGTTCGGCTATTACCAGGGTAATATGTGTAAAGCGCCATGAGCGTCAGTGCCTGATGGATACCGGCACTATATCAATTATTATCATTATTATTATCAACATCATCATCATCATCATCATTACTCACCTCCCAAGCCGAGTCCCTCGCACTCCCTACCGCTTCGTCAACCAGCTTGCCATTGAATGGTCCAAATCTTGCACCCTTCTCCAATGATCGCTCCGACCGTACTCCACCAATCTTCTTCCCACCGATGGAGAACTTCAGGGACAGGCCAATCGGCAGATCAGGTTTCCAGATGTCCACGTCCCGGACTTGTGGACCACGCTGTGTCAAGTTCTGCAGAGTGTTGACAGTAGTCTGGATGATGTTCTGTTGGGTTTCTGCCAGGGCTAGGCGCACTGCTCGTTTCTTGGGCGTGTCCATGTCTGCAGTGATTGCAGGAGTGGAGGTTTGCTCGCACTGCGGTTCGGGGACAGTGACGACTCTGATGTTCTCATCGATGCCCATGCTCCCTCGTGGTTCCTCTACTACCTCGTCCTCTATGTCGTGTTCATCTGCCGAGTCGTGCTGGCGTGTGGGGGACTGCGAGGGGATGAAGGAGCCATCTGGTGGTGCGTCTACAGAGGACTGAGTTGAGGTGGTGGGTGGGGCGTAGTTCACCTGGGTGGTTGAGCTGAGGTGAGGAAGCTGGGCGTGGCCATGATCGGTGAAGTGGGAATGACTGCGATGCATACCACTTGCAAGCACTTGCCCACTGCCTGTAAGAACCAAAGAAAACATGAATAATAATAATAATTAAAACGGTGCTTACATGTATAAAGCGCTTACCATCGAAGTCTCTAAGCGCTATAACGAACAAAATACAATGATTAACAATTACATAATTGAATGTGAGTGGCCAACTGAAGGAGTTATTATCAAATATCAATTTTTCAAAATTGGTTCTTCAATACATGCCAGTGACCAGTATCCTACACTCATCAAAATCCTAACTTCAAACCTGGACCAAACACCATACTGAAAGATACTATGTCCCTTTTGCAGCCAACATCAAATTCTGTAAAACTTAGTAGGAATTATGAATGTGTCATGTACATGTATGTCCTATCTGTGAAAATTTAAACATTAGCAGTTTCCTAGTATTCAAATTATGCAAGTTAAACCTGTTTACCTTCTAGGCTTCACTGTCAGACACTATCGAGTGACTGACTGACATCTTTTTTTCTTTGGTAACAACATACATAAAATGAGCTGTAAAAGGTACTTGAGCATTTGTCTACATCAATAACCCACTTCTTGTAATGGCCAAAATTAAACTGACTGAATCTTTATGCAGCACAAAACGTATGACCATTCGGTAAAAGGGTCGATAATCAGAGTATTACTTAGGTGATTGCAATCACTAAACTTGTTTCGACAACTTATGGTTGTTATTTTCCAACTAAAAGCAATTTTCAAGCCCTTTTGTTTTGAGCGAAGTTCTAAATTAGTATGGTCTTTCAAATGCCGTTGGAATTTAACCTTTGCTTTTTGTTGGCCTACGAATGGGACATTGTACCTTTACCCCTAGTACTAAAGTAGGACTTTAAACCAACCAGAATCTATGTCCGGACCCTCAAAACTTGTAAATGTTGGCACATGGTTTAGGCTTATAAATGCATACAGATCTATGCAACAAGATTAATCCAGAAGGCCTACATGCAAGTTCGTATGGACCCCTACCTTAAAGCTTACTGTGACCCTCTTCCTATATTTCTTTGACATTTTTGTGTATTCTTTGTTTTTGTTATATCCCTGGAAATAAAATAAAAAATAAAATGAAATAAATAAATAAAGCATGAAAAGATGGCGCAGGTGGGTGAGAGCACTCCAGCAAAGCATAGAGTCAATGCTAATGCGTATTGACCTCTAGCACTGTATACTTGCACACATCGCACACAATTGCACACTTATGCTTACAATGAATACGAAGTGGCTGGTCGACAAGTTTGACAGTGGACTCACGATTTATATTTTCAAATTATTCTTTCTAACATTGGTAAGTTGAAAAAATTGTATTTTACTGCTATTTAGGTGTTATTAATTGTCTGTTGAGTTTTACCGGTGGGTTGGCTCAGTCAGTAGAGCGTCTGCCTCACAACCAGGAGGTTGTGGGTTTGAACCCCGGACGCATCATACCAAAAGACGTTAAAAGACGGGAGTTGCTGCTACCTTGTTTGGCGTTCAACAATAGAGGATAGAGCAACGTCGATCTGGCGCTGCTCAGTGGCTGCCGGGCTCACGATCAATTGGGCAAAAAGAATTTCCATTTTCGGTTTAATAAAATTTGGAGCGGACTTTAAAAGATTATTATTATTATTATTATAATTATTATTATTATTATTATAATTATGATTATTATTATTATATTATTATTACAGTGGTGTTTGAAATGTTGAGAATCAGTAAATAATAATAATAGCTAGTTCTTATATAGCGCTTTTTAGGACCGAAGGCCCTCTCAAAGCGCTTTACAGATAGTTATATTATTACCCCGTCTAAACAGTTTTTAATATACACAGCCAGGATAGTAATGCAGCTATGTGTGGGTGAGAGGTATTACTTACCAGGTATCATTTGTTGTAAGACGGCCGATCCAGCGAGTCTGCTGGCAAAGTCTTCCCTCCCTCTGACCTGTTCACTCTGCTCCAGCACGAAGGCAGACTGAGCCGAGTGATGCAACTGATGCTGCGGCGGCGGTAAATGTGGCTGCAACAGGGACTGGTGATGAGGCAGCTGGTGGGCATAGTGTGGTAGGAGTTGTGGCTGCTGCTGCTGCAACTGATGCTGTTGCTGCTGGTGGTGACGGATGTCCTGCTGCGGGTCCTGTTCTCGGCTGTAGTAGCCCTGTCTCTCCCTGTAACCTGGATCCATGATGGACTGTAGTGTTTTATACAGACTCTGCAAGGAAAGAACAAACAAAAATTTAATTTAAATTAAGTCATTGCTCTGATGCATACCACAGCGTCAAATAAGCAGTGTACTGGTATGCATGCAAGTAGCAGAGGAGATGAGTGGCGAAAAATCTGTAATTGATAAAAAAAAATTGCCCAAATGTATATTAGTGTAATCACATTAACGGGCAGCAAGGAGAACGACGTAATAACAATTTCATCTAAAATCCAATGTTAGAATGTAATTATCTGACATAAAACCATCTTTGAATGTCATTTCGACCTCATCACCTGGTCCCCTTTACCCTCTATTTACCAATAGTTATAAGCAAAATAAATTGAGACCTCTGCATTATACTAGCTCAAGTAAACAAACAAAACAAAACACCCCCAAAAACACTCCCCTTCAAAAAAAAAAAAAAAAAAAAAAAAGAAATTGCACACAAACACACCTTATTTTTAGATCTAGACCTATCATGATCGAGAACCAAACTGATTGATATCTCACATTTATATATTTGAAATATAATTTAAAAACCATACAGGTTATGGAATTCTTATTCCTCCGAGTCTCTGACATTGGCTTTCGAAGTTTCATATAATTTATAAAACATTAAACCACACATTGTGTTTTGCTTACTCAAAAACATATGGGTGGGATCATATCACAACAATCATCACACAAAGGTCATCGTCAAGATTGTTACAGCTCACAGATTCATTATCTTACATTTCTGAGTCATTTTAAAATAACAGAAACACTCTTCAAGTAGTAACAAATAATGAGAAATGAAAACTGGGACAAAATTAACAAAATCTACTACGAATTATTGATATATTTCCAACCTTACCGAATTAGATACAGGTCGCCCACACCCTTGTTCAGTTTTCAAAATGGAGGCTTGTCAAACGATAGCTGTCGATCAAATTCTATGTTGCCTTTGTATTCTATCGTTTACGAACGATAGCACAAGGTCATTAAACTTGTGCCGTGAGTGAACGCGTACAAAACATAGCATGTATCTGTTTGGACGTGTGCCACGGTGTCGGTGTTTGTGTGTGCTGAGGGGAGGGGAGAGGTGGGGGGGGGGGGGGGGCGGAGGTAATCGACGGAGTTTATTCTAATGTATTATCCTTTCAATATTGGTTAAACAATTTTCTTAATGTAAATCCCAGAGAGGTCGTTTCGTTAATTACGAAGGAATTCAATGATAGGCCACGCACCGTCCTTTTGACAAAACAATGGTTTGATCGTCCATTTGGGAGGTGTCATTAAAAAAAATAAACAAGTTTAGCGTCCCCGTCCGCTTCCTTTTTTTGGGCCGCCTCCTATTTATTTGTTATTAATTTATTTTTTAAATATTTTTTTTAAAGAAAAAAAACATGAAAAACACTGCTAAAATGGATCTAGACTAGGGTCTATTTCTGATTTGTAAAAAAAAATATCGGCAGCCATCTTGAAAAATAGCCCGACTGTCAGGGAAAATGTACCAAGCGGCCATTTTGGAAAAAAAGAGAGACAAGAGAGAGAGAGAGAAAAAAAGGGCCTCCTCCTTCCTATTTATCAAAAGGGCAAGACGCTAAACATGTTTTGTTTTGTTTTGTTTTTTTGTGTTTTTTTTTTGGCCTTAGGGTAGAGGGATTTATTGGGATTGGCCTCGGGTGTTCTTTATAAAGATACAAATTAAAAATTTAAAAATGGTCATAATTAAACGCAATATTTTCTATTTTGAGTAAACAATCAGAGAGTATATACAGCACATGCAGTTGGCACACTGCGCGCATGTGGGCCCTCTGATGGAATGAAAGGAAGACAAAATAGACCGGCACAGAACATAATTAGATGGGCCTATATATTGTCGTCTTAAAGGTACTATGTCCCTTTTGCAGCCAACCTCAAATTCTGTAGAACTTTGCAGGAATTATGAATATGTCATGTATGTCCTATCTGTGAAATGTAAACGTTAGCAGTGTCCTCATATTCAAATTATGCAAGGAAACCCGTTTACTTGCTAGACTTCACTGTCAGACACTATTGAATGACTGACTGGCTTTTTGTTCTTCTTTGGTAATAACATACATGAAAAGAGTTGTAAAGGATACATGAGCATTTGTGTACATCAATAACCCACTTCTTGTGATGGCCAAGATTAAACTGATTGAATCTTTGCGCAGCATAAAACGTATGACCATTCGGTACAATTGTCTGAAAATCAAGACTATTACTTTTGGGCTCTATAGCCCTAAAGTCGATTTGACGACTAATAGTCATTATTTTCCCACTTGAAGACATTTTCAAGCCCCACCTTTTTTAGGGAAGTTCTAAATAAGTATTATCTTTCAAATACAGTTGGAATTTAACTTTTTCATTTTTTTGGCCTGCAAATGGGACATAGTACCTTTAAGACCAGCTGAATTATATGTACTTTTTCCATTTTAACATTATTATGCCTCATCATTCGTTTTTCCAACAGGATACGCATACCATTTATTTCAACTGTTTAAAAGATATATAATTTATCTTGCAGTATATGGATGGCATTAATTATTGGTTATTATGTCAACCACGAAAATGATGATTATCAAATATAAGGGCAACGACCAGGGGCTGATCCAAGGAGGCGTGATTTGTTTTATCATATGGATAGTACATAATTATAAGAGTATAAGACACACTGGAAATCAGACTAAATGAGCATTAGCCCAAATGGGTAGTAGACTATTTGGAGTTTAGACCGAACGGCATTCTCCATGATTTCTAGCAATTCGCAGACATAAAGCTCTGTGAATTTTCGTTTAAGGGTGAGCATGCAAATTAAGATCTCAGTACAACAGCTGCTCGAGCGAATTGTGATATCTTAGGTGTGTTTCTAAAAGACTTATAGGCAAAAACATAAGGCTCTCACAGCCTATAGTTTAAGATATTTATCCATTTTCATAATATCACGTTCTCGGGTTTTTGCTGCCGGTGATAGAGGCTATAATTATCGAGTGTTTAACTGGGCACCGTCCCGTGTTCTTCACGTTCCAAGTCGGACCTGAGCCGCTCTAAAACTTTAACAAATAGTTTTCCAGGATCCCTCACTTCTAAGTAGGTCTTGATGGCTGCTTTCAGCTCGTAGAATGACCCATACACACGCACCTAGGACAAACACAGGTAGATAACGAAAATATATCGTGAAAATGTTCAGACGTCTTAGTTTAATTTTGTTCTTCCACACTTTAATCTACCTTCTGAACGTGCAATTTACTTTTTAGACTTTCGTCAGATGTACAGTGTCTATGTACATACAAAAACATAATGTCCAACAAAAATAGTAGTCTAACTTTTCACTGGGTTGGAGAATGGCAAATGAGATAAGTGTCTTCCCAAAGGAAAATAGTGTTATGTGGCATGGATTTGAACTCCGAGCATTGTAGTGCATAGCTCGGTGAATTTTCAACACGACCACGATATCTTTTTATATATTTGTCAACTATCAACAGAGCCGACCTTCTCCCATAGATGGGGAACCCCTGTACCAATGGAGAGACCTATACAAATCTGCCACGAGAATTACATTTCATGTAGATATTCCTGCCCTTCATAACGTGTTAATTTTCTTATGTAATCTTGAAGACGATTGTCTAAGGTTTTCTAGATTAAGCTTTTTAAGGACGTAACTACAGTACCTCCTACCATAATGGCAAGGGGGGGGGGCTATAAATAAAAAGTAATACCAGGAAATGTTGATTAAAGGATAATACAATAACATGAATATATCATATAACCACGTTTTACATATAGTCGCGCGATAGCTGATCATACAAATAGTTTTTTTCTTGAACTGGTAAAATATTTAAAAGCAACTTGTCTTCCATTTGATCTGATCATCAGAATTGATCATTTAGAACTTGCATTGGTGAAACTCAACTTTCATGCACATAGCCTCAGCTAAAAAGAAAAGGATACGCAAACTGAAATTCAAAGTAAATGTGATTCGATTAGCATGTGCGTTGTGCATGCTCTAACCCCGCCCCCCCCCCACTCCGGGAACGGAGGGACCGCATGCATGTTCCCAAAATCTCCGGCTCGTAACAAAAGAAAAAGGTCTACCCGTATTGACTTTACAGACCGGACTTATGCTGAAAGGGGGGGGGGTGGGGTTCTAAAAATGTGACTTGCTGAAATGATTATCAGCAGAATGGAAATTAGGCGACTGTAATGGAATCCAGTGACTGGTAAATTATCAGTGCTGTAAATGCTTTGATCGGTTAACTTTTCTTTTTAAAATAATAAATTGGTAACATGAATTACAAACTCATCTAACAAGTCCGTAAGGTATACCTTACGGACTTGTTAGAAAGAGTAAGATGTCTGCATAGCGTTAGCAGTCATATCAGTGAAGTTACTGGGTGGGATAAAAAGTATGGGTTACCTTACCTAACAACAGGTCATTCTGAATATTGAAATACATTTATTCGTAAGTCAGGTGAATGAAATCATTTGCAATGTAGCATTTAACAATGACCCAGTTCAAGATTGAAATGGTGCTTCAACTCTTCAGACAATCTGGGGAGCGAGAAAGATAAATCGAAGAAGATAAACTACTAGGCGATGATGTTGCTAGATGGGAGAAAAGGTATGAGTTACCTAACAACACGGAATGTAAGCAATTCGCATTCTGAATATTAATATACATTAATAATTTGTAATCAAGCACTTAACAATGACTCTTGCATTAAATTTATGTTTAACTTTATTTTGCAATTTTATGAGCGGCGCCTTCGACTTGTAAACATTTGATTAAGAATGTTATAATGTCAAAGCAATAATCATTCATTTTTTATTTGAAGTGCTGATACTACGTCTCGAATAGTTAACAACATCATGTAAAATCTCCTTAAATGTTTCATAGTTTGCAATACCTTATAGCTGAGCATAGGGCATATTACTTTCGTCCCCATGAAACCTATACTAAACTCAGAAAAAGGTTGCATACATTTATTTTCTTTCAATTCTTCCTCCCGCCCCACCCGCCCCCCGCGTGTAATTGCTATGCAACACTGCAATGGCGTAGCATGGGCCCATGAATTTAGGGGGCATTGTGGTAGGGGGAAGGGAGTGGAAACCACGGCTTACACTGAAATGTGAGAGAACAAGCAATTAGGCCGTCGTGAGGGGTGCAGGTGATCCGTGCCTACTGCAGCTACGCGACGCAAAACTCAATGCGTACGTTGCTTTGTGTTCGCAACCTAAGCTAGCTGATTCCTGGACTGAATTCAAATGTAAGAATAGTCACAATTGGGTAGAACAGTGTTCCATTGCGCATCATCATCTTAACCAGAAGGACTGCATGACTGAGGATTCACAAAAATGGTAAGAACTGACCGGAGAAAAAGAAAATGTTTGGATACATGACTATCTATTGCGTGTGAATAATAATCACAATGATGATTCTAAAAGTTGTTTTCATTCTATATGAAAAAGGGTTAAAGCGTAAAAGTCGCTGAAGTAGTGCCCATCTTGCAGAAAAAGCTTGAAGTCTAGATTTCACGATTGTTAGGCGTAATAGTATATTTTGTAAAGCGCTTAAAAACATTTGTATTAGGCGCTATATAGAAGCTAAATATTTGATTTGATTTGATTTATTGGTTTCTGCATCTTTTTTTTTTTCATCATACATTTTCATAAACATAATATGGTTTGACACAATATTTAAAGTGTATATAATTTATCACACAATGTGGAGCAACAGGATATGAAACGATGAAACGGTTGGCTCAAGACCGAGGAACTTGGAGAGAAACTTGGAGAGACACTTGATATAGAATTTTGGATGGGTCACTGAACCTGTCATAAACTGACAGATCACTATTGATGATAATTTTATACAGATAATAAACGAAATTAAACAAATATATTGAATGCATAATTGACATACATTAGATGTAGGAGGGCTACATAAATAAGCAAATTAGCTTGACGTGCCCGCAGCCCTCAACTTAGATACAACAATAACAAAATAAAAATAAAAAGGAGTGACTTGCAGAGAAGAAAAGGAAAGGGGAGAGAAGAAGCGTTAGTAATAATACAATAAATCTCATATACTCTGCCTAACAGTGTCTGCATTCTGAGACCATTCTGACGGTATTTTGCATAGACTGCTCCTTATTTGACACAGTCAGAGACTTGAAAGTACTAGAGTCTGCTCAAGACTTTATGGACTGTGGTAAAAAAAAATGTCTAATTAGAGTGTGTGCCTGTATACTAGACCCGCCTTGCTGTGGGTCGCAGCTTATTATCGTCTGAAAAAAACATTAAAAGTATGACCCCTCAAGGAGGGGGGGGGGCACATTCTTGAAGTTGTGTACTTAAGGTAGGCCGATTCTAATTAGGTTAGAAGGAAGGAACATGACCGCCTACATCTCTATGCTAGTCGAGATGATAATTATATGATAAGATAAGCGACATAAAAATATACATAAAAAAGGATTATGAAAGAGTTTCATCAGAAATTTTAAATCATGATAATATATTATGTAAACCTGTTTCTAATTACAGACCAGTAATCTAAAGCTTCATTGGAAGTGCATATATGGCACGGTGATCTTCCTTTCTGTTGGTATGTACCCTACTCCTTAAAATACAATTTCAAAACCTATTTCAACCCTATTTAAATGATTGTTATCTATGTTTTTTTTTACTAAATTTGTTAATATGCTCATACGTAATATTTTTCTTTGTTATTCTTAAACAGAATTTAATTTTTCCTTTGTATTCATAAATCTATTTGACATCTTTTTGTTTATTCATGTTAGACTTATTTAAGTATGTATTCTTTCTAGGAGCGTAGAAAAATAAGATTCTAGATGAAAAAAATAGCATTGTAGCGTGCAGTGGCTTTACTATCCAAGATGCACATCTACTGTTACCCTTCGCCCACAACAGCAGGAAAGGAACAGGGAGGGAGAGGGGAAGAACGTGAAAAAAAGGTGATATGACCACTTTCATCCACAAAAGGTGGCCTTGTTTATTCACATTTTATAAACATAATACGATTGGTGCCCCTAGCTCCTATAATGTCAGTGCCCCTCTCAAGACCCCCATGCAAACATCCACACTTTTGTTTGTTATCATTCTACTATCTCCGTATTGTTACTTTTATCATTAAAATTATCATTATTATCATTTTATTATAATTATCTTCATCATCAGTATTATTACTATTATTATGTTTTTGTCGGTGTTGGTGTTCGTTGTATCATAATAATAATAATAATGGTGGCTTCTTATATAGCGCACATGTCCGTCACGTTGTGACGCTCCTGGCGCTGCCCCGATCATAATCATCATCACCATCAACGTCACCACCACCATCACCATCATCACTATCATCATATCACTATCACCGTCAACATCATTATCATCATTATCATTCTGGCACACAGGTTTACCCGCGCCATCAGATGCAATGGAAATGACACAAACCTGCTGCAAGAACGTGTTTGGACTCAACTACACCTTACCAATGTTCAACGAGTGTCAAAAGAAGCAAAACACCAACGGCAGTATGGTACAGATGATTCCAAAGCTCATCACTGCTCCGATGGCGGCTAACGGTTGCCCTAGACGAAAAGGAAAATTAGGAATTCCTCCCGGATACAGAACATGCAAATTTCCTGGTAATTATTAAGACCCCCCCCCCTTTAAAAAAAAAAAGTAATACAAAAGTAGGTTTTATTTATGAGGGCACCACTCGTTCTCCGAATTTAAATTTTATGACGGTTCGTAATTCCAGAGAATTTTTTTTTTAAATTCCAGGCCCGGTGGTTTATTACCCCGAAAATTAAATAGGGTTCGCAGCTCCCAAACATTTGGGCTTTACATTCGCATGGTCTGTTCCTCCGAAGGTTTCATTATTCCGAAAATGGAATGGGGTTCATAATTTCGAAGGTTCATAATTCCGAGAATGATATAGTTTTTCAGGCCGTTCTATTGAATTTTCGTATTTATCACCATTCGGAACTATGAACCTATGCATTTTCGGAATTACGAAACTTCGGTTTAACGAAGCTTGGGCAAAACGACATGTACAATGGGAGTGGAGGGGGGGGGGTCCTCCTCTTTGCCCCCGCGCTCAATAAGTTGCATCTTTCTCCAACTACTGTATTCACTCATCAAATTTATAGGGGAAATCCATCCTGGGTTAAAGCACGAAATTGAGAGGAACCGGTCAGTGATAGTTTGAGCAAAGTCCGATTAAACATAAGAAAGTCATGCATTTTCGAAGTTGCGATAAATTAAACAAAAATAGAAACTCTGTAACCAATATGTTCTGCATGTACACAAAATTTATTTTAAAAAGGACATTTTCTTCTGTGTCGATGACGTAATAGATTTTTCCATACAGGGGTTAAATGGAAATATATTTGCAATAGTTGTTTTTATGGTGCTTGTATGATTGAAGTATTTTTGAGGGAAAATAATATATGATTTGTTTTGGTATAGTACAGAGCAAATGATGGGCCTCGAGTTTACCCCGTTACCTTGCAAACCTCACGTTTAGAGTTCTGCCAGATTTGTGTTTTGTTCTCATTATGTGGCAAAATGCATTTATGGTTGTTATTATGGTGCTTGTATGATTGAAATTTTCTTCGAGGGAAAATAATATACGATTTTTTTTGGGTATAGTACAGAGCAAATGATGGGCCTCGAGTTTACCCCGTTACCTTGCAAACATCACGTTTAGAGTTCTGCCAGATTTGTGTTTTGTTCTCATTACGTGGCAAAATGCATTTATGGTTGTTTTTATGGTGCTTGTATGATTGAAAGTTTCTTTGAGGATAAAAACAAAATTAGTTGGGCGGTATGAGTACAGAGCAAATGATGGGCCTCGAGTTTACCCCGTTACCTTGCAAACATCACATTTAGAGTTCTGCCAGATTTGTGTTTTGTTCTCATTACGTGGCAAAATGCATTTATGGTTGTTTTATGGTACTTGTATGATTGAAATTTTCTTTGAGGGAAAATAATATATGATTTTTTTTTGGGTATAGTACAGAGCAAATGATGGGCCTCGAGTTTACCCCGTTACCTTGCAAACCTCACGTTTAGAGTTCTGCCAGATTTGTGTTTTGTTCTCATTACGTGGCAAAATGCATTTATGGTTGTTATTATGGTGCTTGTATGATTGAAAGTTTCTTTGAGGATAAAAACAAAATAAGTTGGGCGGTATGAGTACAGAGCAAATGATGGGCCTCGAGTTTACTCCGTTACCTTGCAAACATCACGTTTAGAGTTCTGCCAGATTTGTGTTTTGTTCTCATTACGTGGCAAAATGCATTTATGGTTGTTTTTATGGTGCTTGTATGATTGAAAGTTTCTTTGAGGATAAAAACAAAATAAGTTGGGCGGTATGAGTACAGAGCAAATGATGGGCCTCGAGTTTACTCCGTTACCTTGCAAACATCACGTTTAGAGTTCTGCCAGATTTGTGTTTTGTTCTCATTACGTGGCAAAATGCATTTATGGTTGTTTTATGGTACTTGTATGATTGAAATTTTCTTTGAGGGAAAATAATACATGATTTTTTTGGGGTATAGTACAGAGCAAATGATGGGCCTCGAGTTTACCCCGTTACCTTGCAAACCTCACGTTCAGAGTTCTGCAAGATTTGTGTTTTGTTCTCATTACGTGGCAAAATGCATTTATGGTTGTTATTATGGTGCTTGTATGATTGAAAGTTTCTTTGAGGATAAAAACAAAATTAGTTGGGCGGTATGAGTACAGAGCAAATGATGGGCCCCCGAGTTTACCCCGTTACCTTGCAAACATCACGTTTAGAGTTCTGCCAGATTTGTGTTTTGTTCTCATTACGTGGCAAAATGCATTTATGGTTGTTTTTATGGTGCTTGTATCTTAGATACACTGTCGCTCATATTGGTGGAATATTTTTGTTTTACCCCAATTCATGAAATTATTTGAAAAATAACTTAAAAATAATAGATCTAGATAAAAGTATACATTCTCAGATTTTATTGAATAATAATTTGCAAATGTGTGTTTTGCGTGACTGCTAAAGCATGTGTATGTTTCTATGCTTATCAAATAGGGGACCTACGCCCTTAAGTCATAAATGACAGTAATGAGGATGAATGCCTCACAAAAGGGCACTAATATAGCACATCGACACGGTTTTGATCCTGGGGCCTCAAGGTAACGAGGTCATTGCTTTGTCACTGAACCATGACTGTACGCAGCGGGGGCTAGGGTAGGGGGCAGTTTCCATAAATTAAAAAAAAAACAGAAAATGCAATTTTTTTTCAATAATTTATTGCATTTTACCCCGGTTCCCAACATAAACAAATCCTCTGTGTGCCCATGTCTTGAGCCTTAATGCATGGCCATCCCTACCTTAGCCCCTGCTGCGTACAGTCATGGTTCAGTGACAAAGCAATGACCTCGTAACTGTGAGGCCCCAGGATCAAATCCGTGTCGATGTGCTATATTAGTGCCCTTTTGTGGGGCATTAATCCTCATTACTGTCATTTATGACTTAAGGGCGTAGGTCCCCTATTTGATAAGCATAGTAGCATACACATGCTTTAGCAGTCACGCAAAACACACATTTTCAAATTATTATTCAATAAAATCTGAGAATGTATACTATCTAGATCTATTATTTTTTAAATATTTTTAAAATAATTCCATAAATTGGGGTAAAACAAAAATATTCAAACTATATGAGCGACAGAGTAGTTTCTTTGAGGGAAAATAATTGGTTTATTTGTTAATTTTTTATTTTTATTTAATTTTTTTTAATTTAATTTTTTATTTATTTATTTATTTATTTATTTTATTTTATTTTCTATTTTTATTTTTATTTTTTTTAACTTTCATTTTATTTTATTTATTTTTTTATTTTATTTATTTATTTATTTATTTATTTATTTATTTATTTTTTTTTTTTTTGGGGGGGGGGGGGTATAGTACAGAGCAAATGATAGGCCTCGAGTTTACCCCATTACCTTGCAAACCTCACGTTTAGAGTTCTACCAGATTTGTGTTTTGTTCTCTTTACGTGGCAAACTTCATTTATGGTACAAAATACCTACTAAAAATAGAAGGGATGACCTTTTATTATACTAAACTGCACTCGGTAGAAAATTAGTATAATAGCCTTTATCTTTGCTGTACCTCTTGCCAATACAAAGTAGTATGTACCGGCGTTTGTGAAGGAGGAGCAAAGGGAGTAATATTATTTAGTTCCTCCTTTCAATTTTCGACCAAGGGAAAACAATTTTAGCATGCTGTATGTACTAGTAGCTGGCCGGGTGAAGAATAATTGTGTTAGCTCTTGTAAGATTGCACTTGGAAATGTATAGAATGAAAACAGATCGTGGGGGGGGGGGGGGAGGGGGTGTCACAAAGACCGAGATCAACTTAAACTGGAACGATCACTAACGGGCCGTTCATGCCACTGGTTGCTCTCACATTGGTTTCTCAAGGGATGTGATAATCGTGGTCATAAATCTACAGAATTGACATTTGTTTTACAGTTCATTGTTGAAGAAAAATTTAATGTAATTTTAAGTTCTACGTTAGACTTGGACTTATACTAAAATATTATGATAGTTAGTATTTGCCCCTAAAAACGAATGTTGAACCAGATGTAGAATTTGAGGAAAATTCTCTAAAAATTGTGTCTTTCGATAATTTTATTTCTTCAACATTTAACCAAAAAAAGAGTAAATTCTATAAATTTGAGAACACGATTTCCACGTCCCTCAAAGGGGTTGCCATATTCCAAGTCCAACTTAAGTCGATATTAGTCTTTTGTGAAACGACCCAAGGTCTCGAAAGACCCTTATATTGAATGATTATTTTGTAAATCAAAGTATAAGTACATGTACAATTATTCACAGAAATATAATGCTAAAGAGAAAAGAATATAAGCTTTGACTGGACAAAACTGGTAGTTTTCTTATTTCCATTTCAGTTAGTTCATATAAAGTTGTAGGTTTTCCGTTTGATTGAGTATGCAATAAAAAAGGAAGACCAAAACATGCTCACCCGACTAATCTACATACGCATGAACACACACACATAAACACACACAAATTGAGTTTCCTTCCTTTATCTTTAATAGATTGTGACAAGAAGCTTTGTGAAAACGGCTGGTGCGAGGAGACTATGGAAAGCTATCTATGCCACTGTTCACCTGGTTTTCAAGGGAAACATTGCAATGAGCGTAAGAACAATATATCAAAGAATTTGAGATCTGATAAAGGTTTTAAAAAACATTTAACAAGATTATTGTGTAACCTTTCCTATTCTTTAAATGTCATGTGAGTTTTGAAGATAATCATAGCAGTAGACCTAATAGTAGCGATGGTATATGGTTCAGAAAGTTTGAATGTGCAGAAAGTAGAAGAAGTTATCTTCAGGAGAAAAGTAAGAGCCCTGATACGGAATATGCGTGGTATGAAACTGTTGTCTGATAGAAAGAACATAAGTGACCCGTCAAGGAAATTTTAGGTCATTTACCTGGTTTTCGAGAAAAAAATTGTCTTCGATTTTTTATTTTTTATTACTGGCATTTCGGTTCCGCCTTCTCGCTTTGCTCCCCTTTTCCCTTGATAAATCTCTAAAATCTCTAAAAAGAGTGTATTCCTTTTTTCTTTATTCTTTTCTTCAAAAATCTTGGAAATTGTCACGGATCAACATTATTTTTTATCATCCCATGAAATCCCACAGTAGAAGGTTCCATAACATGTCAGTAGAGGTGTTTAGGTTTTACTACATACATAATTTATACGTCTGAGGTTGAAATGCTGGGAAGAAACAAAGCCGAGTGGTGACATCTTTTTATTTCAAAACCCAGTCCAGTCCAATTGATTGGAATTTATTTGAATTTAATTTCAATTTAATTCAGCCTTTTCACACAGATCATCATTATTATCATCATCATTATTACTATTAAATGCGTTCTATGAATCTTGTGTCACGGCAGAAGCACCCTCAGTTATTACTGACTTCACGGACATGTCTACAATCATACCGGCCGAAATGACGCAAGTCTCCGCCACGGACGGTGAGCATTTCCTATCATTCCCGTTGCACAGGAGGTTTCAATTTCCTGATGTAGGACTGTGTTATTTGAATCAAATCTATGATGACTAATAATTTATAAGTATCATTGTCCATACGGTGTCACCCTCAAACTACGCGTCGAAGACGACAAACGTCGCTAACGCAGTCCTACGTCGGGCGAATGACACCTCCTGCCCAACGTCCGGCATTATAATCGATACATGCCTCTTGTACACGAAGCGCCATTAATTGTTGTGACGCATGGCTGGATCAGTGAGTTGTGCGGTGTTTGACGCACCATGGTAGATTGACATTCAGGAATTGTCAACAAAATTAATAAAATATGAACAGTACAAGGGTCCTTTGGAATTACTGACTCACATTCTGTTGTCCTTATCTTTTGTGGCACTTTATAGCAGCATTATTGATGATCATCATTAAATGTGCATTAAAACAAAATTTAGTCGAAACGCTTTTATCAATCATTCAGGATCAAAAGCGAACGACTTAATGAAATGTAAGGTTTTTTAAAACCCTCCTAGTGTGCCTTTTAGTATGATCACCCTTTCTGTTACTTGTCAATTTGACATTTTCTTTACAAAGGTTTGTAAATTTCTTGTTCAGGGCTCTCATCCACCATGTAAGGTGCTCAAAGAACTCCGATATTACCTAAGTTATTATTTCTATTAGCTAGCCTATCGATACGGAGCTCACAACATTCAAGAAGGTCTTTCCTTAGAACCAGTCAGGTGCCCACCCCCCCCCCCCCCACTCAGTGTTATTTATGGTACGCATATGCGTGTTCCCTTCTTTTGAAAACACCCCTAAGTCCGGTGTGTAATGTCCTTTTTGTGTGTGTACGAGCCGGACTTTGGTGCGTGAAAAATACCCCTTTACCGGACATTTTGGTAACACGCATTCGGTCATTCCGACCCCCGGAGTGGGGGGGGGGGGGGGCCGGGGTGCCAATTTATTACACCTTGTAATTTACATGGCTAATTTAACATGCAAGACATAATATCTCCCTGCGTCGGAAGTAAACCTTAATTGTCTAAGAAATAAGATGTAAGTACCAAACAAGGATCGAATCAGTGACCTTTTCCTGTTAGAGGCCGGTCCACTGAAATTCAATTCTCTCAACTACGACACCTTTGTATTTCGTATCAGTTCCTATCTTCCCACGTGACTGTGCTGAGATACAGACTGGTGGACTATCCAATCTCAGTGGAGTGTATCCCATCTATCCCGATGGAGTTGGTGATGATCCTCTCTTCGTTTACTGTGATATGGAAACGGACGGTGGCCGCTGGACGGTGAGAAATGATGATAGCTAGCATTTCATTTTGTTTCAACCCCATTCACTATTAACATGATCGCAGCGACTTTCAAGAAACAAGATGGCAACCATTTTCGACAAATTACCCTTGCCGTGTGCGTCGCCTATTGAAATATGCGAACATTTTCAATGAGGTATTACGTAATCCGAAAAATAATATTTGAAATATAATTTTAATGACTTTTCAAAAGTGGATTGTGTTAATAATCAACTCTTGGGCAATATATACCATGTATCCCATTTCATGCATCAACATTTTCACTCTCCACCCTGGACAGGTGTCAACGGGTACCTCGTGATTGCTGGGGTATATGAAAGGGCCCTCATGAAGAACAGAATCGATATTGGTTATTGATATTGATTTGGTTTATTTTTTTAAAGTCTTAACCATCGCATTCTTATTAGCCGACAATCGAAACTGCGTATCCTTGTGATTGGTGCGAAATGTGGTAACATCCATTCTTCATCGTGCTGCATGTTCCATCCTTCCTCTCTCAAGTATTATTAATGTTCTGAATTAATCATTAAAACACACACACACACACAATCCCGCTCACTCTTCCTTTCCCCTCTCTCTCCCCCTTCTCCCTTAATTTCTCTCGACACATTTCTTTATCTCTCCGTCTCTTTTCTCTCTTTCTTTCTCTATCTCGATATCTTTCTCTATCTTTTTCTATCTCCCCCCTATCCCTCTCTCTCTCTCTCTCTCTCTCTCTGTAGGTCTTCCAGCGTAGACAAGATGGTTCTGTTGACTTCTCTCTCTCCTGGTCCGAATACAAGCACGGTTTTGGAAACGTTTCCACCGAGCACTGGCTCGGTAACGACAACATCCACCGTCTTTCCCGTAATAAGACCTACGAGCTACGGATCGACCTCGAAGACTTCGAGGGACAAACGCGCTACGCCACCTACAGCGATTTCAATATTGCAAACGAGACCGCAAATTACATCCTGGCATTTGGCAACTATTTCGGAGACGCAGGTAGGTAATAGGGCGATCCCCTGCAATGCGTCTTGTACATGATAATTTTCAAAAGTATGATCCTCGTGGATTCACTAACGTTATTAAAGAGTTAAGTCAATTAAGGCTTTTTTCTTTCTTCTTTTGCGTACATGAAATAAATGGGGGGGGGATGTCGTTTTTAGACACATTGCAACGCATGGAACCACAGGGTAGGCCTATCGCAGGATACGTTTTACGTAAACGGTAAGATGGCAATGCGCGTACAGTAGGCTAATTATTATACGGTAATGCAGTAAAACGGCAAATTCAGTAATACCGTAATTCTGTAATGTGGTTCATAGTAAATCGGTCAAAGGCCACATGGTTTTACAATCATACAACAAAAAAGTGCTCTTACCCCCCCCCCCCCCCCCCCCCCCCCCCCTCGCCCGCTTATTCATCGGCCGGCTGAGGCGTTGCGAAATTTTCGGCCCGATTTAAAAATGTTAACCCCCCCCCCTTGGACAACTCCTGCGTACGCCACTGCATACGGTAATACGATAAAAACGGTTATACGTATATATATATATATAGTGTCATATAGTAAAACCGTAATTCGTTTGTACAGTTAGTAAAATACGTTATTACAAATGCTCTTGCACATTATGACGCGGTAAACAACAGTGGTGTGTTTTATTAGTGTTTTTTGTATTGTTTGTTTATTTTCTTTAACCCGTAAATGGATAGCAAGTGGGGAAAGGAAGGGGTGAGAAAAGTATTCATGCTTACTAACGAATGCTCCTAAACGCATCCGTCTGTTACATCAATATACTATATACAGAAGAGACAGCAGTCCCCGACGGACGGACGGACGGACGGCTTCGTACAATACAAACACACAGCCTCAAGTCGAGTACGGAGAGATCGTATATTGAACATGTATAAATCAATAATTTCTCATTTCTATGCAGGTGACAGTTTGCGGTATCAGTATTATTATCCGTTCACTACATGGGACCGCGATAATGATTTCTATGAGGGAAACTGCGCCTCTTATTATCAAGGAGGCTGGTGGTACCATTTTTGCCATTATGCTAACCTCAACGGCCAATACCTGAAAGGTCCAACGGGGAGCTACAACATGGGTGTGGTATGGGATGGCTGGCGCGGTCTTTCATACTCCCTCAAGAAGACGGAGATGAAGCTTCGCCCGACGTAATTAAATAACAAAGGACCCCTCTGGACAACCTCCCTAGATCTAAGCAGGTGTCGGTTTTACGCGGGGTTTCGTAAGCACAATTAAGAGCACCGCACTTTACATTTTGTATTTTATCACACACAGCTTCTCAGCTTTTTTCACTTTGAAAAGGACCCCCTTAAAACAGTGTTACTCATTTAAGTATCAGTTTAAAATAAAGGGAGTAATTTTACGCCGTGTTGCTGTAATTAAAGTAGATATTCATTGATTTTAAAAACTAACTTTATTTTCATTATTGCAAAGTTGAAACTTTGATTCGACAAGGTTATCAAAATTCAATGCTTGGGAACATTCGAAGTAACGATTATTATTTATTACAAAACGCTTAAATACAGCCCCGGCATAGCACCTGAAGAGTTCTCCGAACGCTGCTGAGATGTGTGAGATCACAGTATGGACATCACTTGCACAAGCAGACGATGTCCCATGACATCTCACACATTTTCAGTGCCTGTGTTTTCATCTTCTCTTGAGTTCTTTCTCTTACTTCACTACCGTCAGGCTAATTCTATTGCCTCACTCTAAACCCCGCGCAGGTTTTATTTTGATGACAAACGCAGCGATACAAAAATAAAGGAATCTGTCGCTTGTAAACAAATTAAGACGCCATTGTATATTCAGCTGCACACACCGGGGTATGTACGGCGTTTCAAGAGGGAACAAATGCCGTCCTTAATATCAATCCGGGGGTTTCCAATTTGAAAGTCTGGTTTCTTTGATTGTTAATTCAGCCCTATCCTGTGTATTTACAAGCAAAATATTTTAGTTATCAGATTCTGGTCATATCCCCTTTTGAATGGTTTGACATGCCATTACATTTATATACACTAAACTCATTATAATTTGAGAAAAAATAGCTTTGCAATTATGTTCATTCTCTATGCGATGTCGTCTGCTTCGGCGGTGTTGGTCCATATAGTGACGTCATTAAAACATCGTTATTTTTCCGGCGAATCTCTCGTATATCCCAGCTGCTATGGAGGTGGTTGTATTTGTATTTTTTAAAATCACCCGATATGTGGTTGACCTAAAACTTGTCCGATGTCCATATGTTAGCTTACCAGTTTCTAGTGATACATTAGTTGACATATTTGTGATCTTCTTTGAATTTCACCTTTAAGTGCTCGCACATACTCACTTAAATAGAAAATAATCCTACATTTTCGAGGTTTTTCGGGGAATATGTACTTTGCTCTTTCTGTTTAAAACATACATTTCACATACTGATCCAGGCGCGCCGGAAGCAGTTTGAAATTGGGGGGGGGGGGGGGGGGGGGGGGAGGCAAACATTCCAGGGCTAGGGGGCTCACCTTCCAGGGGCAGTGACGTAATGAGCAAAAACGTTTGGAAAAGGGGGGGGCAGAAGAAAAATCTGCATCACCATCACTCTTACACGTTACATGCAGGCCCCGCGGAACATTTTTCAAAGTGGAGTATTAACGATCAGGTAGAGCGTAAATTGGCGTGGGGTCCAGGGCCTGGGCCTCGGCAGGGGTCAAGAGGCTGAGCCCCCGAAAGCTCAGGGTGTTTAGACATGAAATTACGGTTAGATAAGCATATTTAGATACCTTATTTGTGACACTGGCAGGTCACTGATTGGCGGAGAGTCCAGGGAGCAGAGCCCCCGGAAGCTCAAAGGTTTTAATATTTCTCTACGGTCAGATGAGCATCAAGCGGCAGCCTTAGGGCCCTTGGTGGGGTCCAGGGGGCAGAGCCCCGGAAGCTCATGGGTTTTAGGTATTTAATTACGGTCAGATGAGCATCCAGGGGCCCGCCTTAGGGCCTTTGGTGGGGTCTAGGGGGCAGAGCCGCCGGAAGCGCGGGGGTTTTAGGTATTTAATAAGGGTCAGATGAGCATCACGGGGACCGCCTTAGGGCCCTTTGTAGGGTCCGGGGGAAGAGCCCCCTCAAGCTCTGGGGTTTTAGGCATTTAATTACGGTCAGATGAGCATATTTTGAAACCTCATTTGTGACATTGGCAGGTCACTTATTTTTTTTTCTCTCTCTTTCTTTCTTTTTCTCTGTAACATAATTTTTTCAAAAAGTGAGGGGGCACGAGCCCCCAAGCTCAGCCGTTTTGCAGACCATGACATAAAGGCTTCTAAATAAGCATATTTTTCGCCCGACAGTAAATTTGGGAATTTCCCCCAATTCCGGCGCCTATGTACTGATCATCATTATCTACATCAAATTATATTTTACACACACACACACACACATATATATATATATATACATATATATTACATTAAGTTTATTACAAAGTTTCCTTTTTCTTCTATATAATAACCTATAACTAATGCTTTTTCATTAATATTATTTGCACATGAGAGTAATTATAAAATACGTTTTCAACAATTCTCCCAAAGAAATCGATCCTTTTTACGTTTCAACAAAACATAAGTTCTTTCTGTTTCTTTACATATATCACATTGGTCATTCTCCATTATACTCCATCTGCATAGGTCATGTTTGGATGGGAAGATAGTGTGCAATACTTTAGAATTAACTCATTAGCTCATACTGTTATTAGTATTATTATGACCATCAATAATGTTCTGTAGAAAACGTACTTCAGAGGAGAGAGTATATGTAGAAAAATATAAAGATAGATATCTTTCAAAAACAGTTCTCGCATTCTTGCATATAAAGTAACAGTCAATCTACTAAGTCATCAATGTTAAACAGACACACATTGATGATGAAATAATCATTGATTAGTATCGATTTTAATGCGAACCCATTCGTTTTCAATACTTATATCGTAGTATAATAAGCAAATTATATTTATATTAAATTGTTTTTATCTCATATAAACAATCTCTCGTTTATATTTTTGTCTTCGTTCCTACTCTTCTGCAATTCTCAACAATATCTTATTTTTATTTCAATAAGTTATGAATAGGCAACTCAATGAAGTGTGAAGGTTTTGTGTATTGGGCGATAATGGGACGATGCATTTTAAAAGAAAAGGTACTTCAAAAACACCAAGAGAAAACAAGATTATGGAATGGAAACCAATAGAGACAAGAACACAATCCCAGCACATAGTGTGCACGTAATTATGATACCTAATTTTCATAGTATTGTCTTGTTTCACTTTGTCCAATATTAATTAAAATTCATTAAAAAAAAGTAAAACAAAACTTGCATTCAATGATTAAATGTAACGTCTCTCTCCGGTAGAACGTTATAAAACGTCCCATGGCCAATTGAAATGCACCAAAGTGAATGGTCTCAGCTCTTGTTTTAGGCCTTGCTAAGCCCAGGCGCGGATCCAGGATTTCTTAGGGGAGGGGGCCCAACTTTTTTTTTTTTTTTGCTCCCGAAAATTTGAAAATCGCGCCGGCCAAAAATTCACTCAGTGGGGGGGGGGGGGGGGGGGGGGGGGGGGGTAGTGAGCACATTTTTTTTTTTTTGATCCTCAAAAAAATTTCAATTTGCACCCCCCCCTTGAGCGCCAGGGGGGGGGGGCCCAACCCCCAAAATCGTAAAAATCACGTGATTTTACATGATTTTTTTCTCAAGGGGGGGGGGGGGGCTTAGCGCCTGGCTAAGCCTCCTGTGATTTCGGATGAAGGGGACCGAGATATACCTTGAAGGCCTCGAAAGCTCTCTTGTTCTGGTAATGCTTGTACACACTGTAAAAAAGAATTTGTTCATTGGTTATTTTTACGTATTTTTCCATGTAGAATTTACTTGAAAACATTAGTTTTGCCACTTACGCACTAAATTTAAGTCTTGCTAACTCAAACTTTCAATTTAGTAGAACATACGTGGAATATTTAAGTAAAATCAAATACATAAGAACTTTAAGTAATTTCAGCTTGTATTAATTTAGTAATGTTAACTCAAAATCAGAAATTATACGTATTACTCAAACAATTTATGTTGATTATTCTTATCTTTTTAAAGTAAGGACCGATGCAGTGCGTAATGGAAATATTTACATAATTTATGAATATTCATTGAGACCAAATTAAACTCTTTTTTAAATAAAACAATTCTTTTTGTGGTTGAATGAAAATTTAAGGACTTTAAAACATTTACTAATTCATTTAACATGGCTAAGCAAAGACAAGACAATTTTTAATTGTTACCCATTTCAAAACAAATCAAAACTTGATATTTCAGGAAATTGTCAACCAATTTTCCTTTTAAGATGCTACGATCAAGTATATATAAAATTTGGAGCCTTTCAATATGTGTCGAATTAAAGCGTATGTAATAGTTTGTGATGGTGGTAGATATATATATATATATAGATACGGTTAAATCGTAAATAGATGTAGTGAATGATTAGTGGATGTTACTTGTTAGATTAGATGGGTACCAAATCGTGCAATATGTAATCCTATCATAGCTTTTTTTAATTATCTAAAATGATTACAATACTTAAATTATTTACGTTAATGTAACTCGATTTAACTGAGTAAAAGTTTATTCAGCAAAATAAGTAAATTTTGCTTAAGATGCCGTAGGTAATATTTACTTAATATAAATAAGGCAATTCTTTTCCTCAATTTTATTGAGTTATTTCGACTATTACTTTTTTTTACAGTGTAGAGACAAGAACACAATCCCAGCACATAGTGTGCACGTAATTATGATACCTAATTTTCATAGTATTGTCTTGTTTCACTTTGTCCAATATTAATTAAAATTCATTAAAAAAAAGTAAAACAAAACTTGCATTCAATGATTAAATGTAACGTCTCTCTCCGTAGAACGTTATAAAACGTCCCATGGCCAATTGAAATGCACCAAAGTGAATGGTCTCAGCTCTTTTTTAGGCCTTGCTGAGCCTCCTGTGATTTCGGATGAAGGGGACCGAGATATACCTTGAAGACCTCGAAAGCTCTCTTGTTCTGGTAGATGAAATGCTTGTACAGCTTAGCATTGAAGAAGTAGGCTGCAAGATTCATGCAGTGAGTTTTATTCATGTATTTAGGATTGAGGCAGAACAAGAGACAAATACATTTTTTGTCTTCACTTGCGCCTTGTATATATTAATATTGAACTGACGTGTTTCATAAACATTATCATTACTCATATTGTTATTAGAATTATTATTACAATCATTGATATATTGTAGAAAACGTATATGTAGGAAGATATAAAGATAGATATCTTTCAAAAAAAGTTCTCGCATTCTTGAATATAAAGTATCAGTCAATCTACTAGTCATCAATTTTAAACAGACACACATTGATGATGACATAATCATCGTTTATTATCAAGTATCGATTTTCATGC